GCCAAAATAGTATTTTACACAAAACATTATCTATAGCAATGAGGTATTGTGTATGCTCACCCACCGAATAGATGGCTGATGCATGGCTAGAGGAGGGCACAGAAAGTTGAGAAGGGAGGGCTCAAGTTGAAAAAGAAACCTTGAATGCTGCTATGGGTGAGAAGGACAAGTTAAAATAAAACTGGCCTGAAAGGGAGCAAACAGGCAGTGAGCTGCATGTCGGGAGAATGCTGAAGTAGTGCCTGGCTGACCCCAGCTGAATGGGGACACCAGTGGCAAAGAACAGGTTGTGGCGGAATCTGGCTGTGACGTGGCGTTATCTTATCTAAATTAAGCACTCACTTGGCACCGTTCAGTATCTCTCTCCTGAGTAATTCTAGGAAACCGATAACCTCTCCGTTTTAAAACTGGGTTTGCTGTCTGAGGAAAAGGACAAAATGGCGCCTCCCCCTTTAAAATGCAGAAGTTGATTAGACTGGCAGCTGAATCTTCAACACTAGCAATAGGAGGATGGAGTTCCCCACCACACCTTGAAGTGTAGTGGTTGTGTGACAAACTGGCCAGGGGGCACAGGGGGCACAGCTCGAGGGCTGCTAGTCCACAGCATCAGTCACCTCGGGCTGTTGTTCACTGTGCCTAATTGTAGGTTCAGCCCTGTGAGATTTTGCTTAACAGAATGCACGGGAGGTAATTTAATACTCTCCCTACAAACCTGCTGCTAGGGGAGCAGAAAAGGTACATCTCCTTTTTATCCTGCTTGCCTGGGAGGTTTCACTGCTGAGGTGAAAGGAAGACATGACAAATGGGTTTGTGGAGACAGGGGCACACACACCCTTATTGTGACCACATCAGAAAAATAATAATGAAGAGAGCAGTAAAACCCCAATTTTACAGATGAGCTTGCAAGGCTTTTAGCCCATGCTACAAAGATAAATGCTACATGTTGGGATGCGGGTGGCACTGTGGGTTAAACTACAGAGCCTAGGATTTGCCGATCAGAAGGTTGGCGGTTCGAATCCCCACGACGGGGTGAGCTCCCATTGCTCGGTCCCAGCTCCTGCCAATCTCGCAGTTCGAAAACACACCAGTGCAAGTAGATAAATAGGTACCGCTCCGGCGGGAAGGTAAACGGCATTTCCGTGTGCTGCTCTGGTTCACCAGAAATGGCTTAGTCATGTTGGCCACATGACCTGGAAGCTGTACACCAGCTCCCTCGGCCAATAAAGTGAGATGAGCGCCGCAACCCCAGAGTCGGTCACGACTGGACCTAATGGTCAGGGGTCCCTTTACCTTTACCTTTTTACAAAGCTAAGATTCATCAGATTTCTGAGCTATTGGCATCAGATTTTGATGTTAAAGTTACAAAGTGTATTCTTTATGTACCACCTTGAGTTTTGGACACTAGAGTACAAAAAGTATTCCCTGTTTTATATTAGCTGTACAATCTTGCATTCGCATTTAGGAATGGGAGCAAATTATGTTTCTTGCTTTTTGATATTTGCCCTAGGTAATTATTTATGGATTTTAAGTGTGTGTGTGTGTGTGTGTGTGTGTAGCATGCATAGATATTGGCTGTGTGTACTTCAGAAACACAAAAGTGGAGGGCTTAAGTGTGGCTGACTCTGCAATCCTATGCATGTTTGCTCAGAGGTTAAGTCGCACAGTGCAAGTTCCACCCAGATACATTTGCACCAAAGTCTTTGTTCTTTTTGCACACATTGCACATCATACTGTGTACTAGTACAGGAACAAAAGTTTATGCAAATTTAACTCCAAACCCATACATTCTGTTCTAAAGCCAGTAAATATTTTTAAAGTACTATTTTGTTTCATCTTATTGTTTGAAAGATTTGTTTGAGTGTTATTTTTATCAACTCCAACTGCAGATTTGCTTTTCTAAAAAGTCCAGTAGTAGGGGTTTGGTTTTTAAAAAAAAGACAGGTAAATAATGTAACAATAATAATGTCAACAACATATGAAGTGTTATACAGTGGTACCTCGGGTTACATACACTTCAGATTACATAAGCTTCAGGTTACAGACTCCGCTAACCCAGAAATAGTGCTTCAGGTTAAAACTTTGCTTCAGGATGAGAACAGAAATCGTGCTCCGGCAGCGCGGCAGGCCCCATTAGCTAAAGTGGTGCTTCAGGTTAAGAACAGTTTCAGGTTAAGAACGGACCTCCAGAACGAATTAAGTACTTAACCCGAGCTACCACTGTATACAAAAGATAACTCTTCATATGTTGTTGACATCATTAGTACATTTATTACCCGTCTTTCACCAGCAGGTTCCTGGGTGGGCTATAGCAACTTAAAATTCAGTATTATAAACAGTTAAAACAAGTTACAGGAGTAGCATTCTTTTTAGTTTTTATCTTGGTTATTTCTTGAATCAGCCCTGTTGGGTTTCCACCAATCCCATTTAAAAGATAAGGAACTGAAACTGACAGGGACTCTTTTAGAACTCGCTGAGTATAATTTCCTGAACTTAATACACCATCACTTGTCTATTCAGGAGGCAGTACTGTCCCAGTACTTTTGCACTTGACACAATTGCTGTGTGTGTACTCTCACCAGAATTCTTGTCTTTCAGCAAGAGGGTTCAAGCCCTCAAGCCCAGAAACGGTTTATCTTTGTTAGAACTAAGTTACCAAAAATTAAAGAGCCACATATGAATCTTTAGAAGCTGCAGTATGCACCGTGGAGCAGAGAGAAAGTTTTCAAAAAGTAAAAAAAACTGGGGGGACATTGCTCACCCCTGCCTCACCCTGAATAGACAAATCCTACAGACCTATCCACTACCACCACCTGTGGTGGCTAAAAAAGCTTGATTTAGAAAGTCTGGATGAATAGTTTGGATAAAGCAACACCAAAGAAAGCTTTGCTGTGTTTTCTTCCCTGAAAATGTTCAGCCAGTGTGTTGCACTTGAGAGTCCTATTTGCCAAGGGACAGCACTATTTCTATCTACAGTATTTTCAAACAAGCCAAGATTAGCTTCCTAGAGATTTAATTAATAACCATACTTGGAAACATGTGGACAGAACACATGAAACAGAATGGACACAATGCTGGAGTCGGAGCCTGCGATTTTGGGGGATGAGGCGGGGGCCATAGGGGAAGTGAAACATTAAATGTTTGTGAACATTTGCAGTTAAGTGGAACTAGGAGAGCCTACACCCAAACCACTGAAAATGTGGCTAGGCATTTTTTGGCATCTTTTGGAGTGCCTGGGTGGGTAAAGTTAGACATATTGTTGCTTATTCATAGTAAATATATTGTATGAGAGACCCCATGAGAATATATGCAGTATGTATATATGTGCAATACAGTGGTACCTCAGGTTACATACACTTCAGGTTACATACGCTTCAGGTTACAGACTCTGCTAACCCAGAAATAGTGCTTCAGGTTACGAACTTTGCTTCAGGATGAGAACAGAAATCATGCTCTGGCAGCAGGAGGCCCCATTAGCTAAAGTGGTGTTTTAGGTTAAGAACAGTTTCAGGTTAAGAACAGACCTCCGGAACGAATTAAATACTTAACCCGAGGTACCACTGTATGTGCAATTAGGGGGTTTTGCCCAGATATGCATCACTTTACAGTTGTTTACAATGAATTGCATTTGCCATTTTATTACCAATTCATTCAGGAGAAATCCTGTTGCAGCTCTTCACAATCCCTTTAAAAAGCCCACCTTGAACAGTTAGTTAAGTATCATCAGCAAACTTGACTACTTCACTAACTTCCTATCAGTTATGAACAAATAAAAAGCACAGGCCTCAAAACTGATACTTGGGGGACTCTGCTGTCTACATCCCTCCACTGGAGAACTGCCCATTTATTCCTACTCTCTGCTTCTTGTTACTTCACCAATACCTGATCCACAAGAGGACCTCTTATTCCATGACGGCTAAGCTTACTAAAAAGTCTTTGGTGGGGTACTAAAAAGGTGGTGGAGATGAAGAGCCCTTCATCTGCACCTGACTCTGCACACTCCCACTGCCTGGTCTGGAAAATTGATTTGCAGGGAAGAATCAGGGCTGCAAGGAGAAAAGAGCCAGGCGACAAATGCAATGATTCCAGGTTTTGCAGCTGTTGCAGATAAGGCAGTTTGATCTTATCTCCATTTTCCAGGCAGAGAGAGGGGGCTGAGATGAGAGACAATGGCTTGTCTTGGGGTACTTCTAATGAGTTAATGGTTGGAGATTTCCAACCAGGGATTCATTCCCTTCACCACTGTGTTATGCCTCTAGGTTAAGGTTTCCCAAAGTTGGGTCTCCAGTTGTTTTTGGGCTACAGCTCCCATCATAGCTAGCAGGATCAGTGGTCAGCGATGATGAGAACTGTAATACCAAAACAGCTGAAGACCCAAGTCTGGAAAACCCTGCTCTAGGTGCTCTGCTAGAAGAGGTTTGTTGCACAGTGTTGCTGCATATTCGGAAGTTATTCCCTATTCAGGCACTGTAGGTTTATATTTTGAAAATCAAGTAAAAAAAAATATTTTTTTTAAAAAAGGACTGTAGCCCTTTGGATGGGCATCCAGAGACTGCAAAAAGACACCACCCTCTGGTAAAACCAAATTGCTTGAATCCTCTCTCTTACCATCACCCCACTTCTTTTCAATTAACCCCAAGGAACTGTGTGTAAAAAAAGCTTTCTGCTCTGACCATTGACCCTTTTGCAGGTACACCGTGAAACATTGGATGAGATCTAGGTTTAAAAAAAGGAGCTGTTGGCATGTTTGATACATCGATCAAAGTACAAGTGCTGGAAAAGTAAATATATTTAGCCTCCAGGACAGACCTTGGACTATCAGTTTAGTAGACATTAACTTATGAAATCCCTTTGCCTCTCGGGGTGATCTTTGCTCCTTTAATAAGCTGATGCAATGCCAATTTGCATCTATAAAAGTCCAAGCAGAACAGCTGGACAAGTATGTCTGAAAGAGACTTAACATCATTTGGGAAACACGATTGTCGCAGGACAGCTATCCAAAGATGATGCAGTGTTTGAAAGTTGTGGCGGTCATCTTCGCTTGTTCAGTCCTGCTGTCTCAGGTAAGAACACTTCTGGTATTTCAATTCCAAACCGAAGGGAGATGCTAGCTTATTTGCATGGCCTGCATTTCAGGTGTCTTTATGCTTGGCTATGCCAAGTTCACAGAGACCAGAATTACCAGCCGTATCAAGACAGCATGACTGCTAGCTGTTATTAGCATTCTGCTCATCATTATGCCATGTGTTTTTGGAAGGAGGGTTTGGCTATTGCAAGGACTTTGGAGCAGACATGTTGTGCTGCCACACAGGTTGTGTGTGTTAACTAGGCCAGGCAAAGGCCTGTTTTGCCTTTACTGCAACCAGCCCAAGCTCTACTTTTGTCCCATAGAAATGAATGTCAACCAGTAACTTGTACTGGAAAGAAAGTAAAACGGTGTACTTAATGACTCGTGAGTTGTGTATTTTTGGATGTAGGAAGTGTTAGGTTTTGACATTCCTACTGGTCTGGAGAACGGTTGTGCAGAAACAGCAATAGCTTCCATATAGAAATGACTTCAGCCAAATTCTGCAGAGAATCAGGAGGGCTTAATAGCTAAATGGACCTCAACAAAATATGTAACAGCTGCCTACAATTCTGTTTCAGACACACTGTGCCCCTCTGCATCCAGAAAACTCTCAGCTATTAAGGCCGAAGAGAATGACACCCTTCTGGAGAGGGATCTCAAGACCGATTGGAGCAGCGTGCAGGGATAACAGTGAATGTGCCACAAGACTATGCAGGTAATTTTTATCTCACTCCTTGAAATGAATTCCATGATGACAGGAGCAGCCATCTGAGTCATCCTGAACAGAAATGAGGAACATATGCGACTCTTTGAGCTTCCAAATCCCACACAAAAAAATAATAATAATCAGAATGATAGGAATTGCAAATCTAGACTGTCCCATTTTTAAATGAATAAACTTTAAACTACACTGAGCCTTTAATACAGTCTAGATTATCTGGAACATTTTAAATATTGCCAGATGAATTACCATAGAAATGTCAACTGTGAAAATAGTTTAGGATCAAGACAGTAAAACACATACTAGTCAATAAAGCTATTTATATTTATGCTAGTCATTAGACTATTCCCTGAAGATATACATCAACTGAGCACCAAAAACTAAAAGAAAAAATTATTTTTGGTGTGCTGTTCTAAAAACAAAATTGTTGTGTGCTAATGAAATGTTTGATGGTGACACTATTTGCTCTCCCCTTAAGACGAATACCAGACACCAATCAGTTTTTTAAAAATAAAAACCATAACATTTAACTTTGCTTTCATATTACAGAGCTGTATATTAATTCCTCTCTGTATATTAATTCCTCTCTGTATATTAATTCCTCTCTGTATATTGCTTTTTTATTTTTCAGAAACAAACACTGTTCTTTAAGAGTATCGCAGGAGTGATTGTTCACTAAGGTGAAGAAACTGCTGCTGCTGCTTTTGATAATGCTCCTCCCTGTTTATTTATTATCACCTCTCCTGAGATCATGTGCTTAAAGATTTTCAATGAAAGCTTCTGTTGTATGGACAGCTACAAAGGACTTCAATGTGTCAAAGCACATTTTAATTTAGGCTACATCTTTCCATCATCAGTCCTAGAGGAAGCTAAAGTAGTTTAAACCAATCTTATTTTTTTGTACTGTTTATCATGTTTTTCTATGCAAGACATTAAATAGCTGTTAAGCAAACGCACTTTGCTATGTGCCTTGTATGCCAGCCAAAAGGGAAAGCCAGTCTGGGAAGATACCCTGGAAGTACCCTGAGCAAAGCTGAACTATAGACCTTTACCATTCTACAGGAGCTAAGGGAATGATATAGGTTTTCCCCCATTAAATCCTCAAGCAATTATTCAACGCTGGTAAATCAAAAAAAGCATAAGAGCAATAAGCACCTCAGTACCACAATTGATGCCATCTCTTTTACAATGTTTGCCTTTCAAACTTTAATTGTGTGGTGGGGAATGATGTAACTGGCTTAATAGTAAGGAATGGGTAATTATGCGCATACTGGAAACATAAAATGGAGTTTTCCCCACTTGGAACATATGGGAGCAGCATACCACTCTGCCCACTCATCCTCAAACAGAACAATTCTTTCTGAACCAATGTGTAATGCTCTTGTAGAAAGGCCCATACAAAAGGATTAATTCAAGCACAGTGCTTATAAAGTTTAATACAGAAAATCTATTTGATATTTATTAAACTTAGTTTCTCCAGTTACAGTTTTGCATTGTACAAAGCATTTTAATGACACAGTAGTTAAAAAGATCTTTACAAATTGAAATGTGATACCCTTTTCTCCAAATATTTAATTGCCATAAATTTGTTTAAAAATACACATTAAACGCATATTTCAGACACTAAACTTTCTATAATCTCAATACCACAAAATACATAGATATACTATACAGATGTGGGGGGGAAATCTAGTTAGTATATAATACTTTGCTCACCATTAACATACGTGAAATGCACATACTGACTTAGAAATCCTAATTTGGAGCCCCAAAGTACCCTTTTGAAATTTCAAATATATTGCAAAGTAAAGGGGGGGATCACAGTTTTGTTTTAAAAGTTTAGTTTTGGTTGAAAACAGATGACTAATACATTGATAAGTAACAAAATGTATAAGACATGGACATGTCATGTACAAAGCATACAACAGAGAGCCATCCTGCCAATCATGTTCAGTACCAAGCTGCATGCTCAAGAAGGGATTTTTTTATATTTTTTAATTGATAAGCCAAAGGTTAAAAACAACTTCCCCCTCCCAACACATTTGCCCCCAAAAGGAAAAGAAAAGCCACCTTTACCAAGTAATTTCAAATATGATAAAGGATCTTTAATAAATATATAAGCACTTTATCCTCCATATACAAAACTTCTTAAAACCATTTAAAAATGGAACCAGATACATATGCCAGCAACTGTGCTTGCAGAGGCTTTTGGCCTGGCTCATGAAGCCAAGTTCTATGTTATTTTAGTGCAACCATCTTGGAATGTTGGCTGCCAATACTGATGTGATCTATGAACTAGGAGAAGGAAAACGTCTGAGCCCAATTTGCCAGCACCAGTTCTGTTCAGTTACATTACCAGAAACAAATGTGTGGTCAATATTTCTACACATGGAATTGGGAAGACAAGCCAAAATTAGATCCACTTTGACAATTAATCTGAGCGGGAAGCAACAAAATGTCTTCGGCTGAGTTTGCTTAAAGCCTCGATGAATCGGGAGAAGCCATTTTGTAAAAACACTCGGGTTTCTACAAAAGTCTCGACTCCAGTGAGAATGTTACAATCAACCCATTTCCCATAACTGCTATTTTTAAAATGCCATAAGCACCCCAGTACCCACCCAAAATAATGAAATTGATTTCTCATACTCTGTACAGTTAACCTGCATTTTCTAGGTCTTGGAGGAAAGTCGCTGAATAGAGCACACTAGTAAAAGCTTTGGCTACACTCTGTTGAAAGATCTCCAACATTAACTTAGCTACCAAAAACCCAAACTTCCCACAATACTGATTTCCACTCAATTTAACGTCATTCTGTCCTTGACGCAAATATTTATGAAATATTTGCCATTCTGGACTCTGCCATGTGGTCTGGTTGTTGCTTACTTCTTGTATGGGTAAAATGTATTCAGACTTGATTTGCTCAGGTCCATCGAAACCCCCTTAATAAAAAATACTGCAAAGTTTACAGTGCAGGGAAATGTTACTATATATAGCAAAAGTAGTCTTTCCCGATATTTGCCAGATTTGGCAAGCTTCATGGTTATCTGCCTACAGCTATGTCTTACTTGCCTTTGGCAATCCCTCCATTATATCCAGACTCCCTACCTGCTGTGGCTGCTCATAACACACACTACAGGGTTTCTCGTGTATAAAATCACAGCAATCAAGCTTCAATAATCTAAAAGAAACTGATAGCACTCCAGCATAATATGCAAAGTTTATCACCATCACCAAAATGAGGATGGCTCAGCACTCAATAAATATATTGATATAGTCAGCTGTACTATAACCTAACACAAGTATAACAAACTTTGGACAGACTTGAGTTCATTCATTTATATATGTATGTAGATATATGTATTAGAAACATGTATATTACAAATTGCATACTGCTGTCAAAGGTCAAGAGCCACTTGCTCTGCTTTACAGCCAAGAGATTTAAATCATATTGAACTGAACACGCTGGGTCATCTTAGTCTGGTACCCTGAATGTTCATTTAAGATACAAAATGAAGTAGCTAAGTGTCAACAAGGTCAGTGTTTCCTAGGCATTTTATTAAGGGGATCTGCCATCAGAATTGATCTATAGTTTGGGGACGTGCTAGTCAGAATCGACTGATGAAGTGAAACGTTTGTAGCTTCTAATGCTACAGTGTCTCACCCACTCACTGCCAGCAGGCTGGTGAAACACCTAAAGAATTCCACTGGTGGATCTCGTGCCACCGTTCATGAATTGCTCTCCTATGACCCTGCAACTTTTGAGAGAAAATTCAGAATTACTTGAACACCTGAGCAAGCCTAGTCCGACTATTAAGCAGTTCTAAAAGGCTCATCACTGGGATACACAGCAACATTGATATGTGTAAATACACAACCATAGAACCCCTTATTCCAGAGTTTCCACACAAAGACAACAGCACAATGCCAGTGCTCAAAATATACACATAATGCATCTTAAGGGCAGATGTTATGCTTGCTTTTGCTCTTTGAGAAGAGAAGGAAAAGCTCATGATGTGTTTGCATTTAACAATTAACTTTGGCAAATTACTCATGCACTTCAGAGACAAAGGAATTCCAAGTTCGATGGCCTTTTGAAATTTTGTCTACTCCTAATTTAACTGGTTGGAAACTGCTAAACAGTTTGCATTCATGAAGGAAAATAACTGCGCATATTTAGGAAATACAAATAATACCTCTGGGAGGCATATATTACAAAAGATAATGCTTGCTAGCTTAGGTATACATTTAAAACTACAGAGGCCTTGCTAAATTATTAAACATACAAATGTCTAGGATTCATCTGAAGAAGCTTCTTTTAAAAAAATCCAATCTGATATAGAGTATTCTACTTCTGAAAACAATGTTTTTTTAAAAAAACGAGAGAGATTTTCCCACTGGCAGTTATGGTAACTGGGTACAAAACCAAGCCAAATCACCCTGCTGATCACTGCAGCACTACACAGCAAGTGAGCTTGTAATCCAACTCCTGCTAACAGTGTAGAGGCTTCGGTATGATAAGTGTGCCAGGCACTTCTGAATGTTAAGGAAAAACCTACCCATTGGATCTGAGTTAGCATCTGTGCTGTACCTCTTGGGACCAAAGCACATGAAAACGTGCCTGCTTTAAAACTGCTTCGCAAGACTGGTACCTCTACACAAGCAGCTCACATGAAATGGACCACAGAAACCATTTCTTTTTAAAAAAATAATCTGAAACTCTCTTAGTCTGTGTGCCGGGCACATACACAATAAACTGCTTGCCAAGGAAGCTGTTTAAAGAAGGTTCCATATGACAGCAGTTGTATTTGCACTGGCCAAACAGCGACACCAAAAGAATATGTAGCCATTTAATACATCATCACCCATTACTGCTTAACTGAGATTCAGTTTGCCCACAGTAAATCATCCTAGGCTGCATCATTTTCTCAAATATTGTTTGATTTATCATCTTTTGTATGCATGGGTAGGACTTCGTATTTTCCCCTCCACTCTTACAATGCATTCTTGTGGATAAGAGTGCAACAGTAAACAGCATTAATGATTGTGAATACAGAACCAAGGGATAGTTGATTTCATCGGAAACAATTCAAAGTATCAAGGTAAGAGAACCTGTGCATTCCTTGAAGTACAAAACATCCGAACACAAGGCTCCGTTGACTATGCAAGCTATAGTTTAGTGACTATAATTTATGAAGTTTCTCAACGTCCCAAGGACACACTGCAGTACTAATCAATGTAGAATTCTATTCCTTCTTTCAACGTTCGCCATCATTTTGGCACATAGCTATACAGCTAGACATAAATTTAGTGCAATCATTTTCTTGAACATGCACATTTACATCTGGGGTAGGGTTCAGGGACAAGGGCAGGTAAAGCAGCATTCCACAACCCCACACTGAGAGGGGTTCAGAGTTTGACTCTAACGAACAACCAATGTGTGTATTCTCAACAAATGACAGCCACTAGTTATCAGGAAAAGGAAGTGGAATTTTACCAAAGTACTGCAGGAGACCAACTGGATACAGTATACCAGGTCCTAAGTGTAAAACCTCTTGTAAACAGTATTCAAAATCTTCGTCTAAAAAGGCATAAGGCACACCAGACATGTTAGGGATGCTAAGCAGTATTCTTTTCGTCAGGCAGGCACCTCCTATGGAAAGGTGCTCTGGTTAGTAACCTTAAAGCAGTCACTTAGAATTCCACGCATGATTTTTGCTGATCACAGTTATTTCCTTGAAAATTAAAGATTCTGTTCCCATCACAAACACTTAACATTAAGGAAGGTGTCATAAAATGGGGTAAAAGCAAGATTTTAAATCAACTGGACGTTAATAGTTTAAAATGTCCCTGTAATCATAGGTCTACTCTCAACCCCATCTTGCCCACTGCGTACACCTAACCATGAGAAACCCAAGGGTGTTTAGTTACTGCTCACATTTTCTGATTTACCACTGGAAATGGACAAGCATCACTTCCATGTAGGAGTGAGTTAGTGGCTTCAGTGTCTAATAAAGACAAGCAAGGAAACAGAGGCTGCACCAAAGCACAAGATTGTCCATTTGAAACCATTTCTGGTCTACACCTGCAGACTGAAGCTCAATTGTGAGACCCACATCACTTTGATATTGCATTAAATGCAACTTCCTGGAAGGTTTTCATATTATTAGTGTTAAGACATGTGTTTTGAAGCTAAGTGTCCATAGAGATAATTTTTTTTTACATCTCACTTAAATAAAATGGCTTAATGTATAGAACAACATCATTGGAACTTAGTACAATAATAAACCTGTGGCTGTCATTTAGGGGTTTAACTGAGATATTCATGAAAATATGTCCCTACACTTTAGAATCTATCAACCCTGACTTTCTCTTACAAGCTCTACCACCACAAGACATTACAGAATAACAAAGCTCACAAAATACTTAAATAAAGTGTCTACATTTTATCTTCACTAAGTACTTGATCAGGTAAAATTTATAGGAAAAATTGCTAAATCTTAAAAAAGCCCAAAAATAGAGCTTTCAAAAACAAATTAAAATAAATATGTTTTAAAACAGATTTGTTAGGCATAATTACTAGAATTCCAATCCAATTGCAGCTCAATGAATCCATCTTACATTAAAACGTTGCAGAGTTTAAACTATTTTTTAAATACCTTAAAAATGGAACAACTGAAAAAGTTCATTAACATGATGGTTGGGAGGTTCTCAAACACATGATGCTGGGAGACACATGAAAGCATTCCTTAATCTCAGTGTCCACTAAGCAATGCATTATGGCAGTCTTCCTTATTTTTTTATGACACAGTGTTGAAAAAAAATCAGAGGCAGCAAGAAAAGTATCTTCTATGCTTTAGATTTTTTCAGTCCAGTTATCACTTGGCATCCAAACGCAACCAATGCAGTCCCTGTCTTGTGTAACGTACTAGGTCTGTCATGACACTTGCATTAAAGATCAGAGGGCCCATCACTTTATCCAGTTCAGCAAAGAATTCTGCAGAAAAGAAGAAGCAACCAGACTGAAATACACCTTTACGCAACATATTACCCAAGATTAAAAAGATGGAAAATTCACATTAAAATTGTATTTTTTCTGACTGCAATGCTAAACAAAATAAAAAAGCAAGGAATGGGAACTTTGATTCTCTGAATCTCTTAACTACTCTTGCAGGGATCAAGCTCAGTCAGAGAACCTCTCCGGGCTCTGAGCAACTGCTAACTGATTTGTATGTTGGGGCATCTGAATCAGATGTTTATTTAGTGATAGTAGGGTAGAAATCTTTCAAGTACAGATAACTGAAGGTTTGTATAATAAGTGTTCACAGAGTGGGATCTTAGAGTACTTTAGATAGAACAAAGTGCTCAAAGTTTCATGTAACATTCAAACAATACGTTCTAATATTGGTCAATTTTCTCTAAGCCTCAGAACATTTCACATACCTATATAGGGGGAAAATTGGTGGGTGGGTGTGTGCACGCGCTCGCTCGCGCGCGCGCACACACACACACCCTTTCAATTGAAGATCTCAGGACAGTTCACAAGATAAAAATACAGGATAAAAGCACAAATAAAAGGTTAGAATACAAAACAATAAACCCCCCTCCCACAAACATATTTAAAAGGCCATAGAATATTAATCAGCCAAAGGCCTGGTTGAAGTGGAACGTTTTCACCTGGTGTCTAATATATATATAATGAAGGCGCTGATGAAACTCCCCGGGGAGAGCATTCTACGAATGGGGAGCCACTGCAGACAGCTGAACAATGAGCTGTAACAATGGGGGATGGAGCTGTCTCCTAACATCCACTGGCCTTACAGGCTGGTCCTCCAGACAAGTGAGGGTCTGAAGAGGGTTTCAGCTGAATGAGCTTGGAAACGCTCCCTGTGATCTGACTGGGTTCCTGCTTGTGGGAGGGTTTCCAAGTGTGTTCTACTGAATGAGCTTAAAACCCACTTCTGATCTTTGTGCGTCTGAAGAGCAGCTTGCACGCTTGGGGATGAAGCTTGACTCTGGCACCAGCCCCCATTTTGCAGCTCAAGTGCTCCAGAAAATGCCTGAGGATGGCTTCTTAGGGGCTCAGTGTTACTGGTTTCAGTTATTTAATTTTCCTCCTCCTTTCCCCCCGTTTTAAAGTGTATGGGCAAGGGCTGGGGAGAGGCACAGGTCTCTTGAGGTCATGGAATCTACCAACGAAAGTACAGACATTTTACAGTCTTAAGTGAACCAGTACCAGCAATAATGTAAGTACTGATTTTTTTAAAAATTTAAATGTCATGGTCTATGTGACTAGACCTGATGGTAGATTAATGCAGCCAAGTCTTACCCTTTTGCTCTCTAGCAAGCTGATCAGCTTGGTCCCAAATTTCAGTGGCATACAGAAAATTGGATGTAACCTGGACATAGCTGGCTGCCATCTGGTGTATCCGTTGTGGAATAGTAACTGAAGATGTGCTCCCTGAAGGGTTGGTTGACCCTGAAGAGTAATTTCCTGAATTTCCCGGAGACAACTTCGGAGAGACTGGAGACGGCATGCTGACTGGTTTGCTAATAATTAAAAAGATCACACACATTTGTTTGCCACCATCAACATTAAGCCAAAAGAGAAGATATGTGATACTGACAAAGTTATGTAATATTAAAACTATATTCTGACATTCACTCTATAGGGACAATTAGAACTATTAAAATTGACGTCACCCATTACTTATAGATCTAATTCAGCACATATCACATTGTGCACAGTCCAGGATGCTAGATATGGGATTAACCACCCATATAGCATCCTTTTGCATTCATACACCCTGATGCAAAGGGGGCTAACTCTTCCTGGAGGTTTATGTAACACTACATACAAAAAATATTGCCAATATATTATTGCTACTAGACCCAAGTGTGCAAACTTTTATTTAAACCATGTAGCACTTCCAGTAAGTGCTACGAGTAATATTAATGTTGTTATAATCTTGTCAGTTAATTATTAGTGTGTTTCCCTCTCAATTTGTGGGAGACTGAATACAGTCCTTTGAGAAATGGAAATAAATCATGAAAATCTGCATGTTTTTCTAGAAGGAAAAAAGTCTATCACATTAAAGCCTCAGAATGCAACAGTGCACAGACCCTTAGAGAAAATGAAGGAATATGAGAGAACACAGAAACCACCACTTATCTGATGATGATCCAAGTATCAACAGCTAGATTTCTCATTTTGGTTGTATCCAACAGTGCTGTTCAACTGACTGGGAGGATAGTAATTTTCAGTGTTTCCTCCTGCTGCTGCACCAAACCCCAAATCTGCTCCAGAAGCTTGTGTGGCTTTCCAGAGACGACTATGGAGCACAGAATGGAGGAGTAATTGCTGAAAAATGCTTTCCTCCCTGTTCTGCTGACGGAAGCCTTTCTGAATGGCATCATTGGATACAACCTAGTATTGTGTATAAAAGAAACACTTACCTTCCCATACCAGGTGATGGCGCTTGAGAATTGTTATAGGAATTCTGTTGAGGAAAAACAACCCATTCAATAAATTGTACAATAAAATCTGGAAAATACAGCAGTCACCAAGTATGTTGATGCCAGATGTCAGGGATAATGGGAGTTATTATTCTTCATTCAATTTGTTAGTCACCTAATACAAAATGTCTTTCTTACACAATTCATCAAGTTTAACTACAGCGCTTTCCCCACCCTCCAAAAAAAACCCCATTCCTGCATAGAGAAGCATGATGATCACAATGAATAACCCTTTGGGTTAGGCAATTTCTTTCCAAAGCTACAATGAACATGTTTTTTACCTTTAGATGTTCAGTCAATGTCTTGGAATACTTCAGGGCACTCTCCTTCTTCAGTTTGAAAAGTCTTAAGTATAACAGGGACTGGCATCTAAGACTAGAAAAAGAAATAACACCATCACTTTAATTATTATATATATAATTTTCTTGTTATGAAATTGTGCGAATAAATAATAAAACATGACATGACTAACCAAAAATCGGTCTGGGGGTGTGTGTAAAATACTAAATGTATTATTTTATAGTACATAATAATGAGGTGACTACAGTAAGCTAATTATTACTTTGGAATATTGCCAAAGGCAGTACAAATAATAACAGCTATGTGATGGCTGTAACATAACCAGGAGTACTAGAACAGTTGAATTCAAAGAAGATTAAAGTGATACTAAATCCCAGGTAGAAGCGTGGACTTCTCCTTGACATCTTGAAGAGCTGTTGCCAGTCAAGAAATAACAGTACTAGGCTAGATAGTAAGCTTTGGTTTTTTCCTTATCACAAAATGTACATTATACAGGTATAGTCTGCCTTCAAAGCTATTTAACTGTAATTGCTCAAACTGTACATACCACAGCACTGCTAGCCTTTTGTCTGCTGCAGTAGCATCTGGTGCTGAGTAATTCTTCAGTTTCATAGTGTACCTGCAACCAAAAAATGATATAAGCAACTGTCACATCAAAGCATTCAGTTCTTATTCACAATTCTTTAATGAAAAAATGTGAGGTTTGTGCTTTATCCTTTGTGCCAAAAAATCTGCAGTTAACCCCAAGCTGAAAAATACCGAGAGTGGAATATTTTTGTTCAAGGTTTTACTAAGGCACTCGCACCAGAGCTCCTAATCCCCATTTTTATGACAATGCTTGTTGCATGTTCTGTATCACTTACTTGATCAGCTCCACAGTTTCAGAATACATAGGGAACGGGGACTTTGATTCCTGAGCATTTTTCTCTAATGCATTCCCACATTCAATGAACGACACAACGGCATCAAGGTAGTACACAGCTTTCTCAAACCTGTCAGACTAAAGAAATATAAAGCCTTTTGACAATCAACTCATAAAAGTGAAGATTACTACTACAGTGTCAGGCAAAATAGTCGAGGGTGGTGGCGGGGGGGGGGGGAATCATGCCAACCCAGGACAATAAGCAATGCCTCTAAGTAAACAAAAGTTTAGCATTTTCCTTACCAATGCATCAGCATTGTGCTTTAATTTCTTTGCTTCTTGCAAGTAGTGATCTGCTGAGTAAGTCCTGCAACATAAAATGAAAACCTGTGAGACTGATAATATCAGAGCAGTCTTACCCTTTGGTGCCTCTCCCACTTATGGAGGGTTATCTAGGAGCCCTAATTTCCTGGCCTGACAATGCTCACAACACACCCCTCCTGCACTGGCACAATACATTGCATCCACACAGTGGCACTTTGGCTTACAACGTGTTCTCACTGTACTGGAGCAAAGGAATGACGTTTGGTTTGGTACTGGTTTGGGTCTGTGTTTTTGCACAGCAGATACGTAGTACTGGCCTTCAATTCCACAACAAAACATGTGTGGACCGGTGGGCATGGTTTAAGGGAAATGGCCTTGTGGGCCAAAGTGGATCTTCTGACAGGCCAAGATGGTCCCAGCCCCTGATCTATAATGACTGGCAGAAGCTCTCCAGGGTTTCAGGCAAGAATCTTTCTCAGCCCTCCCTGAAGGAAATGTCTGGGATTGAACCTGGGACCCTTCTCATGCAAAGCATATGCTGTGCTCCTTCTCAGGAGAACAGTGTCTTTTTGGGAGGAGAGGGGAACTAATTCAGCTCAGAGAAGATCTGCAGGTTTGCAGAAATAGACGGCATCACGCTGCATTTCACTCCTGGCAGCTGTAACTCCTTGCAACAGATGAGTGGAAAGGTACCCAAACTATCATGTCAGAAAGACAGAGCAAAAAGCCTAAAATGGACGACACACAGATGTCAGTATAAATATTCATCACACATTCTTGGTAACACAGAGACCAACTGCCTGACTTCTATCTGTTCTCACCTGTCATCAAACACTAGCTTTGCTCTCCGGGACTTCGAGTTATCTGTAGTCATGGTGGAGGCAGAAGGGCAGTTTGAAGAATTATTTAAAAGCTTCTCCTTGAAAGAAGACAGACCACAATTAGTTAAAACACTGATTTTTGGCGAACAAATATTCACTGCTTGTGCTTCACTTGCTGAGCTCAGGCTGGCTAAATGCAATCCAGATGTGTACCGTCATTCATGTTTACCACATATACAGCTTGACCGACACAGATGTTGCCATATGGACTCCAACAGATTCAAAACACAACACGGGCACTTTTCAATTAGGAATCCAATTGTTATTGTTTGCATATAATTAATTAATACAACTTATTAGGCATTTTCTAATGCTCACAGCTATACAGCTTTGTTAGGTCTCGTTCTCAGTGCTGTTGCAACCTATGCTGCAGTAGAACTATGCAGGAAGGATCAAATTACAGTCAGATGCCTGAGCAACGGCTGAATATTGCCATTATGTAACAGTGCAGCATACAACCAAAGATATTTTACTTTCCAGACGAAGTGCAATACTTTTTTCCAAAGAAAGCTACAAGCTCCAGGGTGGCCAAAGTTCTGAAATCTAATAACTACAGCAAACTTTTCAGATGCCCACCATTCTTATCACTGTTCCCACATCCCCAACAGTTCTCCGTAATCACGGTTACGTCTCACTCCTTCTTCCAACCCTCCAACAGCTGTTTCCCCTATTGAACTTGAACTTAAAATACATCACAGTAAGGCAGAGGTGCAATGTGCCAACCCTGCTCCTAGGGCTTTTAGCACCTCTCTGTTCCTCCCGTACTTTTGTGCTTGTGAGTAGAGGCGACAGCAGAGAAGCAGTCTTTCTAGCTGTCAATCTGCCCGGGAAGGGAGGGGCCCCGCTGGGAGGCTGGGGGGTGTCAAGGGCTTTGAGGGCGCTGACCTGTCCCACCCTGTCAGGATTAAAGAGCCACAAGCAGCCAGCGGGGTGGGTCCTAAAGCTCACCAACAGCGAGAGACTCTGGAGGGAAGTGGAAGCAAAAAGAAGGAAACCCAGCAGAACAAACAACTGTGTGTGCTTGTAGGCACAGAGAGAGGGAAAAGGAGGGGGGAATGGGCTGATTGGCTGCTGGGAGAAGCAGCAGGGAGAGAGCTTGTAAGTGAGGAATGTAGAGGAAAACAGCTAGAGGCAGAGAAAGGTATGGAGTTGGGGTGTGAAAGCACGCAAATCGAAAGGTTACAAGGAATGAAACTGAGAGAGAGAAACCTTGTGTGTGCACTTGAACCTGTGAGTCTGTGTGAAGTCACGAGGAAAATGAGAGTTAGAAGGTGTAAAAGGAAGAGAAGGCGCTTCATATAACACAAGTTTAACTGGCTTGTACTTCCTCCATGAGAGGGGAAAAACCAAGGCAGGGGGTTACAAAGGATCTCTAGTGTTAATTACGCCAATGGCAGCTGATAAACCAAGGAAACACAGAAGCATGATGACGGAAAAAAGAAAACCCTCTAACTTGAGACTCCTAAGGGTTCACCTGGAACCGGGTTCACAGAGGACATGAGGAGCAAGAAGCGTCACACTGCCCTTTTAACATCTGAAGGGAGTCTATAGTCTTCTTTCTATTCAACTTTAGTTTTTCTTTCAATCATCATCTCTGTGTTAAATCTGTTTACAAAACAGATAAACCAAATTCTGCTTCAATAATGAAACTCGGCCAACTAGGCTAATGCATTAATAGAACACATCAATACTACCCTAGCAGGAGAATTATTAAAACCCAGCAGAACCATGAGGGATACTAATTACCCTAATTTTAAATTGGTCCAGACATGACTCAGTGTAGGCTTAAAAGAAGGGTGCCAAAAAATCTATTAAAAACCAACTCCTGCCACATACACAAGCTCTTTGGAATTTCCCCCGTGAAGGCACTGTTTAGTCCAACTCTACTTGGCTCAAAAAATCAAGACTTTTGCAGCTACATTCCTTGGTGAAGTATTTAGCCACTTGTTTACTTTCTAAGGTCCTCCCATTGTCCTAGTTTCTACAACGCTCCAGTTTTGCCTGAGGCATAAGCAAATTTACTTTCACTTACTAGTTTATCTATGTTCCTATTAATGAAACACTGACCACTGATGAACAGAAAATCTCTAATTCAGAGTAACATTTGCAGTCTAGGAATTACCGGCAGGCAAAATATCACCTTCGTTGTCTACTTAAAGGTGTGCTCATGTCCACGAAGGTTCCTCTAACACAGGGTGGTACAACTTTTCATATCAAGTTTACTTCAGCATACAATCCACAGGCTGCATACTGCCTTGTCACGTGGGGTGGGGTGGGGGGATGCATGGCCAAAATCTGATCCCCCGGCCCAACCAGCCCTTGTGCAGCCTTCCCAAATCCCAGTAAAAGGGCGCTGCACTTTACTTTCTGACAGGGTCAGAGTCCTCATACCTCCTTCCCAAAGCTGAGAAAACACTAACTAGGATTTGGAAAGGAGATGAGAAGACTCTAAGGACCCGGTCAGAGCCCTCACACCTTCTCCTTTGCAGGGGACATCAAATGTTGCCTGGGGAACACCAAAAGGCATTGCGGGTCCTATACACCCCCTGGGCCACGCTTTGGACCACCCTGCTCTAACAGGTATCTTATAAACCCCAAGTTGTCGTGTCTCAATTAGAGAACTCAAAAGCTGTGAAATTCTAGCTTTAGCCAGACAAAACAGTCAAATACTCCTACAATGTCTGAGTGGAAAACAAGCCCCTCCCTCTGACGTCTAAAAGCATATAGCATGAATGTCTGCAAAGAGGAACCCTTTGTGCTTACAGCTGTACTAACAAAGGCATCCATGCAACCTGAAATTCTACTGGTTCCAGATTACATGGATGCCTTTGCTGGTACAAGAGTACACAGGAAGGTTACCTCCTTGCAAGCGTTTGTGATGTAGGCATGGACAAGAGGGCAGGCCAAGCTAGCATGCGTATGTCAGGTCAGTCAATGCAGCCCTGCTCCCATTTTTTGTTCAACATGTAAGGGTTTCTTCTGAAGAGGGCTTATTTGCTTGGTTTTACAAAAAGTGCAAACGAAAGGTTATGGACAATGGAAAACTATGATGGAAGTATAATCTTTTTACCTTTGCTTCCTTGGTATTACTTGAGGCCTTCCCTTCAGTCTTCTTTTGTTTAGAAGAGCTACCTTTGCTGCTGCTACTCTCCTTGTTATTGTTACTGCTCGATTTCAAGGAAGACGACTGACTGACGGTTCTCTTCCGAGACCCATGCTCTTGCTTGGAATCTTTCTGGGTGGCTGGGGTTGTGGCTGGAGACGGAAGAAGATCCTTCTCCTTAACAGCACTCTGCTTTGATGATCTGCCCCACAGGGAAGGGGAAAAAAAATTAACCAGTGCAAGTTACTGCCACCTATGCAAACCTATTCCATGGTTCAAGTACCACTAGCAATCCCATGTAAGAATGAAGAAAATATGGCAGCTCTAAAAGTACAACATTAAACAGAAAAACCATCCTCTAAATCAGGAATAGGAGCTTGTGACACCCCTGTCCCCAGATGTTGTTTGATGCAAATGGTTAGAGATGGGGATTGTAGTGCAGCGACATTTGGAGGGCTACAGGTCCCCCCCCCCCCCCGCGTTACAGCAACGGTGGTCACCCAGTGGCCCACGGCCATTTTGGGACAGGTGCCCAAAGCATTCTCAAAATTCAAATATGCCCACTGTTTGAAAAAGGATAGTGACCCCTTATCTAAAAAGGTAGAGATTATGAGCTATGATCCAGAAAGGTGCCCACTTACAAAAAAAAATAAATCGAGCTCTTTTAAGCTGTCTCTTCAGAATGGACAAACTACAATTTAAACTACCAAATGTTAAACATGTGGTGGGGCATTTGACATGGCAGCTTTTTTATAAGAAATACTTGCTAAAAGCAGGTATACATTTCTCCCCTAATTTTACCTTTGAACAAGTGCTGTGCCAACCCAAAATTGAGATTTCTTTTAAAGAAAGCAATCTGACAATTCTGCAGTGGTAACTGATCAAACAAAAGCTGGAACTTTGTGTGCAAATGGACCACTTTTAAAACTGTGTGCTCTGAGCAAACCTTCTGCTTCATGCATTTCGGATCTTACGTAGTGTAGACAAGCACTCACTCTCTGTTACTGGACGTTTTGTGCACTGAAGGAGCCTTTTCTTCTAGTTTAGTTTTCTTGCTTTCAACGCCTCGGCTTTCCTCTGCATTCTAAAATGAAACAACCACAAAGTTTGATGATCTCACATTAAATAAGTGCAGCTATGTTTCACAGACCACCACAATGATTTAACAAGCCACTTACAGGATTAAGATAATAATACAGCGAGTAATAAAAACATTCCCTGCAGGAACAGTACAAGATAATGTCAATAAACCTTACTGACAAAATGAACATAAGGCTGAAGTATTGTAGATGTCATACTCCTGCAATACAAGGAGATCTAAGTGTGGCTTTAATAGCTTCATGCATGCAAAAATGTGACAGCTCAGTTTACTCCCACTATAGACTGTCAAAACAGCAACTGGTCTTGTCATGCTGACACAAGAGTCTCTATACTGGATCTCACCAGCGAAAATTTATTCCTATTTACTATGCTAAGAAATGTGCAATTTAAAGGCTTACTTTAATATTTAGCAAAATACACATTTACTATTTGTAAACTGCTCCTTGTAAATGCACGTGTTAAACATTTCATAGCAGAAAAAAATGAAACATTAAACTACTTTTTAAGGGTGTTCATTAATATGGTAAAAATATAAATGAAATAATATAAATGTACTAGGTACTGTGCCCCTGCTCACTCCGCTGACCAAGCCCCTGCCATTCCCATTAAGAGCCTAGAGCTTCCCCTTCCCCTTGTATTTTGCAGAACCTTTCATTTCCTTGCTTTCACCTTTAACCCCATGCCTATGCTTCCTATTACCTCCTTTTTGCCACCCCATTTTCACATTCACTCCTTTTTTCCCTTTACTCTTCCCACTTTTTCAGCTCCCTCTTGAACACAGATCACTCAATTTCCATGCCTTCTTCTCTCTCCTATTCTGCAGCTCCCTTGGAGCACACATCCCATAATGATACATGCTACTGCATCTTTTAGATTAACAGAATCGTAAGGAACTAGGCTGTCAGCTTGTTTAGTGAGGGAAAGTTAAATTCAGTTGAAGGATGTTGTCCAAATATTGGTGTATCTTCTAAATTACTATATTGAATATGGAACTTCAATAAGGCAACATGTGGTACCAAGAGTGAAATGCTTTGTGGGAAGGTACTGTGGAATACTTGAGGGATCTATGTCACATGAGGCAGCCAAGGAATGAAAGAGAAAGAAGGTTAAAGCAGCCATTCCTCCCCCCCCCCATTGCTTCTCTCTTCTCGCTGTACTCAAACAACGGCAGAAATTTAAAGTAAAGCAGGAATAGAGGGACACTGAAATGAAGTTTTAAACAACATCAGAGGTTTAAGTAAATCAGGAAGAAGGGCACACTGAGGTGTTTAAAAAAACCCCAACCCCTAATAGTTTTAACATGGAGAAATAGCAGATAAGAAAAATAGAGAAGAAAACACCAAAAAGTTAATGCAACAGAACCTTTCCCAGTTTCATTTTCACTGTACTCAAAACGTTTCAAACTGCCACTTTCCCATCTTAGTGTTACTCCCTGTTCACTCTACTCAAATCTCTGCCACTGTTTAAAATCACCACTTTCCCCCCTCAGTTTGGTTCCATCTTTGCTTTACTCAAACCTCTGCTGTTGTTAAAGCTTCCATTTTCCTGTGTGTCCATCTTCTACTTTCTTTTTTGCTCCTTTCCTCTATCCTGATTTCATGCAAATCCAGGATAGTGATTTCATGCGAATCGTCCCATGGGGGTTATTATTTGACTTCATGCAAATAAAGGATTGTGATGCAGCACTACAAGTCTTCTAATATATGTAATATATATAGATTTCAAGTTTGGCATGCAAAACTTGAAAATAAGCCAGAATATGCATGAGCTGGTTTAAAGTTGGCTTTTGAATCCTGTTTATTTGAATCCCATTAACCATGGCTCTCAGTTCACATATAATTGAAAACTATGATTAACTGCTTGTCTGAAGAAAGAAGTCAAGAGGCAAGAAAAGAGAGAAACTGCCAATGCACCAAGCTCATACATGTCCTGACTTATTTAACCCAGGATTTGGTCATGCAAACACAGCCACCGTAAGAGGGATGTGTCTGCTAATTTGCTATCTGACCTAACTTGCCCCACTGGCTCTGAATTGATTTAAATTACTTTTAAGATCTCTGCTGTTTGCTGTTCATGAAACTTGTTGGGAGATTGGTGGAACCTCTGGTAATTCCCAGTCACCTCCGAGCATGGGCAATGAAAGCTGAGTACTCCTGAAGGCAAGGGGAATGCTAGCCAAGAATTGGTTCAGTGTGAGTTGAGGGCTCTGGAAACACTGGCAAAGACAGAATGCAGGGAGACAGGAGAAAGAAGAGTTTCTGGGAACACTGCAGCATGTGTGTTCTGTTTTGTAACCACCCCCACCGTGAAAAAGTGGAGGGTATCTGGTGGGCCAGTGAAAAAAGGCTTGGCAGGCTGGTTATGTGACACTAGTTCTAGTCCCCTCTCCCACTTTAAAATTTACTGTTGTCTGAATTACTGTTGTTTGCAACAAATTATTAAGGTGTAGAGATATAGGAAGATGGCCACATCATAAAGTATTGGGAGATAGCGGCGATCCCTTTGGGGCTGAGCTTGATGATTTCAACATCTTTCTCTCTCTTGATGTTTCTGGCCTGCAATGGTGCTTAGTCCCATGTAGTCTTAGAAGACTACGAAGAATCTTTTGTAGTGAGGAACAGTTGGAAGTTAGAAAGTGTTTGAAATGGAATGCAGCAATGTTCTCCTGCCTCCTTAGTTTATACCTTGGCTTATTACTCTGACATATGATGTGTCTATTAATGCCATTTTGTGATAAAACATGGCTTTTAAAAATACATATGTATAATAGTATTCCGTTAGACTGGGCTTCACAAATGACTTAACAGAAAGGAATGATGCCAGTCAGTTTGTAAATTCCTGATTTTGATAATTTTTGAGACATGCCTTAAACACTCTATAAAGATCTTATTAATCCTAATTACGCTTTAATGCAAGATTGTGAATATAGTTGCTGAGAGGATTTTGGCAACAGCTGTGACACAACTGATCCAGCTTAAATTTAGTGTGCCCCACCAACACAGTCACAATAACAAGAATAACTAGATTTAATGAAGCCTTTTACACAAGAAAAATGGGGAAAAGTTCACTGTTAGAATTCATATATATGAGAAGTGGAGAGTGAACACTTTGCACACTCATTCAGTTAACATTCTGCCCCACTTTTAAAATTAAAGGCAAAAGAACTAAGTGTATTTAAATTGTTGGTAGACAATAAGAACAAACAACTGGCAATAGCCAGTGTTCAATATTCCCCAGGTGTGTTTTGCTACTGGCATGGGTCCAATTACGCCTACAAGGATATTCCTGGGCATCAGGTTGGCGACCACAGTTTAAAAACATCTGCCTTAGTTCACAGTTAATATCATTTCCATTTATACTGTGTGTGTTTCTCCTTCTTGCATACTGGGAGAAGTGAATTGTTGTAAGGACAGGCTACAGTCAAGCAATGCAGTTGAGATCATAGAATCGTAGCATTGAAAGGGACCCCTAGAGTCATCTAGTCCAACCCCCTGGTGAATAGGCATTCCATTGCGGTGACAGCAAGCTAGGTTTAAGACACCATTTGGTGCCTAGCTAATACACCTGAGTTTCTTACACTGACCATAGGCATCACTGCACAGTGGCCATTCACTTATTTGCCGGGATTTCCCATTCCTCCTGCAGCCTTCCCCCAAGTCCCTCCCAATTTGCTCCACAGGATCCCCCAACCCCCTGGAGAAGATTATGGAGGCATGCAGAAGATGTAGGGAAGGAGAATCTGGAACTTCTTCCGCAAACAGTGCCTGCTCTGCTGTTGGACAGGTGCCACTGGATTTCACCCAAGCCTCTCAATCCTTACTGTGCTGTTTTTTCCTTCCCAACTTTTAAGACACTTTGAGTCCTCGGAACAATAGCTAGCTTAGCTGTGGATCAACTATCAAGAGGGAATGGTTGAAATGCATGCCATTAATTCCAAACAGATGGCCATGTATTTGTTCCAAATTCAGCATAGTTTTAAACATGTATAACTTTCCTAAGACGCCACCAACTCATTGGTTGTGTAGCTGCTTTACTATAGCCACTGCACAGTGACAAACTCCCAAAGTCTTATCTTGGGTCTGCAAAACATTCACAAAAGAAGAATCACCAAAGAAATTTTCAACCCGAGCCTACAAGTGTGATTAAGGCTCCCTTGCGTAACTTTCAGGCGGACACTTTTATCCATGTAAACAGGGCATCTACTGGCATGATGCCATAAAGTTGCAAAACTCTATAATGCAAGAAATGGATAAGATCACACAAGCTCATTTTCTTACCACCGCAGGACTACATGTAACAATTAAATCTTCTCAGCATGTATCTATAAACTATGTATGGGGTGTAGTTTGCCATATTTCACTACCCTCTAAACCGATTAGCCAATAATTTATGTGCCAAACTGGAAGCTAATGGAAATCTTGCTCCATTCACATTAAAGATCAAGCAAATACCAACATACATTTTAGTCAGACTACTTACTGACTGAAGTACTACTGGCAACATTTATAACCAACCACAGAAATTTGAGGTGAACTGAAATGCAAAAATCACATTGCAATGGCCCAGTTTGCATACAATATTTAGTGGTTTGGATCATTTCAATACAATATTTAGTGGTTTGGATCATTTCCTCAGTATTACATCCAAACAAGGAGATCATAGTAAATCAAGAACAAAGCTTGGCTTCACAAGATGAAACACTAAGCCAAGGACTATGGTTTGTAGCTCCCACTAAAAAGAACAAAGCAGAAGCCATATGCATGCTCCTGGCAAACTTTTAATTATGGTTAAACAACAGGGAAAGCCAGATATTGCTGGACTTACTCCCTTAACCTTCCATTTAGATGACACTAAAACGACATACTGAAAACTGACCTGACATAACTTATGCTTCCGCTTGCCCTTGGTGGAACCTTTGTCGGAGGATGTTTTCTGGGGCTCCCTTGGATGCTTCTCGGACACATTCTTCCTCTCAACTTTTGATGGGTCTGTGTCTTTGTAAGGCTTCCCTGGTATTCTGGTTAAGAGGCTCAAGTCAATCTTCACAATAAGGGGATACCTTTCATCAGGATCACTGAGTGGTGAAAGGAGTTCCTTCTCTTCCATAGGAGAGAACATTCGTTGCCGTAAAAAGCTGTCATCCTCCTCCATGGAGGGTTTAACAGGAGTCCTATTGCTCTCAGAATATTTGGGGGTTTGTGATGAAGGAGGCAAGCTCTCATTCTCATCAGAATCAGAGGATGAGGTATCTGTTTCTATGAATTCCTTGGATTTCTGGGAGGACTTGTTTGCAACCTTGCACTTCTTTTTCTCGGTTGTAGGCCGAGGTGAAGATTTGGGCTCCTTCTTTATGTTGGGCTTTCTAGAGCCTTTTGTGGCTGCCTTGTGTCTGTTAGAGGGTATATTTGTTGTCATGTCCACTGGAGTTTCACTTTCTATTTTCAGCCCCCCTCTGGGCTCTTCCACAGATGGTTTGTCTGTCTTTTTGGGCTGTTTTTTACCTACAGTCCTCCTTTGGGTCATGCTGTCACTCTGAGCAGGTGACTTTTGTCTGCCCCGATTGCTCTCTGATCCTTTCTGGCTGGTTTTTGAATCTCTCCCAGGAGTGGAAGAAATTGATTCTTTAGATCCACTCTGATCTGCATATCCACCCCCTGTGCTCTGATCTCTACCCTCATTTTTGTAGCCTTGTGTTGATGGGATGTTACTGTCCACAGAAGAAGCTGGTGATACTTTATGCGGATTCACCTTGTTCAGCCAGTTGTCCAGCTGCCACTTGTTCGTTGGAGGTGGTTCCGGCTAAAGAAAGAAAACGGGAATCTTAAAAGTCAATACCTACATTCCCTCCATTTCCCGAGTGGCTAACAAGCTAAACCAAAGAATAAATAATAAACATTTTATTCCAAGCTTGCAAAGTTGGAACGTGGCCATCCATTATGCAGCTTACTCCTCTGTTGCTATAGAAAATTGAGGAAACTGCTGATTTAAGTATGTACTCTCTCCAGCCTAGCCATGTCACAACAGGAGAGGGGGGCTGCCACAAGGTGCTAGGTTTTCTTCATCAAGTTGCAGCGGGGGCAGCGTGCCATTTATCTACTCATCTGGGATCAATTGCTCCCCTGCTCGGAGCAGCAGATTACTGTCAAGCTGCATGGCTGACTTAGTTAACTGTAAAACAAACAAGTAGGCCCTGCAGCAAAATGTTAAAAGGATATCCCACTCCCTGGGAACCACATTAGCAGGAGCCTTAAATAGGAATACTATGGAGGCCAGCATAGAGCAGAAGCCATGTTCTGGCTGACTGACAGTTTTATTGCTCTATAGGTGGTAGTGGTGCCTAGAGAGTGGGAAAGGGGAAATTCATATTTTCATCTCCTTCTGCCTGAAACAAACCTGCATATGTCAGTGAAGGGAATTTTTAAACCTCATGGCACACATGCTCCCCAACACTAATCCCCCTCTCCAATATAGTTTTAAGCTGCTAGGCATGAGCCCTTTGCCTTACATTTCTCTCCAAACTGTCAATGTAATATTCCATGTCTTGACTGCAGACTAAATCATCATCATCATCATCATTTTTAATTTGTATTAAATGATTCACAGCCTGCCTAACTTCTGGTCCACTTGGCCCCTTTTTGTCCCATTCCCAAGGACAGAAGCAAGAAACTGCTCACAGAAAACAATGGTGATTTGCTTCATTATGATAGGCCAGCAAGGTGGAAACAAGAACAGGCGTTCAGTGTGAACTCAGATGATCTCCCTATAGACAATGCACTAAGCATTCCACAAGTCCCAGAAGCTCAGAGGCCATGCTGGATTGTGTTTCTATGTATACTTCTGAACACATAGGAAGTCCTGTTCCACCTTAATTCTTGGATATGATTGCTTCTAAAATGAAAGATCAATGAACATTAATAAGCTGGGTATAAACAGTGCATAGTCTCTAACATTCATATTCCCCCTTTTCTCACATTACTGCTGTGTATAGACACATATGGGAAATATGAAGACCACATGCAAGGGAGGAAAAAAATCATACCTCAGGAGACGCACTCTGGGATGGCTCATTTGCCTCACTGTCACTTGAACTACTTTCACTTTCAGAGTCGGAACCAGAACTGCTCTCAGATCCGCTATGGCTGCTTGAGTCATCTCTAGAATTATCGGCTCCTTCACTTGTATGCTGGGAAGGTTCAGAATTACTGGGGGGAAAGGTAGAACAAAAATCAAAGGAAGCTATAGGATTTTATCCATAGTTACTTTGAAACTATGGATAAAATAGTTCATGCATAAGACTATTAAGAAATATTTTAATGTTTAACCCAACCAGTTGAAGACCCATGGCAATTCAATTGAAGATGAAATCCTAATTGGCTCTTGCTTTAAACAGATATCTTAATTCCCCACAGTTAAATTGTTATAGTACTATCAGTTCAACATAGCTTTATAATGCCAGGTGTATCAACCAATATTTACCTTCCAGGTGTACCTCTTGGCACAGTCTTATCAGAATCCTATAATTGAAATAAAAGATCCAAACTAGAATTACTGTCCTTGTAACACACTCAACAAGGGTACTGGAAAAACATATTTTTCTGTCTTTCACTGACATGAACATTATCCATCTATAAGAATGGAAACTAGGGAAAATATTGCATAATTGGCCAAAGTTTACAAGCAACCTATGGACAAACATAATATGAGATCCATCAGCCATCCTAGCAGTGTTATACTATTTCAAATGTTGTTTGACAGATTTTGAATGTCAATTGGCATGTTCATTTGCAAGTATTTTTCTCCCTTTCACTTGCAAAGCAGCCCAGCCAGCCCTTCCTACACTCTCAAAACTGAGAGCCAGCATGATGTAGTTGTCCAGAGAATTGGACTAGGAACTGAGAGCCCAGGGTTCAAATTCCCACACTATTTTAAAACAGTGTATTAGTTGCTTGTTTCTATTCATTTTTAGTTTTTGCCTTTTTAAATGTTGTGCTTTGTATTACTTTATTTTGATGGTGCTGTCAGCTCCCCTGTGTAGCTTGGTAGAAAGGCAGGACAGAAAATTTTTTAAAAAACACAAAAATAACCTGCTCGACATCACTGTCTTCGCTGCTGCTGATTTTCAAGTCATTTATAAGAACGCTAGGAACAAACAGAAAAAGGAAAGGTTTGGTGTGTGTTTTTTTACCAAATAATACCATACTATCCTAACAATTTAACCTAATTTGTGATGATTGCCATTAATTTTCATCCCTTTACATAATGGACTGACACTCGGTTGAAGAAGCATACTGAAAATCCTGAAGTGCTTACACCATTACAAGGGCAACAGAAGAAATTAAGACACTTAACATCCTTGTGGTGGGTGACAAAATGCAATGAGCAAATAGGCTCAAAAGAGCTTTTATATTAAGTAGCATAGTTGTCCTGATGGAACAAGGAAAACACACAAGACATTGAATCACTGCAGGAGCACTGAGTGGGGCACCATGCAAGTCACATATAGGCAGAGAAAAAGGGGAACGCTGTGGGCCTGAATTAAGCAGAATCCTATCCCAATTAACAAGGTTAGGGAACTCATAGGCACCGGTGCAATGCTGCTGCAAGCACCACCACCCATTAATACTATACTGAAAATGCAGTCATCAAGTGCAAAGGCCAGTACATCACAGACAAAATGTACTTTGAAAAAAGCTAAGACTAAACTTTTAAGAGCATAGACCACACAACACCAAAAAGGTAGGAGACAGGGAAACTAAATACAGAGTAGGCTTCATAAATTCTGGCATAAATTAATGGTAAGTCATTTTTAGTTTTACCATTTGCTTAAGAATCACTGCTATATTTTTAAAACATAATTCAAGGATATTAACTTGAACTCTTTCATGCTTTACTATGAACTCTCCAAGAGCTTGGCTGTGAATTAACATTCTGCATATAACAAAATATGAATAAAACACTTCTTGCATTAGCAAGAATTTAAAAGCAACACTTGACATCAGTAACAAACATAGCATCTTACTTTGTCTGGTTTGATTCACACCTGGGGGGGAACAGAAATATGGTTAAAATTATTCAACCTTCTGGGTAGTTCTGGAGTAAAATAAAAGTTGCTTGGCAATGTTAGCTTGCTATATCTAGTTTAGGACTATTCATGCAGCTGAATGATGTTCATCTAAGGTAATGGTTCCCAAACTGGACAGTACTGCCCCCTAAAGGGCAGTGGGATTACCAAGGGGGCACTAGGAGAAAGTTGGGCACTCCAGGTGAGTCTCTCCAAAAATGCTGATTGCTTATTATTTAATGAAATGAATTTGCAGTTGCCGTTGCAAGGAAATGAGGTCAGTTTTATTAAGACCAAATATGCCATCTCTATGTTTATTTCGAATACAGGATTTTTCTAGATTGTAAGCTCCTTGAGCAAGGACTTGCCCTCTTATTCCCTGCATAGTGCTGGGTACATGGATAGTATTACCAAGAAAAACTAACTATTAGACATTATTTCCCAAGTTAAGTTGCAAAGTTAGGCTTTGCTACTCAAGCTAAGCAAAAATTGTGTAGCCTTGACCATAATAGTCCCCCTTCATCAAGTGTAAACCACGTTCTTTTATGGCTGTGAAGTACTGAGAATTAAGTGCACCTGGGTATATAAAGTTCAAGTGAAAGTGATGTCCTTGTGCAGTAAATAATCAAGAAGCACCACTCAAGATTTCATGTTGAATTACTAACCTGATTAAGAAATCCCATCACTCATAAACATATATTGAAAGTGAGCATATTAAAAGTAAAGAGATGTACTATGCAACTATATAGATTTTCTGTCCGTAGCAGTTCCAATCTCTATGAATCAATATGGCCATTTCCATCATATATATTTTCAGAATATTACTGTAAATATTGCCGAGAAAATTATAGGGCATACTTACGATTTAGACTGGTGGACATTAGATGCTTTTGATGAAGAATTGTATCTTTCTGGAGGTGAGAAAGATAAAATAATTGCTGAACACTAAGTTACAAAAACATAAACATCACCCAAATGATATATATGGAGGCAAGCATGACTCAGATGCAGACTGCAAGAGTGGGCTAACCCACTGCATTCGGTAGCACTTTCTTTTCCGACTTACATGCTAAACTTACTACTGTACTCTAGCTATGTCTTTACCTGGTTTCTAAAAAAAAGGAGAGTGAAAGACTAACAGTAAATCAACTACTGAATTCACAGACTAGGAAGTGATTCAATAGTTTGACTTGTTTGTTTTACAAATATAAACAAGTTCTTCCCTTAACATAAAGTAGATATTGTTCCAGACAAAAATGTGCTGTTTATTATTTCACACAGCTACTTAATGATTTGGCTAGTAATGCTGTTATCTTAGCAGCAGTTTCATTATCACCCCTGCTTGCAGAAGGTGAGCAATGAACCTTTTGTTCTCAAAGGCAAAAGTAATACGCAACATTTCAAAATACCTCATCCTATCATGTTTCCTAAAGTTAAAATATCACATGCTTCAGACCTAGTAACTATCATCACAAGCCTAACAATGTCTTTTCAGAAGTAAATCCTATTTTAATCAATGGGGTTTACTTCTAGGGAAACAGGGTTAGGACTGCAGCCTAATGTAACTTGTTTTGAGCTTCTTTGCTATCTCAATGAGAAAATGTTTACACTTTGGGGATGTTGAGTCATGCAATGGTTTGAAGAAACTGGACAACGTTAGCAATTCATTGGTCAACGCAGCAACTGTGTTGCCACCAGAAGAAGGCCTACCATTTTCAGGAATCACTTAAGTAGATGGAAGCAACTGACAACAGACCATATAAACAGAATGGTGCTTTTTGAGAGGGAGGGGAAACAAGATGCACTTGTTATGGATCAGGAAACAATGCACGCATTTGTTGGAGGTTCTGATGCAAGATACAAATACTAGGTTGGGGCCGAGTGACCTTTTCAAGTTCACTTTTCCAGTAAAATTCTTCTAATAAAACAAGAAGTGCAGCAAGAGAGGCAAGACTTGAAACTGGTGCTCGAAAATGGAAATAATAAAATATTGATCATTTGCCATTCTAACTGCTGGTATAAAGGCCAGTTAATCTTAGAAATAACCAATCTGTCTGATTCAGATGTCATTCACATGTAATAAAGCAACAACTATCTCATACTATAGAACCCTGTGAGGAAGGAGGGGAAGTAGTTTGCAAGCTTACAGACGTGTGCCCAAATGCCAAACTAATGGTTTGACAATCAGCTCTGTGCCATCTAAATGGAGTCACAGTATATGAATAACTACTTATGCTTTTACAACTTAATCAATTAGTTATCCTAGTTACAGAAGACATTAAGTCAGATGTTGTGAATTAAATGGTGCAGTCCCGTTTCATTCACAGTGACTGCCTTCCTAGTCATAATTATTATTTTGGAGAAAGCCAGTTCTTAAAAAGAACGGCCTTTGTTTAAAGAATGGAAGCACTCCAAGGGCAGAGAATAATAGAAATTGGCACAGTCTCCCACAAGCTACAGAGACAGGCAAGGACTGCTCTGAGTTATGTCCCAATAAGGGAAACACAAGTAAGCTAGAAGTGAAGCTGTTCTGTTACTTATCCTTCTCACCTAGAGATTACTTTAAGCTCATTCTCCAGGGTGTCTTAACCAGCTGAACTTCCTTAATTCTCACAAACAGGAGTTATGAAAGCATTCAGAGCGTAATGGCAAAGATTTCTCAAAATGTGCTACAACTTTCAAAGGGAACAAAAATAGCAAGCACTAATTCTCAAATCAAACCTTCCTAGTACAGTAAGCACACACACAAAAATAGATAAAATGAGAACACATTAACATTCTGATTCAGGTCTTTTATTGGGCCAGGCATCCTAGCCACAAGACCAGAAAAACTATCAATAGAACTTTTATTCAAGTAAAGCACCCAAAAGAGAATTTTACTGTAAATTCTTTTTTTAAAAAAAACAGAGAAATAATTCAGTACATAATACAAACACACACTTACTTTGTTCTCCAGTGCCAAAATTAGATTGCTGAGCTTCCTGTAAAAATACGAAAAGGTTACTTATCTGTTTAACAGAGACTACTAAAAGAGGAAGTGCTTTAGTTGTGCTTGTGCTTGATTATTTAAATTTTAGAAAAAACTACAACAATTCCTTTGAAGTGTTATCCAAGCCTATCTGAATCTTCCCCAGACTTTAGAGCCAAGAGAATCCTAAAAGCTGATGCCTTCTTTCCTATGGTTTAAGGCACTGATCGCATGGTAAAGTTTCTCATCCTTTTTTCTTTTTTTAATGAACACACACAGTGGTGTCCCCCAAACACGTTTTTAAGTGCAACCCACTGAATATGAATAAAATTTAAAGTGATGATAGTTGACTATCGGAAAGGAAAAAGGAAATGCCTACTTTGCACATAAGGCTAGGGATTCTCCTGGATCAAGCTTCCACTTCTAAATTCTGAGGTTACCACTTTTGTGCTACATGACTCATGCCATACAGTCATTTATACAAGCTAACATTTATATAATGCCAATTTACAACTACATATGACAATTTACAACTATTGCATGTAAGATAAATATCTACATTGGGCATCCACATCAGTCCTGGGCCTAGGGATTCTCTACAGAGGTCAGCTGCAGCCAGACGTGAAGGAGCAGCAAGAGATAATCAGAGGAACATCTGGAGAGCTAACGCTGCAACACCAGCCTATCCCATCTCCCAATATTTGATGTTCTCCTAAGGATGAGTAAACTGCAGTATGGAGATGTGCAAGTGCCATTACCAAAGAAGAGGTGGTACAGTCCAGAGTGTACCAAGATGCTGGTGAGTTATCTAAGTCTGATTTGTCAGCTTCTAGTGGGGAGTAAGAAGACCTCATCCATACCAGCTTAAGCCCGACACTGTGTGAGTCCCAGAATGGCCAAATACAAATTACAGGCACAATTTATATGAAGGAAACAAAGAAGAATTGATTTGCTTTCTCAATTACATTTTCCAAGAGTTGTCCAGCACTGTTGTTCTGACTAGTGACTAGACAGCTGAAATCCAGTTCAGATGAAAGGCCACTGGAACCCTCTGCCACAAACTGCAACAAATTCGGATACCACTGACTACGTGGGGCAGAGTAGGAGACACAATGTCAGAGTGTTTTCACTCCAACCCACAGGGTTGATTCCAGAAGGTGGTTTGGGGGGATGGGACTTCTGCCTGAGTCCAAGGAAGTTGGTCCATGCAGTCCTGCAGGGTTTCCTTATATCCTAAGTGGTATCTAACATATATATGAAGCTGCTGGGTGAGGCACTCAAGGCAACTGTAATAAACTGAATCCAGGTAAGATGAAGATGCTATGATTGGACAGTTCTGAGGCCTAGGAATTATGTGTTTTTGGATTAGGTGTTGCAGGCCTCTTCAAAAGAGCAGGTCCTGCTTCTAGGGTATTCCTTTATTACACTTTACCACTTTTGTCCCAAGTGTCAACAGTGGTGTGGAGTGCATTTTCCTGCTCAGATTACTTTTCCACAAAAGATCTCTTCAACATTCTACCATCATCATGGGGGCAGGCCTTTTCTGTTGTGCACCCCAGCTTTAGAACTCCCTGCCCTTTCCAATTCAGCTTCTATGCTTCTGTCACTTAGACATCAGCTCAAAACCTGGCTGCTGGCATAGAATCTTGGTAACTGATTGGTAACATATGTTCAGCTGAAAGATGCAAAAAATGTTGTGCTTTTTGTTACTTTGTTATGGTTGTTCTACTGAATAACTATTATCCATCCTGAGTTCTTTGAATTAAAAATATACATTAAAATGTACTTAAAAATAGCCAACAAACATGTACTAGTCTTGTGTGTTCCAAGAGATGCCTGTGTTAATCAAGTATGGTAAGTAAATGGCATGAAAGAAATAAAGTAATACAACACACACTTTCTTCTAAATAGTCTCTCTACAAAAGTTTCCATGCCTGGAGGTGATTCATATTTGTCATAATCATGTAGGTACTACATACTGTGTTTATGCTTGATTACATGGAACAAATGAACCTAGGACTTTCCTTTTCAAGAACAGTAGAAAGAATGCAATCATAAAACTAAGCTATTGCCATTGGTAACCGTCTAATATGACTCTGAGAAATTCACTACTGCCAGCGCTTCATGTAGTTATATGAAAAATTGAAGTTGAATAACAGAGTCTATTAAGGACTAACAAACACTAGGTTTATAAAATAACATATTTATGTAAGTAATAAACCTTTGCCCTAGGCACCACCAGAAACCATGTGCCAATTGTATCATGTTTGTCTCTTCAGGATACGTTAAAACATGATACTGAAAAAAATACATGCTATAATCTTTTGATGAGTTGTCAGAAAGTCTTTCAAGCAAAGGATATTAAGAGTTTTCCCACAACATGATCTCTCTTAACATGGAGAGATCACTCCACAAACTAATATTTGAACTGAATAAAAATGAAAGCAAATAGCACGACAACATTTTTTTAAAATAAATGCTACAAAACAGGAGCATTTTGAAGAAGTTCTGCCTTCTTTGGATAATTTTAAAGTCTTCTTGTTTGATAATTTCTGTACATTTCTAGCCTCCAATATGCATATACTGTAGACAGCTACTGGGGTATTCGTAGGAGACAAGAGTTTACCTAGGAAAAGGGTTTTCTTAAGCATCAACTCAAGTCACCTGCTCAATACAAATTGCTGTTGATAAACCTCACAAATCAACCCAGGATCACTATTGTTGAAGTGGCTGCACCAGATTTTAAGATGTCTAAAAGAACACAAAGTATTGTGTATGGAAACAGCATAGCTGGAGCTTCCTGACAGGAAGAGAATTTGAACAATTCATATGACCTAATGTTCTGAATGCATGAAATAACATGCCTGTTAAAAAGGGTATGTAAATTTGTTCTAGATGAAAGAACAGGACACAATTATAATAAGTTCAATATGAAAGGCAAACAGAGTTAAGGAAAAATAAAGCCAAAGCAGAAGTTTCAAGCAAACAATATAACATGAAGCCAATAAAAACAAAGAATGAACAATGCTGTAATAATTATAATTAAATGATGAAAATCTTGATCGACAAAAGGTAGCTTCCTTATTTTAGAATCAGCCAACTGCCATGTGCAATCATGATCTTTCTGTTATCCACTGACCTTTGTTGGGAATGGAAACTTTGAAGGTTCAGTTTTGCAAGGTGTGTGAATAGCTGTCAATGGCGGTGGCCAAATATGGGTCATCTCCTGTTCAGAACACATACCAAAGATTCCAGAAACCATTATACCTTTAACTTAATGCAAACCAAAAAGCACAGCTTACAAGTGTTTTAAATTAAAATAATGGGAAACGATGCCAACTCATGTAATAAGATTTACTCTTCTCATGCCCCCTGAAGTCTCCTGTCCCCTACTGATTGACCGGAAGATTCCCCAAATGCTCCGAAGTGGATTTTACAGGGCTGCAGGGGGCTGCAGGGGAAAAGAGAAAGGGGGGGGTGTCCTTGCACAAGCCGAAGTATTTGCTTTACTACAACGCTATCAATTACCAATCCCAACAAAACTTTGTGATCAGAGAATTAAAAAATAATTGTTAGCCTTGTGAACAGGGATAAATTGAACCAACTATGGGTGGAATCCAATGGATGTTGTTCTACCGACAAAAGGCATCCATCAGGAAAAAAGAGATGGAGACATTTTTAGCAATCGTTCCTTGCATTCTCCCTTGGTCCCATCTAATCATGACAGTCATCACTCGTCATCACCCCGCCCCCCAAAAAATTGGAGGCTTCAAAGGAGAGAATGAATTGTCTCCCTCACTGTCCTGCTGGTATATGTCATTCTTCAGAACAGTAACACCCATGGGATTCTACTTCATTTGTACTAAGAGTCTTAAATGAAACTGCTATATTTACCAAATAACCTAAAAGCTTTAGGTTTACCAGAGAGAAATGGAAGGAATAAGTGGAGAGGAAGTTACAACAATCTTCTTTCAAAACTGACTGTGATTAGTCTTTCAGAATTACGTCAATGTCATTTTCATGCAGGATACACAAAAATTATTTGATTGACTTAAGGAAACCTTCCAAGGAAAACAAAACATCTATTTATTAATCCATCAGTTTTATTGCTAATTTAATATATTGATATGCTTTCCCACTATGCATATTCAATCAATTGGGGGGGGGGTTAAATAACCTTTTTATTTAATGTCTGAAGAGAAAATACAGTAACAAAACATACTGATTTGCATATGCAGGAAAATATTCTTTTAAAATATTTTAAGACTTTACCAAAGGAAGACTTTAGAAAAATAATCCGAAAGTATTATTAAAAATAGAGAACAAACTGGTGGATACCAATGGTACACAGAAGAGGAAAAAAGGATAATTGGTTTTTAATGAAATCTTGAGCAATATACAGGGGTAATTGATTTTGGATTTTTTCCAAAAATTCAACACATTCAAACAAGAAAATCTCAAAAGCCAGAATAAGAGAACAACTTACTTTTAGAATTTCATCCACACTGCTCATGTCACTGGATGCTGATGCCTACAAAGGAATGATCAGAACATAACTGGCATATTTGTAATTCAATGTTATGAAACTTCTAGAAAATTCAATTATTATAAAATTACTTAAAATGGGATTCAAATTCAGTATTAAGGTACAAAGAGCAGCTTTCATACTGCAGATGAAGAGAGACTCTACAAACATCTTTTCATAACTTGTTCACACCTTTGTATTTCTCATCAGTTTCCTAAAATGTACGCAGCTGAGGGAAACTATTGTTAACTTTTTAAATTTCTGAGAAAAATGATAATCTAAGCAATATAATTTTAACGTTCCTGTTTCATGAATGCTTCACTTACGCACTCATTGTTAAAACCGTGTTTATGGAAGACAATCTTACTCGGCTACGAGTGATTGCCAAAGAAGAAGAAGGTAGAACCCAGTTTCTCATATCCATTTCTTTTTGCACTGTCAGATCCAGCACACACACACAAAAATGAAATAGTAATCTATGAAAAATTAAATGCCCATATGAATACTGTTTCATATTTGAAATTAAATATCAGATGGCATCTTAATTATATTTTAACGTGCAAGACATTGCAGAACAATGACAGTACACATTCTCTCACTTTCTCTTTTCAAACGGGGTGTTATGTCCAAGTCAGTTATATTCACAGTTGACCCACTGAAATCAATCTATTCAAATTAACCTGTAATAGTTCAATTACATGGTTTTCAATTATTCTACTCTGAGTATGACCAAGTAGGAGGGTTGTATCCAATACTGTCTCTGTGTGAGCCGAATGGACTTTTGGATGTGCAATGGGACTTCATTTGCCCCTGCAGTCTCCTGGACTTCCCTCAAAGCCTGGAAACCCTCCAAAACAGTTTTAGGTACCGGAGGGGGCGGGGCTTGCAGAGGAAGGAAAGGAAGGGAAAGTCCTGTTGTGCAAACCCATTCATGAAGCAATGAATTCCAACCAGTCATTTGTGACTGGGAAGTAGATGAGGCTGCTATACGCTTGTTAATAAAACACCGTTATTAAAAGTCAATATTTAGCACAATTTTATCTTCCACTATGACTGAGCAGGTGCTCAACTGAGTTGTAAATAAAATAATAATAATGTCACATTAGTGTTTATTTAAAGCTGAAACACCCAAGGAAAAACATGTGCCGGGCCAGACCAGCATAAATGCCCAGTTATTAGAATCATGGCAGATCAGAAAGCTGTAAATCCTTCAATTGTCAAAGAAATTGTAATTAAAAGAAATTATTGCATTTTAGTTAGGTGTGTTCCTTACATACAACTCAGATGTCAATAAAAGTATTTTTCTAAGCAGTCTCTCTTATCCATGGAATAAGCACAAATGAGCTTTATTTTATTTTAATTTTTTTAAGGCAACTTACGTCAAGTGGCTGAGACGGAATTTTCAGCTTTGTTAGATGTGCTTTACCAGGTTTCAGTTCATTCATATTGTTGCTGTGTGTCTGGCTACTGTAGTGTTCAGAAGATAGCTTTGGTTCCATGGACTCCTGACCATCCATAGGCCTTACATAGGCAGTAGGCTTCTGCAACATTGTGTTAGATTTAGACATAAGCGAAGGAGGGAAAGCCTGACTACCACTAGAAAAGGAAGGGACACGGGAGGGTGAGTCCCAGTTGGCATCAGGGTCTCGCGGAGATTTGGAGCGCTGATGTTCCTTGCTGTGATGATCATTTCCATGAGACCTGGAATGACTGGAGTTCAGAGAAGAAACAGCAGGTGGTTTTCCAGGGCTGGAAGAACGGGACTTTGAATGTTCAGATCCATGCTGGGCTTTTTTACGGCTACTGCTACTCCCACTACTGCTATACGAGTCACGGTCATGCCTTTGCCCACTACTGCTAGTGTTATTGCCACTGTTGCGCTGGCCACCATGTCCACTCTGTAAACCTATGGAACGTTTCTGCGACTGGGAAGAAGTGCTAGGTGCTGGACCTACAGGCGTCCATTTGCTGCTCTGATGAGAGCCAGTACTGTGCCTCTGATCACCAAAGAAACTTTGGTTTGATTTTTCATCTGTTGTTGATGGTACTGTTGGTTTAGGAATTTCAACAAGCTTCTGGAGGGACCGGTCACCTATAAAATCCTTCATTTCATCATAGTTTCCAAGCATACTTTGGATACGGCTAGATAATTTATCTTCTTTGCTGGTCTGTGTAAAGAACAAAAACATGATGCAGAAGTTTATTTTAAAATACACTCCTTCTACAATTAAACTTTTGGGTCAGCTGAATGTCCTTTATGATAACATATATTTGAAATTTACCTACAGAATAAAGCGGTCAGTCTTTATTTTGCACCAAAAATAAAATTAACGTGGGAACCACTTAATCTGCCATCCACAATGGCTAATGCTTACTGATTTCACCAAAATTCATTTTGTCATGAATATACTAACAGTACTGTGCACTTTTATTAATTGCCACCAGTAAACTAAAGTTTAATTAACTGATGAGGCGCCCTCTATTGTTTATTACTAAAACCAATATAAATTATATCTAGCTCTTCAATCATATTGAATCATATTGTTTCTTACAAACTCCATATTCATGACAAAAATATTCAAGATTCAGCAATTACTGGTTACTTATTTATTAAAATGCAATTTATTCTACTCCTGTAAAAGTGTCCTTTCCTTTAGAAAGCTCAAAAGAAGCCTCATTTCAGATGTGCAGTATAAATAATATATTAGAAACATCTCTTTTCTAAAACAGAAGAACATTTTCATATCATACTGACATCCTATACAGCAAGGGTGGCAGACTGTTTCCCCCAGCAGTCTAGATCAGTATCTGCTGTACCTCCCCCCCAGCTAAATCTGAGCTGTGGGCGGGGCTACCCATCTGACAGTGAAAGGTGAGCCCCTCTGAATATGTGCTCCCAGTGCATTTTCAAAGAGACTTGATTTAGGAGCAGGAAGCAGTTTAACTAACACCACTGCTGTGGTTTCAATGCAAACTACTTGAAGATCCTGGAGCATGTCTTGTTCCAGCAAAGGCACAAGAGGGAACTCACTTTAAGGTTCCAATTGTTCCTCTGACACCACATTGATACCTGGGCCCACATTTGATATCACATATGGCATATGGGCCAGAGGTTCCTCACCCCTACTGTACAGAAACAAAACTTGCAGTTAAGGAATCCAACAGTGTAGTCATTAGGAAATATCCAACACTGCACCAGTGAAATTCCCCTTTCTCTTGTCCTCCCCTGCAGCCTTAGTGCCCTCCAATTTACTGGAGGGTTCCTCAACTCTCTAGAGCAGACCTGGGGGGCATGCAGGGAGCTGTAGGAGGAGAAGGAGAAGGGAAGTCACACTGTTCTTGCAGAAATATGTTCCGCTTGTGAATTGGCACCATTGGATATCACCCATTATATTTATCATTCCAGAAATGCACAAATGATTCTCTGTAAATCCCTAACCAGATTTTCCTTCTAACGCTACCATTCACCAAACAAAGTGGCCATGACAAGCGGTCCCTCTACATGCCTCACAACCAGAACATATAAGGGTCTTTCCTGGTTCTGCTAAGTAACTGTTCAAAGGACCAAAAGGCAAAATCTCCATTTACAGAGGCTTTCAGGATGCTTTCTTAGGAATTCCCAAGACGTCACATTCATTAGGATTTGTATGGTTCTGGGAGCAAAATGAGAAAGGCTCTAAAAGCTTCTTATGCTAGAAGAAACAGTTTGAAAACTGGTTTTTGCACATTTAGAAACCAGTCAGATTTTTAAAAGTAGTAAAGCTCAAGCAACTATTTATCTATAAATAGATAATTTAAAAAATCCTCTTAAATAACTGAAACTCATTAATTATTATAATCTCTACTCACATGCCTTTCAGGTAGTTTAAGCTGTACTCCTCTTACTTAGCATTTCAGTACACTGTATCTATCTTTTTCCATCATGCATGTAATTTTAAAAAACAAGACTAAAAACATAAATGACTACTTTCCCTTCTTTCACTCCTATGAATATTTTTAAAGGATAGAAGAAGCAAGTAAGATTTTCTTTCTAGTGACTGTTAGTCAAAATCAGCACTGGTCAATCTTATAGCTGGGGGTGAATTCAGCCCTTCTAGAACTGCCCCCGTTGCCCAGGCCAATCCATATATAACATGGCTAAGAGCCTATACTAGAGCAGTGTGATAGATATCTTAAGTGGCATTTTTAAATGTAAGGTGGCTGAAGGAGGAAGAAGATCAGACAGACAGGTCATTGTGCCTTCCTTCCGTCGTGTTTCATGTATTATTATTTAAGAAATTTATACCACACTTTTTACTATGTATCACAAAGCTGCTTACAAAAATAATTAATGAAGCATGAAACCGAGAAAAATTAAAACATAGATTAAAATACAAGAGAGCAGAAAACAGCACCCATAATGCAAAGGCCTCCTGAAAGAAAACCATTTTAACCTGATGTACACACAAATGGCAAAGGAAATAGTGGGTCTCCTTACTCCCACTTCACCATGGATAGATACATTCGTTCCAATGTATTCTGTAGGCTGCCCGATATCAAACGTTTACTAGTCAACACAAATCCCTTCACCATATGTATTTTTCGTAATAAACAGCACACACTTTGAGACAAGCACCTTGAATGAGTCGCTAACTACTAAAAATCACAGACCAAAATAATTAGATGGTATTGATTGTCCAGTAACCACACCTTGAAGAGCACAGAGGAGGAATATGGTATTGAGAAGGAAGGGAAACATGTACCCAAGTTAACTTTAAATTCAGGGATATGAAGAAAATATGTCACTGTTAGTGAAATGCACATGCTAAATGACACACAACTTAAAAAAATTAACCTTTAACCATTCTGTTGCCAGAAAGAGAGGTGTACAGGGTTACATTTGCAGCCTCACAAAAACAAGTCAGTATTTAAAACAAAACAAAACAAAACAAAACCCAAATTTCTCAAACTGACAGTATTTCATAACCCAGTCTTCCTTGTAGTTTGGTTTCAATCTTACTCACAACAGCTACAATTAGATTTAACTGCATGAACAAAGCAAATTAGCAATATTAACTAGTGAACCTTACACATAAAGAGCCAGACTAAAAACATCAAACTCCAACAATTACTTGTAATTAATAGACTATTGTCTACAAAGTTCAAAAATGTTAATATGCTGTATTACTCTTTTACTACAAAGGCAAGAGTACTTATAACAATTATCTGTTCAAATACTTTAGGGCTCTAATTCACATTTATCATTTCTATAACTTCAAATTTAGGCTGTTCAACTGCAAGCTAGTTTAAAGTGTGGATAGTTAATGATATTATCATAATTAGATATTTAATTCTTTCTTTTTTAAAAAAATGTTGATAAAATGTCCTTGTGTTAAAACCAGAGCAGTCATAAAATTCTAGTAATCTTATATTTCAGCAACATTACTTTAAAAACGTTCAAATCATAACAACACAACTTCCAGGTTTCTTAATTTTTTTAGGTCTAGAGCAACAGTGAAGTCTCTTGTAGACTCTAGCCTACATCACAGGAATTTTGAGGATGTAAGACTTGGAACCACTATATAAATGACATTTATTCGTATTTTAATGAAACCATATGATACTGAAGTTGTATTACAGGGGGGGAAAACTCAAACCACTTTAATTTGGAGTGAGATAAAAACTGCATTTTTAAAAAACCTCATGCACTTACAACTTTATATGGTTCAGCAAAGAGAGGAGAGTTAGGTGGAAAGGCTTCTTCACCCTGCTGAATTTCTTGATTACGCCTCTCTCTTTCTTTGATACGCAGCGCATTCCGGTCTTCACGGTTCATGTTGCTATGAACAAAAACAATTTGATTACCTAAATGGGTACAAAGGTAAAGGAACTGATGAAGGGTTGTCCCCTGGACAGTCTTATGAACCCCCCTCCCCTTTAACACCCTCTGGTACATTCTTTTTAAGATAGGGATTGCCTCTACACTACAACTTGCCTTACAGATATGACACTGGTATAACTTATGCAATTACTTTGATATGTAAAACCGCAAAGCATTATTTAAACAAACTCCTACTCTTAGATCATGTTACCTGCATAATTAGAATAGGCCAATCAAGAAGAGAATCAAAGGTTTTTACCAAATTAAACACGTTATTAACTTCAGCTTTCTATTTTTTATGGTTATTCAAATCACCTCCCACCAGCCAGCCTATGAACACACATTCCCATATACAACATTGCCATCTACGTTTGATCTACCTCATTTTTCTTTCTTTCTGTCCCCAACAGAGCCTCCTTGGTGTCCATCCTCCGTAGCATGCTCTCAGCTTTGCTGTTTCTAGGTTCCCTAAAAATGACATTTCTACTCTAAATACACATTTCAGTAAACATCTCCAAATTTACAACAACCTCTAAAAATGCCTATACTTCCTCCCTGAATAGGAGCTTCTGATCCTTGTGGGTTAAGAACTTGGAAGGTTTCCCTTATAAAACAGGCTTACTGACATCTGACGGAACAGAACACTGCTTTAATTTGACCTACTGCTCTAAATATAAGCCATAAATCTAAAAGGATTCCCCTTAAGCTCAAGGAAGCATCTAAGTTAAGAACAAGATTCTACTTACAAGAAAGTTTGTGAACACTGTGTGCTGAGTGCAAAGTCAGAACACTAACTTACTTTCAATTAGGGCTGAGTTTTAGTTTGGATTTCCAAGGTGAGGGCAGGGTAGACAACAAATTTGGAAGGGAGGGTTAATTCACAACGGCCACTACTTTTCTTTCCCAAAAGTCATCTAGAGCAATACCACGTGCAACCTGCCTCCATCTAAGTTTTGGTCATTGCCCCCTCCCACTGCGGCCCATGTCACATACTGTACTGGGCCTTTCCTGACTCCTGCAACCTTCAGTAGAGGCTTCTTGAGGGTGCATGGGCTGCTGTGAAGAAATGGTGGCAGGAAAACCTCATTAAATGAGTACATTTCTGATCACAAAGCTGGATATCCTCTTAAGTCAACTTCAATTAACACTATTATCACAATAATTTGACTTCTGCCTAGGCTGTCAGTCTATTACAAGCAGAAGGAAGTTAAGTTGCGGAATCTCCATGAAATTCACTTACTTTAAATAGTGTGGGTGGGGAACTGTAGGCCCAGAGGCCAAATATAGCCCTCTAGGCCTCTGTCTCACCCTTGGCATTCATCCTGGGCAAGTCCCTCTCCCCAGTCTACACCCCTCCCCAGGCCTGCTCTGCACCGACATTGAGTGCTTCTGCCTGGCTGGAATATGTCCTTGACCTCTAACAATGATTCTTGGTAACCTAGATGGAGGGTGTGGGTGTGTGGGTATAGAACCTCTGGCTTTTGTGTGACTGGATAGTAGCCTACTATAGAAGGCAAGAGTCACAATCCATTCTTGCCTCTGGCCTCATTCATCAGTGGCATGAAGCCCCCAGAAGTTCTTCCATGAGAGAATGCAGCCCTCAGTTCCCCACTCCTGTTATAAAAAGAGATTATTTAATGTGCAGTATCTTCTAAACACATAGGTATGCGGTCACCCCAAGATTTCCAGAGCAATAAGTTTAACTGCCACTAATAACCACTTGATGGGGCACAGTGAAGAGCTTCTTCACAAGAAACATCTTGCTGATGACTTATTTATTGCACAGAACGTTTATAGTCAATCCACTCCTCCCAGTCACAGATTGAGCCGAGTAAACTCTCAAGGTTCTGGAAAGCTCACAAAGGTTCATCGCAAAACTGAATCTTATGTAACCATTAACAGCTAGTGGAATAAATCTCACTTTACGTATTTTGTATAATCCATTGCCTTCTCAGTAACACCCTCCTTTATAAACTAGAATGGAAGTACAGTCATACCTCATGTTACGTTTGCTTCACATTGCAGCTTTTCAGGTTATGAACGCGGCAAACCCGGAAGTAAACACTTCAGTGCATACACAGAAGCAATCTGTGTGCTTTGCGCATGCGTAGTAGCAACACTCTACTTACAGACTTTTCAGGGTGCGGATGGCACCCTGAAACGGATCACATTCATAAGTTGAGGTACCAGTGTAATGGATTATATCTAATGCTAAGTGTGACTTATGGGACTTCCCCTCCCCCCACACCATCAAAATCTTCTCCAGAGGGTCTTGCAACCCTCTAGAGCAGATGTGGAGGGTATGCCAGGGCTGCAGAGAGGATTTTATTGTGCAAGTGGAAGTCTGTTGCACTAGCGGAATAGCAGTGTTGGATACTACCCAACATTTTTAAACAAAATGCACCATTTTTCCAGAATGAGAAATATTACTATGAATATTAAAGACAGAATGCGTTAGGAAATCATGAAATTGCTCTAGCTATGATGTTTAGTTTTTATATTAAAGAGTATTATTTGAAACATGCCTAGAAGGCAAACAATTAACTTAGTAACTTTAATTAACCTTTAAGCAGGCAAAACAGCAACAGTTATTTACTAAATTAGAAGCTTTATAGCAAAAGCAAACTTCAATCAGTAATTATCTTTAAAAACCAACATTGCAGGTGACTTTTCAAACCTTAAGCTTGTCCTCAGGCAAATATACTTGGAAGGTAGAAGGATAAACACCACTGAAGATCAAATGAAGTGACACACTAAGTATTAAAACCAGAGTTAAATACATTATTTCACTACCATCAACTATCTATGAAAGGGTGATTTTGAAAAATTAAACTCTACTTATTTATTTTAAAGCTGCAAGACGGTCCAGGAATCAGCACGTTTTTACATGAGTAGAATGTGTCCTTTTATTTAAAATGCATCTCTGGGTTATTTGTGGGGCATAGGAATTTGTTCATATCCCCCCCCCCGCAAAAAAATACAGTCCGGCCCACCACATGGTCTGAGGGACAGTGGACCGGCCCATGGCTGAAAAAGGTTGCTGACCCCTGTTCTATGACAATAAGAACATTTATTCTGAAACACTTAGCATTTTGCCCAAAGGCAGAAGTTTACATATCAATCTTTAAAAGTCATTCTACCTTCATTTGACAAAAAACAACAACAAAAAAACAACAACACACATCACACATACTAGGAAATTGGTAGGATAAAGGATATCAAGATGTCAAAGGATGTCACCATTTTTGGATGTGGTTTCATTTCTTCCTACTCACCCTTGTCATTACCTAATACGTTCTAAACTACAGTACTGTCCTCTTAAGAACATGCAAAATTGCTATACTGAGTGATACCATTGGTCCATGTAGTTCAATACCATTCACACCGACTGGCAGTGGCTCTCCAGGGTTTAACCACTTTCAGGCAGTCTTTCCCAGATCTATGTCAAGATGTCAGATTTAACCTGGAACTTTTGGGATGCAAAGCACATGCAGTATCACTGAGATACAGCGCAGTGCTATTCAAATCAAATGAATGTACTGTATAGCCAACCGCCATGTTTCATGCCCAAAACACAAATACAAGCATTTACGCATTTATGTATAAGGCTTTTTGAAAAAGAAGATTTAAAAATTCTATTAAAGAATGTTAGTGAGTTTTGAAGTATCTCCTTGAGAAGAGATCACCATTTCAGTGGTCTTGAGGGCTTTTGAATGGTTTGTTGTTTAAATGCTTTCATAAGCAAAAGCACATTCAGTGCCAGTGAACTAGACATGATGCAACATGAGCTATGTTTGCCAATATTTGGCTATGAATGATAAATAAGCTCCAGCACAGCTATAAATAACTAGGTCTTGGTTATTCCACAGGATGCCTATCCACCTAACTACCACCAGAAATAGTTAGAAGTACAGCAGATCTAAGAAATTATTTCAATATACCATGTAAATGCTGAGCTAATACAGTTCTACACAAACTTGTATAATCTAAAATGAGCAAATTATTTATTTCATTTATCAGTTACTTTTTACAATAAAGTCTCAAAGTGACCTGACAAAAGTATGTAAAAGACAATTTAAAATCAGGAAAAAACTAAAACAACTGACAATACAAAATCCACAAGATATTATTAAGGACTAAGTTCTACCCTCCACTCTAAAATATGAGCACCACCCTAGGAGGCATTATTAATTAACTGAAGGCCTTTGGGTCATTTCTGATATAATATATGCTTCTGAAAGCTTAAGGGTAAATACATTTGCTCAGCAAGAAATTCAAAAACTTTTGGAATAAGTGATGTAATATACCCATTGTGCACAAGAATGTGTCCCTATCTTTCAAAGGCAGGTATCTTTTAGTTTAGTATCCAATGGGTGGCTTTGATGCACAGCAAACTTGTATCAATGCATGTATCTGATATATACAGGCATCCATGTCAGCGTCAGTTACAGACTGCCTCACTCGTAGCAATAATGTTGGCATAGGGCTGTTATAATCTTGCACACAAAAGGGGCTTTTAAAAATCGTATTTCAGCTGAAACTGCCAGGAATGTAATAATGCAGAATAAACTTATGAGGGCATAGTTTGCCAAGTTCGCAATTAAATGCCATAATCTGTTATGTTTATTTCTCTCACCTTTAATACCAGGTCTGAAGCTCTGTCACTTTAATAAATATCAGTTTATTTGATAACAGGATAAAATATGGCTTCATGTGACATTCTTTGTCAAATAACAATATAATGAATTAAAATGATTAAGTCTCAATATTATGAGAGTATCAGAGATGACAGTTTCTCTATAATTGGAACCTCATTGTTCCAAAGGAAGCATAAAAATGCTGCCAACTTGCTTGGTTGCAGTTACGAGATTCCCCAGTTATGATAAACCCTGCTGACTGAAGTTAGTAAAGTTATAGTTGCATTGGTCTGTTTCCAAAAGTGTTTCTACTTCATTCAAAATACAGAGGATTATTCTAGCCTGGCTGTTCCTTGTTTCACCAACAAAGCAAAAAGCAAGCTAAAAGACAACAAAACAACATTCGAAGTTGGCTTCATCCACTTTCATTCTGAAAGCTCTAATAAACCTTTATCAGCTTTGTCTATCACTGAAATAAAACAAACTGTCTTTGGTTTCAACAGTTTCCTGTTCAGTTATCCTTATACCAGTGGATGACTTGAGCTTCACTTAATTCATAGGACCTACAGTTTTCAGGACAAAAGCCACAAGACAAAGAAATTAATATATCAACACTATTTGGAGAAAAGCTGGATATTATTCCAGAGAATTTGATATTTAGGGTCATATCCAGTGTTAGTCATACTCAGAATGTACTTAAGTTATGCAAGTTCACTGATTTCAATGGCACTAATCTGAGTATGACATACTTAGATATCACTCTTAGTTCTTGTGGTTACAGCAGAATGATTAGCATGCAGAGTTTCTGTGGGGCATGCTTTTACATGCCCATGTACATAGCTCTGACAGTTCCTGATGTATTGTCTTATTTCCATAATTAAGTAAACTCAAAAATATATGTGAACCAATAGTATGTAGGTATTCATCATTTCTCTGTAGATTCAAATACACAGTCTGTACATTACTATCCACTATAGCTTATTCACTGCCTTAATGTAACATTAGTCATATAATCAAATCATCAGGTTAAGACTATTTGATATATGTCAGGTGACTGAGAAACCAACTATGGCAAGAAGTGGAAGTACTATAGAAACACAATGGAATTAACAGCTCTCTCATTGCTCAGGAATTTGGTGCCTACAAAGGTATCATCACCTTCTTAACTGAGCAGAACTTCTTATGAATACATCAACAATTTTAGTATCTTCTCCAATGTATTATCTCACTTAACTGCAAAAATGAACAAGAATTTGGCTCAACTCTCTTGAAACATAAACTTTTCCAAAGTCATATGGCCACAAGCTTAAGTCTTAACATACTGCCACAATTACACTCTGCTAACACTTTGAATGGTGACCCTCTATGCCTTTCTGTTGCCATTTGATGTTCCCATCCCCTTTCCTCACTGTCCAATTTCCTTCAAACCTCAGCCCAAAATTTGTCTCTTCTATACGGCTTTGGGCTTAAAGCTGCATTCCAGTACACATTTAGCTGCAAAGAACTCTCAATGAAAGCAATGGGACTTACTTTTGAGTAACATAGGATTGCCCTAACCTTAGCCCACATTCCCAACTAAAATTAAGCCATGTGCATGTAGCTACATTTCTTTGCATTCATTCTTCACTACCCGAGCCTCTCCATTTCCCCCAGTCTAACATTTTTACTATAACTATTAAGAACAGCTTCAGTAATGATGAGCGTGTGCATGGTTGTGTGTCAATTGGATGAATGTAAAATGGTTGCTTCCAGTACACGGTTATTCAATTGGATTTTAATGTTAACCATCCTGAGATTTTTCAATTAAGGGTGCTACATATTGTTTGTGTGTGCGCGCGCACCCACCCACCCGCTTCTTCTGGCAGTCTGCTCAGTTTTATGTTGTATAGGAAGGCACTTTGCCTCCTCCTCACCTAGAACGGAAATCAAGGAGTCTGTCAGTGGAAGGTTGGGTTGCTATGATAGTCCACTAAGCTTCTGTTCTGGACACACAGAGAAGAGTGCTTTGTTCCTTGTGTGGCTCAACAAAAAAACATAATGAGCTGATGAAGTGAAACAGGGACCCATGCCTTTACTGACAAGCCTTCTATGCTCATCAACCAGGCAGTGAAGCCCCTTTCTGCACATCGGCACAGAAACCAGGTGAGGAGAGAACAAGGCAGGGAACATCCCATGTGCCTTCCACTAGTCAGCTTCATTTCAAATGTTTTCCTCATCTACTCATAAGAAAGGCTAGAAAGATCCCTCTACTCTACCAACTCCTCTTGTAAGTACAAGGCAGGTACATTGGCTGGTTGTTTATTTATTTGCAGGCTAGTAACTTTGAGGGGTAATTCAGAAGGCTGGTACACACAATGCCTTACTTCCACTTCTTTATGTATTACCCAGTAAATCTTATACAAATCCTTCAATTCCTCAATCCATTTCTGCCTGAGTGGCTGCATTTCTTTTGCCCAGACATTTGTAAGTATGCAGCTTATGCACCTGCCATAGCATGATATCTATGGTCTGTGCCAAACAGAACATGCCTATTGACTCAAACGATATAATCATACCAGAATGTCTTCTAGCAAACCATACCTGTTACTGCAATAAAACACAAAAGCAAAGAATAAATTAAGCAGGCTTTTCATCAAACCACTGTGACCTGAAGGAAAAATTCTTCATAAATCTAAGACTGAGCAAAAAACCATGACTACATGAACACATTCCAGTTGTTGACAAACAACACTTAACTACTTCACCATAACGTTATTCCTTCCTACTTACCAATATTGCCATCTTATCTGAAAGCAGAATAAGGATGGGAAGCATATATTCAATACTGCTTCAACAATAAGACAAAAAGTCTCTTTTATATATAGGACTATGTGAGCTATTATATATATTCACTATGTAAAATATGAGAAGGCTATAAATAGGTACCAGCTTTTCAGAATTTTATATATAGTTTTATATTCACAGTGGATTGTGTCCAGTGGTGTTGCTCAGCTGACAGTAGGACTTCAATCAGTGGTACTGGGAGGAAAGAAATTTCACCCCCAAAAGGTATTTATTAAAGCAGTGGTTCTCAAACTTTTTCTCTGTACCAGAGAAAATTTGCTCATGCTTAATTTATAACACAGAATACAACTATTTTATAATATGATCGTGGGACATCCAGAAAGTGTAAAACAATGCAGCTACATGAGAACTTGAATAACTCCAAAAATATAATTATAAATGACAACTAGGATTGTCCTCAATATACTTGATGCTCTTGCTCTCATTTTGAAAAAATATTTATCCATATTCTGAAAATAAAAACATATTATGATCCTATACTACACTGAAATGTTTAAATGTTTCTTTGATTATTATCCTTGAATCTTCCCACTATACTTGATGTCAAATGCCACACCATTTGAGAATCACTGTATTAGGGTTTTTTAAAAAGAAAACAATTCAAATCCAATAGTCACAGTGTGGACTTCCAGGTCAGCGCCATCGGTGAATGGCGGAGTTCCTCCGACTGGAGGAACTAGCTCCGTGGAAACTGGGTCTTCCCGCCGCAGCAAAGGTGGGGACCCGCTAGAAATCCCAGGCGGAGGAAGCCTGGGAACGTGGGGTTTGGCAGGGCACCTGGAGCACCCCCCCTACTCACGGGGAACCCCTTTTGGGGATTCCGGAGTGAAGTGGGGTGAGCGGCGCGGTGCTGCGAACTGACTGCTACTTTCACGGAGTGAAGCCGCACAGCCATCGCTGGAGAGCACTGACTTTTTCCTGTGGACAATTGGATCTAAAACAAGTACCCGTGAGTAGAAACGGAAAATTGGATCAAGAAATACCTTAATTTGACATCGAAGTGGGAAGGTTCAAAACAGGAAGTCCGCCTTCCGCTTTTTGTACATAGACTGAAGCAAAAACCTTGTAAGCTAAAGCCTGGAAAGTCGTTTAAAAAGCCTAAATTTCCTTCATTTACAACTACTGAAACCCCCTTGGAAGCAGGAGAAAAGGGGGGGGGGACTTTGTGTAACGCCTGCAGGAGAGGGAGTGAAGAAAGATAAGTTTCCATCATCTCTAACCTGGGAACGGGGTGTCCGAGACAGAAATTGCTGGAGAGGTTCACTGACTGTGAACGGAATATTTTGACAGATAGCTAAAGAAGAGAAATAAACTGATTCCAATGTTGCCTTTTGCATTCTAAAGAAACAAAATATCTGAAAAAATGAAAGTAATTTTTCTTTGTTGGACTTGCCTTAAAAGATGGATACAAATAGAAATTGTCTCCTCTAGAGGGAGCTTGCTAAATTGTTGCTGCAGCCACAGCTGTGAGATTAAGATCATGGGATTAGTCCTTTTGACCTTGACTAAATATGAGCTGGAAGGAAGTTTTGGTGCTTGCTCTATGCAAGACAAGTGCTTTGCTGGAACAGATGCATGAGAAGATGGATCTGATGAATGAGAAAATGGATTTGATGACTGTTGTGGCCAATAACTATGGACAATCAGTGACTAGTGATACAGAAATCATCCAGGGTCCAACTCAGGAACCTGTATTGATTGGGCAAGTGCAGAAGATAATGGAGGAGGTTGCAGATGCACCTCAAATAATACAAATGGAGAGGCCCAAGGCCCCACAGGAGCATAAGCTGTTGTTTTTGAAGATTGAAGTTGGAGTTGGCCAGGGGGAGTCTGGAGCTGAGGAGGCTTTTGACTTTGGAGAGACTTTGAAATATGCTCGCAAATATTTTTTGGATTATATTGATGACTGTGGGGAGTGGGACTGTGGGGAATGGGCTGATTTGATGAAGGGAGACGGAGATAACTTTGGGTTGGAACCCCCCAGAGACCTACTCCTCAACAAGAAAGGAAAGAAATTAAGAAAGAGACCAACAAAAGACAAGGAAAAGTGCAAGTATAAACAAGAAGAAGAAGATCTGCAGAAGGGACATGGAAGAGACTTAAGGGCCTCGGACATAAGGCTTCCAGGTTGATGGACTAGATGGAATGGACAGTAAGGACTGACACGACCCGAGACCAGGAAGAAGAGACGTTGGATGAAGATTGGAAGAAAATTTATAAAGAAAACTTTTATTTAGGGAATTACCCTAAAATTAATGAATATTAGGGAAAATGTTGGAATGAAACTATATGACTCTAGCAGAAATGATATCAGGGGTTATGTATAAATGAGTATTAAGTTTCAAGCTTTAAGGTATTTTATGGTAAGATAAGGTTAAATAACTTAAGGTAATTTGAATAACAGAATATGGGGAAAGATGGAAAGGATCTGTCGAGTTAATTAATAGGTTAAATTGTTAAGATAAATTATTTAATAAAAATTGAGAAAGATGGAAAAAATTTGCTGAAATAACTAACTAAACTAGAATACAAAAAGGGAGGTGTGAGGAGGTCAATGAAACAAGCAAATGGAAGTTATATGGGATTTGTGTCTTTCCTTTTTTCTTTTTCATATATATATGTATGTATATATATATATATTTTTAATTTACTGTATTGATGTATTGGTTTTTATGTTTTGCGTTTTTTCTTCTTTTTATGTATTGTAGTGCTGTTTTTTTTTCTTTTCTGTAATTCTGAAATTATTAATAAATATTATTCAATAGCCACAGTGTGATTTAAAAGGTAATAATAATAATAATAATGATGATTTATTATTTATACCCCGCCCATCTGGCTGGTTTCCAACAGAACACTAAAATACAATAACCTATTAAACATTAAAAGCTTCCCTAAACAGGGCTGCCTTCAGATGTCTTCTAAAAGTCTGGTAGTTGTTTTTCTCTTTGACATCTGGTGGGAGGGCATTCCACAAGGCGGGCACCACTACCAAGAAGGCCCTCTGCCTGGTTCCCTCTAACTTCTGGGAACCACCAGAAGGCCCTCGCAACTGGACCTCAGTGTCCGGGCAGAACAATGGGGGTGGAGATGGTCCTTCAGGTGTACTGGACCGAGGCCGTTTAGGGCTTTAAAAGTCAGCACCAACTCTTTGAATTGTGCTCGGAAATGTACTGGGAACCAGTGTAGGTCTTTTAAGACCTGTGTTATATAGTCTCGGCGGCTGCTCCCAGTCACCAGTCTAGCTGCTGCATTCTGGATTAGTTGTAGTTTCCAGGTCACCTTCAAAGGTAGCCCCATATAGAGTGCATTGCAGTAGTCCAAGCGAGAGATAACTAGAGCATGCACCACTCTGGCGAGACAGTCTGCGGGCAGGTAGGGTCTCAGCCTGCGTACCAGATGGAGCTGATAAACAGCTGCCCTGGACACAGAATTGACCTGCGTCTCCATAGACAGCTGTGAGTCCAGAATGACTCCCAGGCTGCGCACCTGATCCTTCAGGGGCACAGTTACCCATTCAGGACCAAGGATATACAAATGCAAAATATATTTTCCTGTTACAATACAATGATCACTAAGCAACACAATGAACAGGTAATTTCATATCCATGTAACTCCACATTGTCATATGGTGCAGTGGATGCAGGTGAGTTATTCATGTAACTTATAAAATAGGGCCAGACCTTATCAAACTTGTCATGTTTCACAGTGCTGATACCTAGGATCTCCTTTCCAAATCTCCCGAAGACCTCTTGCATTACCCATTGATTTGTCAATAAGCAGTTTGTAATTTACAAAGGCAGACCCTCTCAGTTGCTTGCTTGACACACTGGAGCAGGGGTGTCCAACAGGTCGATCAGGATCGACTGTTTGATCCCTGGAAGGTTCCAGTTGATCATGGTCTCCTTTTCCTTTGCATTGTCATCAGAGCATCCAGCAGCACCCCCTTGGCCTGTCCTCCATTTTCGCATGATAGCTGTAATGGAAGACAGACTTTTCGTTGTGAGACAGATTATTTTCTTAGCAATGTTTTGGTGAGTGAGTTTTCCCCTTTCCTCAATTTTGACATTTTTGTCCCTAAAAGAAGCTCAACAACTTTGACCTGAACACCCCAAAAACAGGGTAAATCACTGCCAGTTTTTTAATCTGTGAGTGGATCACAGTCTCTTGGAAGTTAGACGCCCCTGATCTAGAGCAATCTTTTGGGCGGGGGTGGAATACAGAGGGAGGTTTTCCTCCCTTTCCCTCTGATGAAAGTCTTACTGTCAGCAGAGTGCCACTAAATTTGCTGCACCATGGTTTCTGGTCAAAGCTCATTTCAGAAATTTGGTATTAGTTTAGTATTTATTAGGATATTATTTAAACACTTTAATAGTGGCAGTTCATGCCCTTAGCATTTCCAAACATCACTAAATGGGAAGCAGCTGTTAATTATGCATATAGTTCATTTTTAGTTGCATGTTCAAACTATGATCACCTGATTCTTAAAACAGAAGAGATAAATACTGTTGATTATTTATACAGTGTCAGTGAATATAGTGCCTTGCAGACAAACAATCATAAAAGGGCAGGGTACATTCTATAGGAAATATTATGAGAACCAGGGTGCTCCAGAAAATAAAATGTTAGAACTGGACTAGGGAGGCCTATGTCTATTCACTGACCTCTTTCATGAGATTGCCACTTGCTACTGGGAAGTCACATATTTTAAAATGACAACGACTGCAATCTACCTTAGAATAACTAAACAGTGAGAACACAGCAAGACACAAGCACTGGCAGGGATCTTCTGTCAGGAAGTATATAGACTCTTCATCCAAGTTTTGGCCTAACCAAGACAACTCCCTGTCTCCCAAAAAATGCATTTGACAAAGATCTAAGGACAGGTTTTAGTTCACCATATCATCAGTTTAGAACTGAAGATGAGGATAAAATCACCAAATGGATTCCCTGCTGCATACCAATTAAACTACAATTTAACAGGTCATTTTCCCTAGAAAGCATATATACTTTGCAAATTAAGAATCACACACATTATACGTAAGGAGAGGAGAAATAGTTTTCTAATTCAAAATTACTCAGAAAACTTACATCAACTGGTGCTGGCTACCTGACCTGGCTATCAATATACTGATGACAAATGTCAACTCCTGGTGAAGCAGTGTCATCTCTCTATTCGTCTCAGGTCAGTGATAGAGAAGATGAGGGTGAATAAACTTAAGTTCCATTCAGGTAAAAAAATAAACCTATACATGGCATGTGAGTTCCATGACATCTTTAAGGAGGGGGGCAATTTGGACTTGCAACCCTTTGCCCCTGTGCTGAAGGCCAAATTTAAATTTGCTCCAACCTAGAGGCTATTATGTGCAGAGAGGAAAACATATGGGCTTAAGAGCTTAAACCAGAAATCAGCCCCCACTTGTGGCTACAGCAGCTTTGAGACAAGATTTAAGTCAGGAGGAAATCATAACTTTATTGACAATAAACAGTGTAATCTCATAAGTATTGGTGGAGTCTTTGTTAAACTTCTGTTCTGGTACATCCCATAGGAATAGTCAAGCGCATACAAAGTAAGCTAAGAGATTCTTTAGCCTTAATTTTGTGATATATAGAAAATTTAGTCCAAACAAATTGTGGGGCTTAGGTTATGAACTCACCGTCACTTAAAGCAAAGTATTTAGATTTAAACTAGCTTAATCCTATTATCGTCAATAGGATTCAACAGATTTAAATCCAAATGTCCCCATTAAATTATCAGCCTGATAAACAACAGTCAATTGCTGAAGGTAACAGGCACAGTAATAAACAAAAGGAAAGAAGTGTGATACTTGTCTGAGCAGTATTTTCCTTGGAACACTACTCTTTGCTGAATGACTTTCGTTCCTCTCACTCTCAACACCATACATTTCAAATCACAGTGCAGGGATACTGTCCTGATTCCTTAAGGCAATATAGTAAATTGTAAAATGTTTCTTTTTCACATTTCCCAGAGTCAAGCTCTTTCAACAGATGATAAGGAACTAAGTCTGACTCATTAACATCTCATTGCTGCCTAGAAAGAGATCAACACAATTGAAAGCTTCTTCTATCAACACTGTTGGCCCAGAGCTGTATCATCCAAGGCTTTCTGGATCCCATCCAAACTATAGCTACCATTCCATACTTGTACACAAGCAGTTCAAATACATTTTTTGCACAAGTAATTATGATTGTTCTTACTAAGGTATACATACAGTACCGAGATCAACACAACACATGAACTGTGCCAGCAGGAGTTCCAGTGATAGTAGACCTTTGCGGAAGGACTGCTCTGTTCACAATTACGCAATTCACATGTTATATTTGTTAATACTCATTGTTAAGGACAGTTGGGATGTCCCACAAATACAGAACTTGTATTATGTAAACCTGCCCTCAGTATTACAGTTAAAGAGTTAATAGTTATACAGTTAAGATGTATCTTATCCTTGTTACATTGGATAAGACATTTCAAATTCAGATTCTGTGTGGGGTAACAGAGATCAAGACAGTACTTCCTTCAAATGGCGAGACTACTGCAGCTTTGGGTATAGTAACAAAAGAGATGGTGAAATCCCCATATCACTTTTAGAGGAACTTCTGCTGACATAGACAGATAGGATCTGCCAGAAAACTCACTCAAAAAGCAATCTACAGAATCTACAAATCTACAATCGCTTTGCCTGATCTGTCCTAAGAGCTACTCAGTATTTCAACAACATAACAAACTGAACAAACTGCTGACTGATCACTGGAGTGAGTGGGATTAAAACCCAACTATTGCAATAGAGGAGGTGGTGGTGGTTTAGTTAGCAAAACCATCCAAGAACAAGCTCAGATGCACATTTATCTCAAGCTACTGGCACTTCTGGGAAAGAAAGGCAGTGCCGTCCCATCTCTGCTTCCATCCTTCCAACACACAATGTATCATCAGAAGCCCTCACGTGTGTGCATTTATGCGATACGGCATATATATGGGGGGGGGGGAGAAAGAGAAGCGCTAGTAACCAGGTGTGCTTATCCCTATGCTAGCAGTCGTTCTGGGGATGCCTCGCTTAAGGATGAAGTACGGAGAGCAGTAACCGACAGAGTAGGAAAGGGATCCAAGGGAGAGGAGCTCCCCTGAATTTCGAAGGAGGGAGGACGGGGAGAATCCGGGGCGTGGGAGAAGCGAAGAAAGGAAGCCCATTCCAAAGTAGAGAGGGAGGAGCGGAAGCAGAAAATGCCTACCCATCCACCACCACCACCCCTCCCGGAAGAAGAGGGAAAGAGCGGGGGAGATACATCCTGAGGCGACTTTCGACGCTTTCTATGGGGGGGGGGTGTCTGGGACGGGGGTGTAATAAGAGCCTGCTGCCCTCGGCAGCGAGGAGGGAGGGGCCGTCTCACCCACCCCCAGGGAGGGCTCCTTCTTCCCGCTACCTGAGGGGGGGGTGAAGCGGGGCCTACCTTACCTTGCCTCGCCCCAGCCCAAGTGCCGCCGACAGCGGCGCCAGCTCAGCCCCGAGCCGCCCGGTCACTCACCTCCGCTGGCTCCGTCGCTACACCCCGACCATTTCCCGGTTGCCGCCACCGCCGGGCGGGCGTGAGGAGACCCAGGAAGGCCCCAGAAGAAGCAGCCGCCGCCGCCGCCACAGGCGAGAGGAGGGGCAGGCCGAGGGAGATCACCGCGGAGAGAAAGGCGCGGAGGCGGAGTTCCATCTCCGGCTCCCCCGCCGCTCCATGTCTGGGGGCCGCCGAGCCGGGGTTGCGCTGAAACGCGAGAGGGCGGCGGGGTCAAGGCCTCCCCGACGACGCCAGTCTCCGCCGCCGCCTCCCTCCTTCTCTTTCCCTCTCTGGAGTCGGATTACCCAGCAGCCCCCGCGGCCAGCACAGCCCCACCGCCCCAAAGCCCAGCAGCTGAGAGGAGGGGCCTAAGGGCTCACCACGTGACCCCCCGGCGGAAAGCAGCCAACGCCGCCGGGAGAAGGCGAGCACCGCCCTCGCCCAGAAAGGAAGCGCAGGAGGATTCGGGCACGTCACGTGACCAGGAATCTCTTCCCCTTTTTTTTCTTTTTTTGAAGTCGATGATTACAAAAAACTGTTGCTCTTCCGCGCCCTCTACAGGGGAAAGTCGGAGCAGCAACGTGGGCGCCTGTGCTGTGGTAAATCCGGGCAGATGCGGCGAAGTAGGGTCCCGGTTTGCATAGGAGTCTGGGAGTCCCCCTCGGAGTATCCGATTAAGGGGATTAAACGCATGCCTAGCCACCATTGAGGAATGGATTCAAATCGGGTATGGTGCGCAATTCTTCCACGCAAATGCCCAAGGAGGTCACTGCTTTCTGCGGGAGGGCTTCTCCTTCAGATTCCCTGCAATATCAGGAGCCTCCTCGTTCTCCGCAGTCATTTGCCTGCCCCTGTTTTGAGAAACGGCATTCCTGTTGAGATCCGACCGACAGGCGCCCACTAACTTAAATTGTGGGTGGTTTTTTTAAGTGATTTTATCCACCCAGGTACAGTAACACATATTATTAGCCAAAAAAGCTATCTAAAGCCTTCATATATTACCAAGTATTGTACCCTTACTAAGTTTACGAATAATATAATTGCAGGTTCTGACAGGGGGGAAAACACTCCTCGCTGCTGCTGACAATTCCTTCCAAAGAAAGAGAGAGCCCCTAGACAACATTTTATAGGTGCAACGGGCTCAAATATCAAGAAAGAGAAAGTTGGTAACAATATCCAGCTTAAAGAACAGAAGTAAACATGGGTTTATCTCTTTGTTTCTGGGTGTTCTAAAACCATTTTTGAAGAGAGGACACTTTGCATGCAGTGCACTGACAGGATGGACAGGAATAACAAGATCCTCCTTCTGTTCATAGACCTAAAAGGACAGTTGCCTCACCCTGCTGCCTATTATCAGACAAATGCCTCCAAAAAGAGAGGTAGTGTGTGGTCATACAACAATGGAATTTCACATTAAGAGTCCACTAACACACTAGAATAAATCCAGAGGTGGTGACTAGAAATCTATAATAAACCAGAATAATTTGATAACATTCAATAAATGCAAACAGGCAGATAAGAGCAAAACAACACAGAGAATTTATTGTTCTGTACTACACACACACGGGTGTGTGTAGGGACGCGGGTGGTGCTGTGGGTAAAACCTCAGCGCCTAGGACTTGCCGATCGTATGGTCGGCGGTTCGAATCCCCGCGGCGGGGTGAGCTCCCGTCTTTCGGTCCCAGCTCCTGCCCACCTAGCAGTTCGAAAGCACACTTAAGTGCAAGTAGATAAATAGGTACCGCTTACCTAGCGGGAAGGTAAACGGCGTTTCCGTGTGCTGCGCTGGTGCTGGCTCGCCAGAGCAGCTTCGTCACGCTGGCCACGTGACCCGGAAGTGTCTCCAGACAGCACTGGCCCCTGGCCTCTTAAGTGAGATGGGCGCACAACCCTAGAGTCGGACACGACTGGCCCGTACGGGCAGGGGTACCTTTACCTTTACCTTTACTACACACACACACACAAACTTAGTTTAGGGACAGCTTTTTACAATATCTGTTTCCTTGTGACAGCCTTATGGAGAAGATGTTGTTTCCACAATATCTGCCTGAAAATAAACATGGGGTGGACTGGACACCTAGCACTAGCATGTAAAGCAGAATTGGTTTTCTCAAAAGAAACAACATACTGTACTTCTTTGAACTCTGCCAATGTCCTCTTTGTCAGCCAACTGCAGAATTCTGTTTCTCTTTTGCCGGCTACTTTCAAGAATGTTTTCCTTCAGCATTACCACCCCTCCACGCCCCAGTAGGTGAGATGTATCTAATATAGCAAGTAGACTTGGCAATCAATAAAGTGTCTCTGTGTGGACCCGGGTGGACTAAACCACAGGGCTTGCTGATCACAAGGTCGCGGTTCGAATTCCCGTGACGGGGTGAGCTCCCATTTCTCGGTCCCTGCTCCTGCCAACCTAGCAGTTCGAAAGCCCGTCAAAGTGCAAGTAGATAAATAGGTACCGCTCCGGTGGGAAGGTAAACGGCGTTTCCGTGCGCTGTTCTGGTTCACCAGAAGCGGCTTAGTCATGCTGGCCACATGACCCGGAAGCTATACGCCGACTCCCTCAGCCAATAAAGCGAGATGAGCACCACAACCCCAGAGTCAGACACGACTGGACCTAATGGTCAGGGGTCCCTTTACCTTTATGTAAACAACAGAGGATGGTATTCTACATTTTCCCTCTATGAATGTCCATAAGAAATAAAACTCTCTTCAACAGAGACTGCTGCTTCTATATTTTATCACAATTCCAAAGACTGAATATGTTTGTCAGAAGGGCTTCATCAATTAATGTTCTAAAAGCAGGAAGTGATCTTTTACTCCCTACCACATGGTTCCCATTTAATGCCCACATTTCTCTGAAACTCTAGCTACTGGAAATATAGCGACCACAAACAGTTGGTAGACATAGGAAAATATCTGCACACACAAAATTGCTTTTCTTGTGGTATATAGAAAACAAATTACACCAGTTGTTATATTTATTTCAGATGAGGGGAATCAACCAAATATGTACATAATTCAAGAAGTAAAATAATCTTTTCATGCAGCAGAACATGTTTTATAACAATAGAGATGCTAAATACAAGGAGAAGACAATGTCACTTTGATTCACAGCGTGGAATCCACCCCCCTTTCTCTAAAGAGCCTGGTATTCAAATGACCCCCTGCTGTTAGTGATAGCAAGACAGAGCTTGATAGAGACCCCAAAGGGGTTAAGAGGACTCCACATTCTGTCAACATCTGTGCATACCATGCGCTAGTCTCAACTGCCCTAGGTTAGATTAGGATATTAATTGCCCTTGACAGAGACAACAACACCAGCTTATGGATTGCTTTCATTTTCCCCCCTTTGATGTTCTTTGTCCTCTCCTGTAATTAATTATTGAAACCAATTCAAATTGTTTGTATGATATATCACTCATTCTCAGGCTGAGAAACAACAATAAAAGGTTCAAAAACAAGATACAGTTCAAGTAATTTTAAACCACTCTGTAATGACTTTAACAAATCAAGAGGTATGTTTAAAAGTGTTCTGAATACATATTCTAAGAATAAAAACATGCAAACCATGCCACAGAAGACTTCACGAGAAGAAAAGCCTCTACCGTAGGTTCCAGTGTACATTCTTCAAAGTGTCTGTGAAGCTGTATGATGCTCAGTGTTGAACACTAAAATAAATGCCTCCAAGTCTCCAAATGGCTATCAACCCATAAAATCAGTGCAATAAGATCTATTCATCAAATAATGTCTATTCATTTTCTCATTGGAATGAGTAAGGTTGAATAAATTAAAGTTCAATTAACAACATCTCTTTAGCATGGTCAACTTAAGTACACAGGACTTCATTCACAGTTAAAACATCATAAAGGAGTGTCCTTAAATATTGCCCCAAATCTATGGTTGTAGATTTTTTGGCACTTTGTCGTTCCAAAGTATTACATACTTCACTTTTCAATAAAGCTCTTAGCAGCCTACGTGCCTTTACTCACAAAGTTTGTCAATTTTTCCATGCAAACCATGTCCCTTGTCTCTTAACAACCAATCCATAACAGGGGGAAGATTCAGCATTTTCCGGTTATAGATTATAGCTATTTTTGCTGCTGTTGAAAAGAAAGATAACCAATTCCATGTCCTTGAACAAATTTATCTTAGGTTTTAGATAAATTTCTCAAATTAAATCTGTTTCTAAAAAATTCACTTTTTTTGACATTTGAAAGATACCTGCTCCCAAGTTTCTATGTCTTCAGCAAACATTGTTGAAACCCATATGAGATAAACTATCTGGTAAGGAATATATATTTTAGGTAACATGAATAGCTGGAAGTCTCTTTTGCACGTAAGCAGGAAAAGCCACATCAACATTATCATTACAATGATGTGTGTTTATCTGTTCAGGCAGGAAAAACAGATCTGTGAGAATCTCTCTCATTTGCAGCCCAGGCATACTTGCGTATTACCCTGAGGAAAAGGGTTAGTTAAAACACTTTCATGCTTCACATTTAACTGTGTGGTTGATGCCTAATCTTCACTGGGATAATTTACAGCAGGTTTGATTACACTGACAAAGTCAGCATGAAACCTGAAAAAGCCACTTAAAACCGACCTATACATTTGGAAAAAGCATATAGCACCATCATCTCCAGGCAGTGGCAGTTCAAAATGAAACATGACTGAATGGTTTGTCATGTAAAAATCATTGTCCACCAGAAAATACTAGACTAGGCTCTTTTTCCACGACATAGTTTTCGATAAACAGCAAACTACTAGAAGACCAGCAATATACCACCCCAAAATGTAATCTGGCATGGTAGAGAAGGGGTGGTGCACCTTTTGACTGGGGCCAGAAGCAAAAGTGGGCGAATCAATGGATGTACCTTTTGCCTTTGTACAGTAGGCTAGTTTCTAAACACACACACACACACACACACACACACACACACACACACACTCCTCTGTCCTCCATTCAGGCAAGCAAGAGGCATCACCAGAGTTCAAGGACATATTCCAGTCAGGCAAAAGCACACTCCAGGAGGGGACAAAGTAGGACTAGTGAAAGCTGTGGCCTATGGCAAGTTCCAAGGGCCAAAAGCAAAGCCACATTTGGCTCTGAAACACAGGTTCCCCTCCCCTATGATACATTATCAGAAAGACTCTGTCTTGCGCTTTTTTAAAGAAAACATGTAGATTGGCCCCTAATCTAAGATGGTAACATGCTCAATAAATACCTTAATGAGCTAACTAGTTTGCATGCAGTGGTAAACAACAGTTAGAAGCAAACGATGGCTTACTGGGAATGAAGGTATGGTGCATGGTGCTTGGTTTCACTTAATCTGTCTTGCCTGCTTCCAGGAGAAGGACCGTGAACTTAGCTTAGCATTACATGCAAAGCACCACTCACAGCTTGGTTCTCTCCAAACCATGAGCAGAAGTCATGTTTGTTTGGAGTGCTACAAACCACAAGTGCTAGTCTACATGTAACACTAAACCAATTGCCATGGTTTTCTTCCAGAGGAAGCAGGGCAGAACGAGTGCGATTAAGCAGCATGAACCACACCCTGCTCATTCACAACAAGCCATAATTAGTTTCTGACTATGGTTTGCCATCAGGCACCAACAAGGCCATTAACGACTCTTACCCATTTCAATCTCATCCATACATTCTCATCAATGTTTTCTTAAGGTTTACATTTCATTTCAATTTTGATAGCTATTCTTTTTTTCTCCTACCAGATCTTTGTTGTTCTTCATTCCACATTAGAGAGTTTTCTTAGCAAGATCTCATGCTTATAAAACAAGAGACAAGAGCCTTGGCTGGAGCAGACGAAAACGCAATTAGCCTGGAATTCTGTACCCACCGTGGACCACCAGACATCTCTGTGAAGTCCACAAACATGACATGAAGCAAAAGCCCTAATGCTGCTGTATTGCAGCTACTCAATTGCCTTTGAACTAATATTAAGTAGCATATTGCATACAAACCATTAGAGCAAGCAGCCATAGAATAACTGTAATGAGTCTCCTCGATATAATCTCCATACCACTCTTGCTCCTCTCATTCTCTTCTGTAAGTGATTAGCCAACAGTAGGTCCCCACCATCTCTTAAGCTATTATCTTCATTATTGTCCATGGCTTCAGGTCCTTAAGACTAGAATCAGCTAAGGAAACCAACTGCAATACAGTGGTACCTTGGTTGTCGAACGGATTGGCTCCCGAACAAATCGGCTCCCAAATGCCGCAAACCTGGAAGTGAGTGTTCTGGTTTGCGAATGTTTTTTGGAAGCCAAACGTCCGACACGGCTTCTGCGGCTTCCTATGGAGTGCAGGAAGCTCCTGCAGCCAATCGGAAGCTGCGCCTTGGTTTTCAAATGGTTCCAGGAGTCGAATGAACTCCCGGAACCGATTCAGTTCGACAACCAAGTTACCACTGTATTGGCACTGAATCTGCATTCTGTTAAAATAAACAATAAAGCCATTTATTTGCATTTAATAATTTATTAATCTTTCCTCTTAAATGATACATTCTTTAGCATGACTTTCAAATAGTTTTCTTGTACTTTTAGAATTACAGTATCTGAGTTCTGCAAAACATAGAAATGGTTACAGACTAAAATGCACAACTTACATAAACATTTAAATAGAACATTTGTATTCAAAAGGCATTCTACACACTACATTTTCATAAAAATATAAAAAATAGTTCAATAGTTAATTCATATTTTAACTAGACTAGGATATTTAAGATCTTCCCCCACATGTTCCCTCTTAAAAAGACTCCCATCAATAAGAAACTAAAAGGAGACTGTATCACAAATTAAGTGACTACTGCCAATTGCTAAAATTTATCACAATAGCAAGTTAGTTCACTTCTGTAACTAGCAAGAAATGTACTGCAATATGATTTTTGCTATTATGTACCCTCCATTTCAAAGTTCATACAATTATATATAACTTGTGCTATGCAAAAAAGAAATAATTCTAAATAAGTGATTGTAAATTAGAATACAATGAAAGTTGCTATATGACCAAAATAAATCAAATTTATCTTACAGTTAAGAATTACTATGCAAAAATAGCACAAGGGGAAATATTTAAAGATACTTTCTTTTTTTAAAATCGGGCTCCAATGAAAATAAATGTGTTTTTTCTTTTTTCCTCATTGAAAATACAACATTTGTATGTTATTACAATTTCTCTAGCCTCCCAAATTAGATTATGGAAGATAAAACGAATACTTAAAACTCTCCTCATTTTAACACCCTTACTGGGGAACATTTAATTTTATGAAAAGGCACAAAGATGAAACACTTCAGTTGCAACAGTTAACACTACTCTCCATGCGCAGTGCAAATGCAGCTTAAGGGATGGCCTTTAAGCTCTGAACGGGTCTTGTTAAAAAAATTAAAGCATTTGACCCTGGTCCAGGAATTGTGGTACATGCTGGAGAGAGGCATGTATGTAGTTGCATGGAAGGATCTCCACTGATAAACAGATGGTAGGCATTGTTAACATTTGACAGTGCTGTTTACTTGGGGGTGGGGGACAGAGAGGTTTCTGGAAATCATTTACCCTCTAACCCAGATGGAGTGACTGCGACTTTTCTATACTGAGAATATGAACCAACCCCTTGGGGAGGGGGGGAGATCCTTAAGTGTAGTACCATGTGTGCTGCCCACTACCATGTTAGGGTCACTGCATATCATTTTGTATATGCAGGACCACGTTCAGAAGGGCAGTCTATGCACAGAAGCCTCTTTCAACAGGCTGAAGCAACCCCACTGGACTGGCATGAATGTATGGTCCTGATCTCCAAAATTCAGCAATACGTTATTGCAACAAATATTTGAGCAGCTACTGGCAGAAAAGGGAGATTTGTTTCACTTGTGCTGAAGGCAGTATCACCCACCCCACCCCCTTTTAACTGTTAGTGGAGATTGAATATGGCTTTGACATATCAGCCAACTGAAATAAAACTTTGCACCCTTTATCTTCCTATCTTGCTTTTCACATGAAGTACATTGGTATGGACGTTGGTTGCTTATAACGTAACAGGATGGTTCAAATAAATGTGTTTTGCTTGCTGGCATGTAAACATCAGGGTGACTGGACCTTAGTTCATATAAACATTTGATAGATTTCTTTAAAAACTAAGAAAAAAAAGTAGCATTTCCTATTAAACAATAATCCACAAAAATACTCTTTCAATAAGAGTTACTTCCCATTTAACGGTTTATGTCCTATCAACTACTATGTAAAACACACCAAAAAAAAAAAAAAGAAATCAATTGTAAAAATTGACCTGTTAGTTTCGTTTGGCCATTAAGCATTTTAGATGCTAATCGTTCATCAACACCAGAGTCCTAACACTGCACCAGATTACTTTTCTTCTTCTTTTTCTTTGGCGGCTCATCATCCGTGCTGCTGTCTGTGCTGCTGCTGCTGCTACTGCTGGAGGAACTAGAATCTGTCTCAAAGTCAGAAGAACTGGAAGAACTACTTGAAGAGGGGGATGATGAGGAAGAGGAAGTGCTTTCATCACTGTCACTGTCATCCGAAGAGGAGGATGAGGAATCTTCGCTCTCAGATGATGACTCACTGGCTGAGCTGGCGCTGCTGCTACTGCTGGAACTTGTGACACTTTTAGACCTGCGCAAGAGTTTTAAGATGACCAGCAGATATTATTCAACGGCACTGTGCGATTCTGTGACTAGCAAAGCCTTGTAAAGCAATCTCAATCATAGAACAGCATTCATCTGTTTCCCAAAATGTTCTTAGGATGAAATACAATTTTTTTTCCTTATTTTGTATAGCAAGGATGGGGGGGAGAGTTTGGTTCTCTATTTATAGATGTTTGGTTGCTATTTAAAGTAGCTGAAAACAAAAGAAAGGGAATATGGGAGTTTCACATTGGTATAAAAGGTACCATGAATATTAAAATTAAGCATTAGGTGAGCATTAGTCCCCAACAATTATCAAAACCAGTGCTTTTTTTTCCTAAAAAAATGTTTAGGGGTACTCTCATTTTGACTCAAGAAAATCACCATTTTATAGTTCAAATCTGGAAAAATAAATACAGTAAATGGACAAAAGTACAAAGATTCACAAAATGTTTAGGGGTATGCATACCCCTGTGTCCCCACAGAAACAAAGCACTGATCAAAACCATTCCTAGTTTTGAATTCTGTAGCTGTGCCACTATCAACAAAACATTATTTTGACAAAAAGGTTCATATAATCAATGATCTCCCTGACTGGGTTCTAGGCTCAAATACCCCATCCCACTTGAGGGAATAGCAAGGCTATGGTTTCCTGCTATATGGATGAGCTGCAATAAGGCTTGGGCCCATATGCTACTCCTATATTTCAAGCACCCAGGGAATAAGAGTGGAAGATTTTGCTTCCAGTTTCTGCATCTGCCAGAATGGGAAACTGGTTAATTCCACCCAGAAGCAAAAGAGGTCTGCAGCCTCTAAGTTGTGAGCAGGGGGCGTTATTTTGAAGCCTCCACAAAGTTCTTAAAATTACACTATTTTGTAAAAACTGGCAGCATTAAAAAAAGTAGTTTATCATTAGTTGAATTCTGTATTTCCTTCAGCACAAAAGAAAAGCTGTGTGAAACAGCCAAGAGCAGTTATTATAAATGGGAAGATCCCAGTTTTCCAAAGTACATTGAAGTTTATTTTGTCAGTGTTTATCTGTTTGTTTCTAGAGAATCCAATAATCAGCAGATACAGTATATAGCAGAGGGCCACTTCCAAGTTCAAGAGGCCTATGGTTTTCAGAGAGACTTGGAAATTAAAATATTGGATATATCTTAGTATGAGAAACTACTGCAGGCTAGGAAGCACATTTTTGCAGTTGAAACTCTGTAGGGAAACATTTTTTCCTTCTATCGCTTGGTTTTGACAGCAACTTCTAATAAAACTATCTCATGTTATCTGTCAAGTGATATACCTGGGCTTATCACTAAAGACAGGAAGAGGTAGAGCAAATGGAACAAAAAATAAATAAACTGGAATAGAACACACTATGCATAATATTAAAAGGCTAATAGAATTAAGTAAATCCCAAATTGGAAAGTAGGTCCCACAGACACTTACTTCTCCATGTCCATAATTAGCACTGCAGCCGACAACATGCATGTCTAGTTCATTAGCCAAACTACATCATTTATCACAGAATATAGGAATTAGACAGGGGCAATTGGTTGAGTTTCAGGTTTTCTCACATACCTCTTCTTCTTGCTCTTCCTGTCTGTAGTGCATTCTCCAGAGCTGGTTGAAAGTAAGGACAGGAGAAGAGAAAGAATTGTTTTAATTAATATGCTGGATTTAAAATAATTATATATGTAAAATTATTATTATATAGTGCACAGTTAAAACTTAAACTTAACAGTGGGCAGGGGGTGGAGAATCAAGCTTCCTATACAAAATAAGATGAGCAAAAGGGGTAAGTGGCAATGATACACGTATTAATAAATTACTTTATTGAATGCTAGTGGCAGAGGTGTTTATGCAAACTGCCCAGGGAAGACATTATTAGTGAATTCCAACATTGTGCAAGCAGATAAAAAGGACTTCCCTTCCCCATCTGCCCATTGCACCCATACCTCCCCTATCTCTTGCACAGCCCCACCTCCACTTTCTAGAGCAGATTTGTGGGTGCAGGGGGTGTTGCAAGGCAAAGTTTTATTTCGCAAGGATGGAAGTCCATTCCGCTCACACATGGACAGAACTGCATACAAGCATTAGTACCCAAACTAATGTACTTCCCTTGTGCTTGATCCAGAAGCTGCAGTTAGTAAAAATGGGGTAGCATAATTCCTGATTGAAGCGAGGGCCTTGTCCACATATAACAACTGTGCTCAGAGATATGCACTGGTTACTGATTTGCTACCAGGCAAAGTTTAAGCTGTCACAACTTGGGACCAGTTTACCTACAAGACCACCTTACCCCACCTGTGCCCTTCGGTTGGCAGAACTGGAGTTACAGGTGCCACATAATACACATTCGGCATTGGTAAGCACTTGATCGTTTAGTGTGGCCCCAACTGCCCTTTGGAACTCGCTGCCTATTGAGATCAAGCAGGCGCCTTCATTGTTCTCTTTTCAGTGCCTGCTAAAAACATTCTTGTTTAGGTAAGCCTACCCAGATGCTTTAAAAGTTTAGGTAATTTTAATCTGTTTTAGTATTTTTACTTTAGTATGTTTTAAAGCAGGGTTGTGACTCATTCCTGATTTTCTTGCTTTATCTATTAGCAAGCTGCTTTGAGGTTTCTTACAATCAAGCGGTGCAAAATTTTTATGAAATAAATAAATAAGAAGCAAAACTGAGAAAAACCATGTGCTGGCCTCTCTCTCAAGTTGTCCCACTTAAAGGAAATAAGAAACCCGGTAGCATGGTAACAGCATTACTGAATTTTTCTTCTTTAGATATAGTTGCCTTTCAACATATCACACAGCTTGATTTCACAAGACTCGTCAAATTTGCTAAAAAAGAACAGGGATGTAAATGGGTATATTATATGTAGTGTAATTTGCCCGAGCTTTTATGGTGAATTTGTAATACCAGACGACGGATGCATAGATAAAGAGAAAGCGTGGGCAATTGTTTTGAAACTGTATCAGCTAGCTGTAGCGAACTGACTTATACATGTATCTCAGTCTCAAGAGTCTGCAGTTTATTCTATACATCCATTATTATTTTATTTGATGTTGCTTAAAAGGAGGGCAAATTTGCAGTCTTGGTTTTTACACAGTTAAATTGCTTTGAAAATATAAGCATGGAAAAACAGTTGGTTTAGTCATTTATCAGAATTACACAATAATAATAATTTTCAGGCATGAATGTTTAGGAAATTATTCAGAGTTCAGCAATACTGCAGGAATAGCTAGTATATTAAAATGCCAGTGCTGTCAAAACATCATGCAGCTTAGATGCCAGCTGTTTAAGTAAATAGCAGCACTAGAAATTCTGGGTGAATATAATATGGATGGCTGCTTTGTTGCTCTTGGCTAACATTTATATCTTCAACAGAAAATGGTGAGGCTGTATCTTTACTATAAACAGGAAACCAGCATCATCTTCATCACCCCCATTGTAGTTTAATACATGTCTCACTGCATCCCTTTATTCCTATTATGATACTATAGCTCCTATTTCTTAGTTTACACATGATGCGGTGAAATGGCTAAGAATGTAAGCTGGATACCCCTTGGCTCAAGTATCACTTCAGCTGCAAACTCACCTGTTGGCCTCGGAAAGCTACTATTGCCTCAAACTCAGCAAATTTTCTTTAGTGTGGAGATAATGACTTGCTCTACAAGGCTGTTTTAAGGAGTACTGAAATACTCTAAAATTTGCTGGGAGAGTGGGAAAATATGCACTAAACATAATGATATGAGGAAATGTTAGGTTGAGAGTTGAGTGTGTGCTTGCAAAACAAAAAACAAAAAGAACCTATTGGTTATTTTTTAAGCCCCTTGGCTGGCAGACAATAGCAACAATGTTAGCTTTATCACACAGCCAACTATGCTTTGTTAAATAAATGTCTAAATCTGCAATAGTAGTAATTTATAATACACAAATCCATTGATTTTAAACTGCATAGGAGTGGGCTACATAAATATTCACTAAGCATTGTTCTCAATGGGTTAAGATGCAACATCACTCAAGTGGACTTTCCAGTCTTCTGTTTCCCCTGCAATCCCATGCCCTCCAGAAAAAAATCTGCTCTGGAAAGCTGGGGGACCCTCTAGAGCAGATTTCGTGGAGGTGAGCACCACATTTGCAACCCCTGCATTCAAAGCTTTCTCGCATTTAATTGCTATATGACAACTGTAGTGAACAACCCTCCTTAAGGCATAAGAGTGAAAGAATATACTAAAAAGGAAAGGAGGAATTTTAGAGGGGTAAAAAAAAAACCAGGGCAAAAAGCATGTTTTCAAATGCTTAAAGAGCAGACAGAAGTGAGAGGTGCAGAGATTCTGAGGCAAGACAGTCCAGGGAAAAGGGGCAACAAGACAAGGTGGAAACATCCAACCAAAGTAGTATGGCAAGGTTTAGCTAATAAGAAAGTATCAACATAACAAAGGCAACAAGAAACCAAGGACAGTGGTACCTCGGTCCCTAAATGCAATCCATTCCGGAAGACCGTTCCGAGTTCCGAAATGTTTGAAAACTGAGGCGCAAAGAGCTCCCTGCAAATTCAATTGAGAAAATGGAAAAACATGCAGCGGAAGCTGTCCCACTTCCAAGGCGCATCCAAAAATGGAAGCATTTGCTTCCGGGTTTTCGACGTTCGGGTTCCGAAACGTTTGTCGATGGAGACATTCGAGAACCGAGGTACCACTATAAAAAGAAGCAAGCAAAAAGGAAAGACAGGAGGGAGGGCATAAATATTATTAGGTTGGGGTCAGGGAGTAATAAAAAAAATGAAAGGGCATGTTATGAAAAGAGAAGCTTGGTCAACGTGAGATGCAGAAAGGGGCAAATTCTAAACTAGCAGCAGAGTTAAGACTAGAGGAAAGATGAAACTGTAGGAGAGGCAAACCAGAAAGAAGAACACTACAATGTTTAAGCCAGGGGGTAAAAATAAGAGAACAAGTCATCCCATGTCAAGTTGCAAGATAACACCACAGTTGCATCACATGTGCAGTAGCCCTTGTTCCCAGAACATGCTTATCTTTCCCACTGAAATCAACCAATGGATTCAAGTTACGAGAAATGACATTCTGACTAAACATCACAAAGAACTTTCAGTGAAATAGACTCACATGAGAGGTGGTGGACTCTCCTTCCTGGGAGGTTTTTGAGCAGAGGTTGGATGCCCCTCTGCCATGGATGCTTTAGCTGAGATTCCTGCATTGCAGGGGGTTGGACTAGATGACCCTCAGGCACCTTCCAACTCTACAATTGTACGATTTAAGGGCTCTCAAACTACAGCTTGATCACATGCACTTTTCTACAAATGGTGTACAGTCTCCTTCCCCTGTGATCTTACCTCTGTTGTAATAGTTGCTTCTCTTTTTCCTGAAGTGCTTTTTTAAACTCTGTTGTCCTTGATGGTCTATGCAGATATTTTCTTTTCCCTGTACATTCATAGGTCCAGTGCCCAAATTCCAAACACTTCTGACATCTCACATGCTGCTTGTTTGCTTCCCTATGGAAATATCCAAGAATATTTGAAACCATATGTCTTTGATTTAAAAGCTGACTATTAACCACAGCTAAGATCAACATTCTAGAAAACAGATGGCAATTCCAACATAAAAACTACCAACTTTGGGCCCCTAGTAGGGGATTATATTTGTAATTCGATGAGAACAGACTGTGGCTGAACAAGAAGCTTATGACAACTGCGTAGTATAATCCACTGATAACATTACAAGTTAGAGGCTGGGTTCAACTTCCAGCAAAAATATCTCCTATCTAAGATATCCCTCACATCACAGCTAAGGTCATTCTCGTTCACTTGTTCCCTTAGTTCCCTTACCAGCCCAAATCCTGTACTCAATTACATGAAGAAGCCTTGTGCTCCTTTGATTTGCTCTGATGTGTGCTTTGATTTTTAAAAGTCACAAATGTAATTAGATCCAATTTAGAATGAGCATGCACTAATCTCTCTGCTTCAGTTCCTGGGTGGGCACAATGCCATCTAAATGCAAGCAACACTGAAATCCCACTGTTTCCTATGGGCAGCTCTTACTTCCACCCCAGGGGAAAGGGGAAAATATAGAGTTTAAAGGAATCAGAAAGTTCCATTTCCAGACAATAAGGTGGCAAGGTGTCACAAGGAGCTAGCTACTGTATTGAACCAATCTACTGATGAGGGTAATTTTAACACTTCCCAGCTTATGATCTCTGTCCTTAAATATTCATGAGTGTGCCATCCCTGTTTACTCCAAAAAGGCAGTAAAAGGGGGAAAGTGCAAAGGAGGCTGAATGTCCAATGAAGTCATTCCACACCTGCTGCAGAAATCCTTTCATCTCTTCCCCCAACCCAGCATGAGACACAGATGTGTTACCAGCAGGAGCAGCTGTAACAAGAAAAAGGAACAGCTAGAACTACAGCATGTTCCAAAATAACATTTGAATGTTCTTTCCATTGTCATAGCAAAGATAGGTGAAAACTGAATCTAGATAGAAATGTATTTCAGTCCATACAATTATTTAATAGAAAAAATGATTACATAGTTTTACAACACAAGAAAAATGAAAAATCAAGGAACAGCTGTCAAACCCTCTTTCAGTTTCCTTGAGCTGCCTGCCAGAACATCAAGGTGGTATAAGATTCTGAAGTACATTCTCGAAAATAAGTTAATACACCCAAGAGCAAACTGGACAGCAAAGGCCAAGTGTATTTATACAAGATCAAATGACAGATCGTTGCTAGATCCTAATTTTAATTTTCCTATTCAATGTATTAGACCATATTAAACTCCTCCTTACCCTCTGCCTGACAATTGATTTGGGGGATGGTATGAAATACAGGTTCAGTACTGATGTGGATTCATAGCTTTATCTGCATTACAGGTCTCACTGGATCATGTTGGATATATAAGTTGGAGACTGGCCATGTTTGCACGGTTATCATAAGACAAACCAAGATAGACAAGGTGCATAAAGTTATAGTCGTTTCCTATTATGGTTACTGGGATTTGGGGTGTGCTTCTGACTGCTCAGGAGACATTGCCTACATCTTCAACCCATGCTACTCAGTTGTGTCTAGGGAGAACTGGAGGGAAGTGTCAAAGGTAGTATGCCCCTGAATACTAGGTGCTGGGAATCACAGGTGGGCAAAGTGCTGTTGTGCTGATGTCCAGTTTGCAGACTTCCTACAGGAATCTGGTCAGCCACTGCGAGAACAGACTTGGACTAGATGGGCCACTGGCCTGATCTAGTAGGCTTGTCTTACATTCTTAAGATACCCTGCTTCCCAGGAGAGAAAGAGGCACAGACTGGATGCTCCCTCATATCCACAATAGTACCGTATTTTTCGCCCTATAGGACGCACTTTTTCCCCTCCAAAAATGAAGGGGAAATGTGTGTGCATCCTATGGGGCGAATGCAGGCTTTTGCTGAAGCCTGGAGAGTGAGAGGGGTCGGTGCGCACTATCCACAAGCCTTGGGAGCCCGCGGGAGTTCCCACCAGGCTCCCTAGGCTTGTGGATAGCAGCCTGCACCCCGAAGCCTGGGGCGCACTGAGTAGTGCACCCCGGGCTTCGGGCAGATATCCACAAGCCTGGGGAGCCCGCGTGAGTTCCCGCTGGGCTCCCAAGGCTTGCGGATAGCAGCCTGTTCTGGGGGCTGGGGTCGGGGGAAGCTCGGGCTTCCCCCGCCCCAGCCCCGCGCCTGGGGGGGAAATAATTTTTTCCCCTTTATTCCCCCCCCCAAAAAAACCCTAGGTGCGCCCTATGGGCCGGTGCGCCCTATAGGGCGAAAAATATGGTAATCACCTACTGTCTTGAGAATTGTCCTTGTCACAAGGTCAGAGGAAATGGAGAGGTAGTGACAACATCTCTGGTTTTGGAGGCAGGAGCTCCAAAGGCAGGGAGAGAGAACACTCTTGGATACTACACTACAAATAAAAGTTGGTAAAGGAAATATGCTTAAGCTAAAATTATAGCTTCACTTAATGTATGCTTTGCTACTCACACCAATGACCTAACTGGAATTTAGGTGACTGATCCACAAGCCAGTTGAACCAGAGTACATGGATTACATCAATCCTCCAATGCAATCTAACTCCATTAAAAACATTTTAAAAATGATTGCGGTTTTACCATTGCCTCCAATGGTTGCTGCATTACTAACTTTTCCTTCCTTGGGACAAATAGAATCTTACATTTAAGTACAGTACTCTTGTTTAGCTGGGCTGAGGATTAATCTTCTAGAACTAAAGCAAGTGCTTTTGTTGTTGTTGTTTCAGAATTAAGGCACAAACTTTTGACAAATTTAATTCCCATATGGGAAAGTGGTAAATATGGTTTCAAACTGTCCTGTTAGAATGCAAATAAGTGCAAGAAAGCTTAAGGATCTGTTACTATGATAAAAAAACACCAGACAAAAGTAAGGAAAATGTAGCCAAGAGCTATTTTCACCTCACTAGCTGTGGAGCTAGCAGTTATTGATTTTCTCCTTCACCACCACTACACACACCCCTGCCTATCACATGCAATTCACGAGACTGGTGATAATATCCAAACTGGAATAACAGCTACGGTAAATACTAGTACATTTATTCACAGACTATTATTCGGTGATAATGATTACAGCTGCAAAGCAGCAACTGTATAAATTAAAGCAAATGCATTAAAAATATAAGCTCTTCATCATGAGCAGCAAATTGAAAGCATTTCTGAAGATAAAAATTGAGATTTCATCTGAAAAACAAATACATTCTACCCGGCCAGAGATTGTTCCTAGAAGGCACAGAGTATCTTTTTGGCTTTTTAAAACTAAAACCAGAGTCAGGAATCTGGGCTGTGGTCCAGAAGCTATTTACATGAGAGTATCTTTTCTGACTTCAAATTGATTTCAATATTATAGCAATAGGCTCCACCCTTTGATGCCTCACAGATCTACAAAAACTGAACTAGTGAATATCTGATATTCTACTACATTTCTATTGCTGAAACTAAGCAAGATTACCTGGGTGTCATGTGTGCAAACCTACATATGGATGTCACACATCTAATAAATAAAAATAAATAAATAAACAATAAATAAAAACAAATAAATAAATTGTTTCTAACTAGACAAATTTTGATGGTCTATTATTGCAAGAAAAACCGCTAAAGGTTTAAAAAGAGATATAAGTATGAGTGAATTGAAGAGATGTGCTAACTGAGGCTTTAGTTTTGTTTTTGTTAAGTAAATTTTAATGTTCTCCATTCCTGGAGTTGATTTACATAACATTAATTCTGTTGTAAGCAGTTATGAGCCATTAGAAAAAGTCAAGATACTTATACTTCTAAATGAGTAAGTAAAAGCTACTATCACCTTTTTTATGTTTAGAATATTTCTACACTACCCCTCAATTAAATTTTTGGAGCATCTTATGGTAAAAAGTTTCTAAAACTCAATGGAGAACAAAGGTCAGAACGTCAATAAATTCAGCAAAACAGATGAAACTACATGTAGAACCAATTTACATTATATGTAGGAATACCATGAAACAATTGTGCTCACTCAATGTCAGAATGACAATAGTTGGCACCATGCAAAATTTGATAATGAGGTACTCCATAAACTATATCTCAAATATATCCCCATAAAAACTTGAAGGGCCAATCACTATACCCACACTGAAATTCTATGCACAGAAAGCTGTAACATGACTGCATTGCTGGGGGAGTGAGACCTTGTCCACATTTAAGACCTGTGCTCAGAGTCTGCACTGGTGGCCTGTCTGCTGCCGGGCCAAGTTCAAGGTGTTACTATGAATATATAAAGCCCTTAACAACTTGGGACCAGTTAGAATCATAGAATCATAGAATCATAGAATCACAGAGTTGGAAGAGACCACAAGGGCCATCGAGTCCAACCCCCTGCCAAGCATCGAGTCCAACCCCCTGCCAAGTTAACCTAGGAGATTGCTGTATCCCTTATGTGCCCACTTGACCAGCAGAATTGGCACTTTTACCAATGCCATATAACCCACACCACTTCTGCAAGAACTTGATCATTTAGTGTGGCAGCACCAACACAAGAAGTAAAAATTAAAAACGGCTCAGGAATGTAGAAAATAGTCATCTTAAAAAGCAGAAAAGTATCCCATAGTTAACAGCTGCACTGCAGACATTTCTGCATGTTTGAAACTCCCTGCTTACTGATATCAGGCAGGCACTTTCTGTGTATTCCTTTCAGTGCCTGCTGAACACATTCTTATTTAGATAAGCCTACCCAGATGTTTAGAAAGTTTGTAGGAGTTTTGATTTGTTTAGTCTAGTTTACTGCAGCTTTAACCTTCTGTGTGTTTCAAATTACAGACAATATTTTTTAAGTAATAATTTTATTGGGATTGTGTGGGGGTTTTTTGTAAACCACTTTGAAATATTTTCTACAATCAAGTGGTGCATAAGTTTTCTTAAATAAATAATTATTTGAGTGTGGCTTCCACATGATAAAAGTGAGGCTCCATACAGGACAAATACACCAAGAAGACCTCTTCCCTTTGCAGGAGTAGTGAACAAATTAGAATGGTCCATCTTGGAAACAGAGTGAGCCACATTTCCTGACAGATTAGGTTGGGACCTAATTAGGAAGGGCTGATGCTCATGTCAAAGTCATAGCAGCTTTGTATGCTGCAGAAATGACTTGGGCTTCAAACATCACTCCCAAATGCCCATGCCTATTAAACAGGGCACATTTAGCTCTCTGTTATACTAGTGAACTGGGGAAAATGAAGCAGACCAAACACTGGTTTGAACACAAGTTATGGGAATTTTGGGTCAATTCAACTGATTCCAATGAACAACTAATATTAAGAGCTACTCTGTACCAGTGATAGGAGTGAAGAATGAATACTTCACAACCAATGAATCCCACATCCAGTAACACTTTGAATGGTTTGGGGCAGGTATGGTGAACATGTGGTTCTCCAGATGTTGCCTAATGCCAATGGGAGTTGTAGTTCAGCAACACCTGGAGGGCCAAAGGTTTCTCACACCTGGTTTGGGGTCTTCTTCAGCTAGGCCTACAAGTTTACTTTTAAAAAGCCTCGGTAGTCTCCTGTGATTTATTTGCTAAGCACTTTAAGAATAAAATTGCTTGCACCTGTTTTGACCTAGACACCACTACTATTGCTGCAATCAGTGAATGTGTCTGAAGAAATAACTGGTAATAGTTTATCAGACAAATGCCAGTTGTTGAAGGTCAACATACTTGCAAGGATGTGGCTTACTACACATTGCTGGACGCCTGATACTCATGGCTTCTAATGTCCAATAAGAGATGGTTGACCAGCTGGCTAGAGGTGGGCATTAGTGTCTCATTCTGATAGGTAGTGGTTGTGGGTGTCCTGAAGGAGAATATTGTGAAACCACTCCAAAATAAACCCTCTTTAGACCTACAAGTGTTGTTTGCTTCACCCTGTTGTACTAAATCAAAGAGTATGACTATGATGGATTTTCCTCCAAGCATTTTTGAAGCCGTATGAGTGTATATGAAGCAGCTAAGAGTATGTGGTTTGTACCAAGTAATAAATAATAACTAGGAGATGGGTTAGATGGATACTTGTGTCTTTATTCCACTTGCCGTTTTACTCACCCTTAGCAAAGGGAACAACATTTTAAAGGCATGGTACACTACTAATACGCACACCAAGACCTCATAAAAGGCCCTATACCGTTTCTGAGTAAATCATAAATCCTAAGGAGGATTAAGAATCAACACTGTACAAGCCTTCTGCATGATAGAAATGAAAGGATATTACAACAGACCCTACAATCCATGCTGCAAGAGAAACTAGAAAAAATATAGGAAAACTGAATCGGTCAATTGTCTTGTGCAGGCATCTTAATTTTTGAAACCAAAGAACATGCAGCATTTTAAATTTTGCTTTGTCCCTCTGATATTCTTTCGGTAAATGACCTTGACTAACTCACATAAGTATTACTACTTTACTCTGTTAGTACAATAATGTGAAGCAGCATTTATGAGTACATAAAAAGCTTGTATGGGTAATCAAAAACAAGCATAAAGTCATGTCTCCTTTTCACATTTTCCTTTAAGCTTAGAGCCATCAAAAAGTTCTGACATTCACAGGGATTACACACTTCTAGTGTGAGAATCATTTCTATATATTTATTAATAGAAATGTCACAGCAAGAAGTCAACTGGAAAGCTTTGGTTATTTCCAATTCAGTCTTATATCCACATATCCAGTCTACATGTGGAACCCTAGTGGAGGCACCAAGCCAAAGAAAATAGCTTCAACCTTTGCTAAGCATTCACTCTGAGGCAATCAGCTACCAACTTCGTGTGCCTAGATAATCCTTTTTAAAACCACAGTCCTTTTCACCCTTACACAGAAGCCAGCTCCATTCAACTTAGCGGCGCTTACTTCCAAGCAGCTACACACAGCAACTTTTCCAGCTGCACTGCACCGAAGGCAACTTACCGCAAAGCCTGTATGAAAGCAGTGTGTCATTCTGTGCGAGAAGGAGGTTTGTGTGTGTGTGTGTGTGTGGCGAGGAAACAACCGTACGTCACATAACACAAGACCACCTTCTACACAACAGTAGCTTTTGAACGGCTAGAAGCGCTAGCGGGCGAGATAACACAACTTCGCAAACGAAAGACGACCAACGCCACTAAGATTCATTTGAATGCCTAACCATATTTTGCTAGCAGGCAAGATAAACAAGAAAAGGAGAAAGTAGCGCCCACCAGGCCACGGAGAGCCTCCCTTCGTGAACCTGAAGGGGATTTGAAGCCTTTCAAGACCCCCATCTATCGCCCGTCCACAACCCCGGCGCTTCCCACAGTCGGTCATTCAGAGGCAGGTGCGAGGGAGCAGCGCCCGGGTGGCACATCCCCGCGCGGACACCAAGGGACGGTCCCGCCTCGCGAAGAACCAGGCGCCCCCCCCCCCGCCGCGCGCGCTCTCATTCCATTTCTATTTCGCTTTCAGGCCGCGCGAGCTGCTGCCCCGCTCCCAGAGCTCGCGCTCGTCCTCGCGGCTGACAGGTAGCAGCAACCCGGGAGCTTCTTCGGCTGCACGCGACTCCCCGGCAGGACGCCGCTCCCCGCGGCTGGTCTCCAGCGGCGGCGCCTCCCCTCCCCCCCCCGCCTCTTTCCCCGCAGCGCGACCCCCGACCCTCGCCCGCAGTAGCAGCAGCCCCTCGCACACTTACGCCTGTCTCCGAGCGATAAGGCGGTGCATGGGAGTCGCCATCTTAGCCACCGGCCGGGCACTAGCGCACGCTGCATGCCGGGAACGCCGCCCTCCCTTTATCCGCCCTATTGGACGAGCCGGGCTCAGGCAGCCCGTCGAGCGAACGCCGGGAGGGTGGGGGGAGGAGGGCGGTACCATTAGGGGCGGGGGGGGCGAAGACGGTCTCACTCCTCCTCCTCCTCCCCCCCGCCGCGTCTTCAGCTCTTCGCTGTACGGAGCCGGACCTGCTTTACAGTCCTTTTCTTCCAGCTTCCCTTCTCAATCTCGAAATGACGGCTGCAAGTTATGTTCTTGGCGCTTTAGAAAGCTCTGCGGTTTCTAAAAGACATGGGATTGGGCCGCTTTCGTTCTCCCTTGCGTTAAGAGAAGAACTCCCTGCAAGTGGAAATCTAGCACAGCAGGGAAGACCCGAAGTAGTTTGCTTTCTTGCAAGCGATGTTGTTGTGTGGTATCATAAATGGTGCGGCCCACCTGCAGACTTGAGTTGGACAGTCCGCTTTACAACCGCTGAATGACAACAACGGAGTGTGCTGTTTCAGACTGCAGGTGGTGTTCCATATAATGTCTGATCACTCCACGTTTAAACAAATTGCAAGAAGAAAACTACTTCATCAAAGAGAAACATTTGCCATACCCCTTTCCCTGCTGTCTAGTTTTCTACTTACAGGGCACCCTCTTTTGTTTTAATGTCGGACAGCATCTGCAGTACTAAGTGATCCATTCCATTCAGTCACTTCAGAACTCTTTCCTCTAATTCCTGACCTCTGCTGCATGTGTGGATCCAACCTGTAATATGAGAAATCTATAAAAACCCAAGTGAAGCATCACTTTAATTGATAGCATGTTGCTCACAGTGTAAGATACATACCTTGGTACCTAATAAACACCATAGATAAGGTGTGTCCTGTTCAAGTGTTGGGCTAGGACTCGAGATTCCTGCTCAAATCCCCACTCTGCTATGAAGCTCACAGGGAGATCGGGTCCCACTATCTCAACTTGCCTCTGTTACAAGATGGTTGTGAGGATGAAATTGGAAGAGGGGAGGAATGAATAATGTATGATGTCCTGAGCTCCTTGGGGGAAAGGTGGACAAAAATAAAATATTTAACAAGTAGGTTTATGTGACATACATGCAAATACTGTAAACAGTGCCAAGCTATTTTGCACCCTTGGCACAGCTAAGGGCTTCCTCCACCCACTCCAAATTGCTAATATTAGTTTTCAAAAACAGATGTCTGGTATAAATGATCAAATTCTTCAAAATATAAAATAAAAATCAAATATTACCAGAAATTTGTAAGCTATACCAAAAACTAATCTGAATAAAACTGTGCCCCTCAAAGGTCAGTATTCTGCACCCCTCTGAAGTCTGTACCCTAGGCAGTCGGCCTAACGACAGCACCAGCCCTGACTGTAAGCCATACATTCTGGGCTTCATTTGTGTTCACACCCCCTACAGACTAAATCTCTGCTGCACAAGAAGTTAACTGAAAGTAAGGTAAAGGTAAAGGTAAAAGTAAAGGTACCCCTGCCCGTACGGGCCAGTCTTGCCAGACTCTAGGGTTGTGCGCGCATCTCACTCTATAGGCCGGGAGCCAGCACTGTCCGCAGACACTTCTGGGTCATGTGGCCAGCGTGACAAGCTGCATCTGGCGAGCCAGCGCAGCACACGGAACGCCGTTTACCTTCCCGCTGGTAAGCGGTCCCTATTTATCTACTTGCACCTGGGGGTGCTTTCGAACTGCTAGGTTGGCAGGCGCTGGGACCGAACAACGGGAGCGCACCCCGCCGCAGGGATTCGAACCGCCGACCATGCGATCGGCAAGTCCTAGGCGCTGAGGTTATACCCACAGCGCCACCCGCGTCCCTTCTAACTGAAAGTAGACTTCCATAAGATTGCACCTCTGTGCATTGCAACCTCTGCCGTCCTATCTTGCTACTACAGAATTATACAGCTTTCTTTTGCTCAAATATATTCGGCTCACTGACACACACACACACACACACACACACACACACACACGGCTTGCAATCCAGCTCACAGATTAGATACAATCACAGTTTACAAGTGTAATTGGCGTCATAGGACACAGAATATCCCTTCTTGCTGGTGTTAAACTTTAGCCACCAATTTAAGCTACTACGTATCTTCAAGTTGATATGGTACTGTGTTTATCTGTATCTATCAGACTTACATACTGTACTACCTTTTGTCCAAAATCTCAGGGGGGTTGCAAGTATAAAGACAAGTAAAAATCATACAAAATGTAAAAGTTAAACATGTCTGTTTATTCAATGGGTTAGCTTAAAAGGGTTGTACAAACAGATTTTCGGCTGGCCCTTAAAGTTATGCAGTGTTGGCACCAGTTTAACCTTCAGAGAGAGGCATTTCCATTACTGAAATGCTATTGGGATGACAGGCATAGGATCACCCTTTACTTAACTGTGTGTCTTTAAAAAAAAAACAATGAATGTTTGCACTATTACACAAGTTCGATGCTGCCTGTTTTAGATTCTGCCGGGAGGTTTTCAAACATCCATGCTGTATGGTTGCCACTTTTTATAAACAGAAGCTCTGTGTCTTTTTAAGATGCAGAAATCAATAAATGAATATTTCCCTCTGTATAGCAATGCAGTGATGGAGAGAAAGTTTCTTCTATTGACAGATGCCCATCATACTACTAATTGAAGGCACAGAGCCTTTGCTCAGAAAAAAATAAGGCTGGCAAGCTTATATCCCACGAGGGAGATGAAGGCAGGTCCCCCCAAATATCATAGGGTATGGCTGTGATCTTCTGCGCATGGATTTAACTTAGCAGTCCCATTTGTCTCAATTGCAAAAGAAAATGTGATAGCAATTCTCTGTGTGTAATGCAGCATGGGAAAAACCAGCAGAAAAGAAAAGTAATTACATTTGAAGTAATTACATCCAATTGATGAAACAGAAGAATAGTAGTTACCATGAATCAGATGACTTACTTGGGGAAAATTGTGAATAAAGTTCAAACTAGTATCTGAGTTTTGTCAGGCTTGATCTGATGTATCTTGAGACAACCCTGTACAAATAAAATGTTTCTTGTCCAGTCCTTCCACGACTATGAGTGACGTAAATGTTCAGATAATTCTGCAGCATCTTGAGTCATCCATATTCACATATCATAGCTTATTTAGATGACAGCTTGCCCACTAAGCTGCAAGTGAGAATAATCCTAGGTAACTATTGTAGGTAGGGCTGGGAGTGGGGAATGTTTTCAACACTGACCAAATGGTGAAATGCCTTCCTGTAGCTGTGCTGGCATCTTTGGGTGGGTGGGGAATGCTGCCAACTCACATGCAGGTGAAATTAGCTGGAAAATTGGTTTCTGGATACAGTAAAGCTGTGCTTCCTCCTTCCACTGCTGGAGGTGGTATACCTCTGAATATCAGTTGCTGGAAACCATAGGAGAGGCGAATGCTACAGGACTCAGGTCCTGCTATGGGCTTCCCATTGATTTCTGGCTGGGTACTGTACGAACAGAATGCTGGGCTAGAGGGACACACATCCTGATCTGGTCCTGGTCTGATCCACTGTTCTCAGGTTATGTGCTGTTACAGAGATAAGGCAAAAATGGGATTGATTTATTTTTTAAGTGCCAGGTTGATGTGAATGATTTTGGGGCTAGGGAGGGAGTGTCAATGTTGTTATTGGGAGTACAGTGGTACCTCGGGTTACATACGCTTCAGGTTACAGACTCCGCTAACCCAGAAATAGTACCTCGGGTTAAGAATTTTGCTTCAGGATGAGAACAGAAATCGTGCTCCGACGGCACGGCAGCAGCAGGAGGCCCCATTAGCTAAAGTGGTGCTTCAGGTTAAGAACAGTTTCAGGTTAAGAACGGACCTCCGGAACGAATTAAGTACTTAACCCAAGGTACCACTGTATTGTTTTGTTTATTGTTTGTAATTTTTTTATTACTGTTAAGCGGTTTGGTTTCCCCTCCCCCCATATGTTGTATGAAATATAAGATCCTCACCTCCCCCCCCATGGTTGGATATGTGTGTGTGTGTGTGTGTGTGTGTGTGTGTGTGTGTATTCAGTGTAAGTTGCTTGGAGACTCTTTGGGTGACAAGCATCTAATAAGTTTAATAAATAAATAAATATGTACTGAGCAGGGAATGTGTGCATTCAAATTATATCTGCTGTACATAAGAAGGTACATCTGTAGAGATCCCAAGTCTCCATTTCTTTCTTGTCCAGCAAAACTAATCCCTGTACTTCTCAGTGCTTGGGGAAGTGAGGCATGATTAACAATACAGTACTAAGTATATGTGTGTAATATTTGGGGAATTTTTGTTCCTGCTCATATAGTGCCATTTGGACAAAAAAAAGTTTGTTTCCAACAAGGTGTCCTCTGGTAGATTAAAGTTTAGGCATTAACAGCCTCACTATTGTATTGATGCTCTAGTTTTCCTTCTGTATGCACGTCACTGATAAGCCTGACCAATAGAAACTCTTGAGTCTCTTATGAGCATTCCACTTTTAACCATTCATTTCGGCCTACGGAATTATGCTGTGCAAATTAGCTTGACTAAAGTGATAATTGTCTATTCTATTACTGCTCATGACACAATGCCAGTCATGAGAAGTGCAAACTGAACAAGCCAGCGCCGATACATTTTGCTGCCTGAGGCAAAGGACAAGCTGGTGGCTCCCCACCATTCCCCACCACCAATCCATGTATGAAAACTGGGATTTTACATCAACTCTGGCAGTGGAATAAATGCCCTCTGCTACACCTGAGGGCAGCAGGCTAGCTTAGCCTTAGAGGATACAGGACAGGTGAGATGGCTCATACAGCTCTGTCTTCAAACACCTCACCACTACTCCCTGACACACACCCTCCTCATGTTTGCCTCTTGAGTTGGCTGCTTTCCAGTAGGGCAGGCCTGAAAGCTCACTTTGGACTCTGGTGGAGATAACCAAGGGAGGAGACAGAAGAGGGAATGGAGAGGCAAAAGTAACAGGAAAAGTATTGCATAAATATGGAGGAGTGAAGGTCAAAGGTAAGGACGAAATGGAAACTATGAAAAATAGCATGGTGCAAAGTCACTGAGAACTTTAAAGGTAAGGAATGAACGCATTTGTGCTGAATTCATAAATGGGCAAGGATTTAACAATATATGTAATGAGCCACATAAACAGATTTTTAAAAGCAACTACTCTGTATTTAAAAATACTGCCAGTCTTAATGTGCTACCACTAGATATTTCATACAAAGACATAACTGTAGTATGACAACCAGTTAGGATGTGTGCTGCAACAGCCTAACAAAAAAGCATTGACATAAGAAGCTGAGATGATTCCTCATGCTAATCTGAACAATCATTTCTATGATATGAAATTCTATGAACAGCACATATGACAATAGCTTACAACAAACATTTTGGGGAAACTTGCTTTCCAGTGCTATCAGAAACTGAAGCTGGGGCAGAATTTCGTAACCCACTTAAAAGCTGGGTAAGAGCTGATGTCACAAATGTTACACCTGCATAGACGGGTCTGCTCTGACTTCTTAGGCTTTCCAACATGGGCCAATTTCAGGACTCATTTTGTGCCATGAATCTAATGCATATTCTAATATGCTCAGAACTGAATCTATATTGCTTTTTCCTAAGAAATACTAAGTACCGTAATTGTTACTGATGTTCAAACATTGACTCAGTAAAACTATCACTTACCTGTTTCACATCAGGAATTTCTGAAGGCTTGCCATATATAATAAATGCTTTATTAATTTTTTTTAAGGAAAGAAAATACATCCCCTTGCCTCACCTGCCATTTAAACTAATCAAGATTTTGATTTGATATTCAGGCCTCTAAATTATCACTGTTAATTACTTCATGACTCATGACTGAATCCCAAAGCAACTCCCATTTCTGAACATTTTAATTGTAATGTTGAATAACTCTTTGTGTGCTTGCACTCTTAATGGTGCTGTTTGATAGTTCTGCTCCTTTTCAGTTTTACTGCTTGATTGTTCTACTCGTTGTCTATATGATACCATGCACTTATATTGTGATTACTCATATCTGCCTCTTGTTGTCCACCACTGCAACCTCTACTGCCAAATATCCAGTACAGTACTTCATTTAAGATGCTTCCTAGACTGAGCAACCTAAATCATGCTTACTGGTACTGCTACCTCTCAGCCTACTCCTATGGACCCCTGGGCCCATAGCTGTCAACTTTTCCCTTTTTTAAAGGGAAATTCCCTTATTCCGAATAGGATTCCTCGCAAGAAAAGGGAAAAGTTGACAGCTATGCCTGTGCCAATAAGCAAAAATCGGATGTAAGAATTGTAGCATTAATGCTACTTTTAAACCAATGTGCTGCAATGACAGAGCAGTGTCCTACAGTATTGGTAACCTCAGCTATTAGTATTTGTGGCGTAACAGAAGTAAGCTTGTTGTTACATGAAGATGGCATAGCCAGGGGGTGTGGCTGTCAGAAAAGTGGGACAGGATCAAGGACAACTCACACGTGACAGTAAAAGTCATTGAGACACAACAGAGGCAACACTTCAGAGGTCAACACCTAGAAATACCCCCCCTTCCAATAATCTAGCTGGTTGTGGGTAAAAGCCTCAACTGGCCCTGTTTTGCAAATGCCTTCAAAGCAGCAAAATCTATCTGACTTTTCCTTTTAAAGCCCGGAAGGGCTACTGGTTTACTAGCTAGTTGGGATATATATGTAATCACCAATGGATGGACATTCTGTTGGCATTATTTCAGGACAAAGGAGAACTTTAACAAGATACTGCAATATATTCTCATCCCCTCGCAGGAGTGTTGCTGTTCAGGGCCCCAGCCAGCCAGTCAGCCAGCCAGCCAGCCAGCCAAGCCCACTGACAGAAGCCATTCCATTTTACCTCCACCACCCAAGTCAGTAATTTTTATTCTCTAACCCAAACTCCACATTCTGTAGCTATTGAATATGGTCAGTCCCCAGCCCTCATTGGGTTGGTTTCTTTTTCTTTTCTTTTTGCAGGGTGTCCTCTTGGGGTTTGGTGTTTTGTTTTTGTTTTATATTTCTGAAACTACAGTGCTATTGTTATCCCCCCTCTTGTTTCTCAAGAGGCCAAGAGGCTGTGCTTGGCTCATTTTCTCACCACCTGAATATGCTAACAAGAGGGAGTGATAGAGGATTTGCAGAGGGAACAAATAGGGTATTTGTTCCCTCCTCAGAGCTGTTTGATCTTGCCTTCAGCTCATGCCTTCCCTGTCCTTTATCCCTCTGCTTCAGCCTACTTCCCTGGATTCCAATCTTACCTCAAGCCTAGCTAACCGTGATGATTACCTTTCCTCTCAAAACTAATGCGCACATTCGCATTAGCAATTCAAGCCCATCCCAATCTGGTTTTCATAGTCTGGCTATGGCACTGACTGTGTTTATGGCCCAGACTGATTATCTCCACCTAGAGTCTGATAAGAGGCACTGCACCCTCTTAATCCTCTTCCATCTTTACTGTGACCTTTGATACAGTTTACCATGAGATGTTGATGATGCGATGCTGTGATTTGGCAAGGAGGACCTATAGTTTGGTGATGGGTCATTGCTCATCAGGTGGTTCCCTGTGACATTCTCCAGAATGTCATTGTCTCTGCCCACTGCATGAGGCACGTGTCTCCTGGTACTTCATTATAGAGCAGGGAGGGAAAACTGGATCCTACCAGCAAGCCACATCTTTATCTACTCCACCCCATGTCCCACAGGCCAAGTTTGACAGGTGGGTGGGGCCCTCTACCTGTCAATCACCTGAAGTCGCAATGACTTGTTTTTGCTCACATGGTTTGAAATTGAATTGTATGGCTCAGGGCACAACGCTTTGCAAGCTTCAGTGATTACTTTGTATACTGAGCATGCAAGTGCGGAGTTTGCAGGCACTAAGGATCAGGTGATCTTGGGTGTTTGCAAAGCCTTGTGCACAGCACTTTTGCACGCCTCAACGATCAGCTGGTCATCAACACTTTCCAAACAAGGTGTGTGCAGCTTTGAGGGTGCCACTAATCAGCTGGTGGTTGGTGTCTGCAACCCCCCACCCTTTCGGCTCAGTTGTGGGGGGCAGGAGGGTGTAGCTTGGTCAAAACAGGCTCGCAGGCCAAATGAGGAGGAGTGGCAGGCCATTATGAGACCCACTGTTGTTCTAGGGCCAGCCTTGATAGTGATGACTTTCCTAACTTTGGGTGATTTAGCACTGATCAGTAAGAAACCCATATCAATGTGCTTGCTTATTTATGGAAGATAAAACAGTTTAAGCATAAAAAGCGGCTTTTGAGGTTTAGCATGCCCTTCCAAAAATATAGAGAGTAAAAAAGTTTAATAAGACCTTCTGCAGGCCACCCACTCACATTGCCCAGATCAGCATGTAGTTATAGGAAGGGAGAAGGCTGAAGATGGGGGGTGACCTTATCTGGAGATGTGGGGCAGAGCCTGAAGGATCCAGCTTAGCTGGTGGGGAGGAGAGTGAGAGAAAGAATCAGAAAGGGGAAGAGTTCACATTCAACCCACTGGCTTTCCTGCTTTCCTCATAACTGAAAGAGAGCAAGATTAGGGGACTAAGGAAGTTGGAAAGAAGTCATAGACCTATAGGGTGCTCTGTGGTCAGAATCAAGAATCAGAGCATTACAGCACAAGATAAGAAGGGGGCATTTTGTGACAAGTCTAGCTAAGAGAGGCCCACAAATATGTGCAGTTCCTCTGGTGATAATGGTGGGTAAAGCAGGGTTGGGGGAGGGGCAGAGAGGGTGTAATGAAGACTAGGAATCCACTAATGCAGCTGTCATTCCTAACAGTGGAAATCACTGCACCCCTGCCTTGCAAAAATATATAGTTGCAATGACACCGGCCAAGGGGTCTGGTAAAAATGCTTATTATAAATGGTGTGTGTGAACATTGCTGATAAACGATAATGCCTTTAATTTTCTTTTTCTTCTAGACACCATACATGTGACACGAGAAAGCTGATAAAAAGCATAGGAGTGCTGACCCCTAAGGCAGCATAGATTTTGACTGTATGTAGGCTGCTTTGGGAGCCTTTTTAGTTGAAGAGTGGGGGGACAGGTACTCTAAATATTTGTTTTGTTTGTTTGGAAGCTATATCACACCTTTCTGCTATATTGTGTCACAAACACCCTGCACCTAATAGCCAGTTGGCACCTAACGCAGAAAGTCCTTAGTGCGGCATGCCCAAGTATGCGGTGTTATGTATGTATGTTCATATGGACTTGGGCTGCTGTCGCTAGCATGAAGGCCTGGGAACCAGAAGCCAAGATCACACTGGAGCATATATTCCAGCTGTGACCATCCCACAGGACCACCCTTGGGGGGGGGGGATAGGTGCTGTTGCCCTCTGCAATGTGTGCTCATCATCTCTGCCATTCATTTAAAGCTGTGGGTGTTTGACCTGTGCATCTCTTTTCATGACGGTTAGCAGAGAGGAAGCCTCTCCCACAATACTCACTACAGTTATTTCCAGGGTGGCCTGGGTTTTACGCTGCCCCATCCACCAAGGCTGAGAGACGTCATCCATGGGGGGGGGCCACCAGGTGGCGCATTGGAAGATGGCCGACAATAACATCTCTCCGACCCACACGAGGTAATAAAGAGGCTGCTATGGGAAGTATGCAGTCTTCCTACCCCCCCAAGGAGATGGGAGGGACAGCCTTGCCAGCGACGTCCATAATGCACCCCCGGATTCGAAAGAAGGGGGTGCAGGACATTTGGCATCAGCCCTCGATGGGTTCGGCGCTTCCTGACGCTGTCTCCAATCAGTGACCTGGTTCGCTTCAGCTCGAAAATATAATTGGAAATATATAATTGGAATGAAGCTGAAGCTGAACATCAAGCAAAGTTCGAGAGATAAGGCTGGAGATTAATGCATCTCTGTGTTTGGAGTGACAGGAGGAGACAAATAAATCAAGCGATGTCCACCATTACGAGACTGGTATGTGCAGAGTGAAAAAAGAGGGGGGGTGGAGGAAAAAACTTTTATTTTCTTTGCCTCATGTGAGTATTTATAAACCTCCACCCCAGAGGGACTAATCGTCGCCTTTTACTAATCGCAAGCAAGAATTTAAGAGCTGTGTGGAGTGAATTATTGATTGAAGAGAGGACTGGTAAATATGGAGTGTGGAGGAAAAATTCTATGACGCAGTTTTTAATGGCGTCTTGCTAAGACAGGCTTGTTGAAGAAAGACGAGGGGAGGAGGACCAGGGTCATTGGAATGTAAATGATGGATTGAATGTGATAACCTGGCAGAGCCCCTTTGTGATATACGTGGCAAGCTTGGGAAAATTAGTAGGACAGACCGAGGATAAATTTTTGAAGAAGGGGAGGAATGGCGGCTGTCCTTATGAGATATGACTTTTGGAGTGTGCAAAACCCACACAGATGTTGTTTGTTCCTAACCTGCTTGTGAAGACTATCAGAGATTGCAAAGAAAGGAATACCTGATAACAACAAGAAGATGAAGAAGTAATAAAGAGACTATCTGGACAGATCTGGATAGAACCGTTTGATAAAAGCAGTAACAGAAGTGATGTTTTGATTCTCGTTCGGAGCTTGATGTAAGTGTACCCCCAACAAAATTTAAAAATCTGGCTGTATAATTTGGAAGTAATATGATTTGGAAATAATGTGATTGGACTGGCCTGTTAATAAAAATTATGTTTTTTTAAAAAGAGAGACGTCATCCATCTCATGGCCTTGCCACTGGAGGTCCTTGCAGCTTATAGACCTGCTAGTTCTTCCTCTCTCTCATTATTGCCAGCAGGACAACAAACTCACACACTGGGATGCCATAGGGTGAAGGGAGAGGGAGAGAAACTACTCTCTAGCCACTTTCTCCACACTATTCTACCCAGCAGTGGGTTGAGCCAGTTAAAGTCCAGAAGGTCAGTTTCATGGAAGCCGACAGAGAAAATAAAAACATCTATGGTTGGCAACCATGATGTGAACATGAAGGAGGAGCTTGTTTTGCAAGCTTCCCTGCCCTCTCAGTCTATGTCTTTATTGCCCCCTCGTGGTGAGAGCTGGTGCTCAGCAGAAGAGAATGAACTAATTCAAGCTTTTAGTGGTTCAAGTAAAATAGTTCCCGGCCCCCCACTGAATTGTGTCAGAAGCAACCCTCACACACCACAACCAGTGTTTTGATGCCCCCCCCCAGCATAGCTGTGAATGGAGGTGCCTAACCCTGAAGTTAAATGAAGGAAATGTGAAAGTAGAGTGTGCGCTATACAGTCTCCTCCTCCTCCTCCTCCTCCTTCTCCTCCTCCTCCTCCTCCTCCTCCTCCTCCTCCTTCTTCTTCTTCTTCCCTTCATCCGAAGATCACAGGACAGTTCACAACAGAAAATACAAAATAAGAAAACAAAATACATAGTAAAATAAAAACAAGAACAAACCAATAACCCCCCTGGCAAAGGAACATTTAAAAGGCCACACATAGATTTGTTTAAGCAGCCAAAAAACCCATCAGGATGGTGGATTGAATCCTGATACTGTACTTTCAGAGAAGACGCGCAGGAAAGCCTTGCAGCTAGGGGGATGTGTTCTTTGGGGAAGAGGGTGGTTAAAAGGCATTGGGAACCGGAATGATTGACTGGGGTGGGTGACAGTTTCATGTTTCTGCATGCCAACCACTCCTCTTTCATGACGTTTTGATGGTGATGTGAGTGGTGTCTTATGGGAAATCTGGGAAAATTTCAAAAGTCTGCGCAGCCCCATGCTCTTGGTTCTTTCTCTTTTTGCACTTGAACCTTTGTTGCAACAAATAATGACCAGATCTACTGACCGGTGATTAGCTTCTGTAACTTGGCTGGAGACTCCTTTTTTGCTGACTGGAGGGACCCACGGGGAGTGGCACCCCGACGAGCTGGGTTGCGGAATAAGTCCTGTACCCCCATTATAGAGAAACCTTTTCACCTTGCGCCTAAAGATATGTAATGAAAGCACCAGGAGGCCTATTTGGGGAGTGCATTCCACAAATAAGGACCTACTACAGAAAAGGCCCATTCTCATACAGTATTGTTACCTTCTGGACTTCTTGTGGAGAAGGCAACCAAAAAAGGGCCTCAGATGATGATTGCAGGGTCTAGATTGGTTCATATGAGGAGAGGCAACCCTTGAGGTATTGTGGTCCTGGGCCGTTTAAGGGGTGATGAATATTTTTTTCAGACAAAGCACTATATTGCCTCATGGGGAACCTTCCATGGGTCCCTCTCATGACCTCGTGGTTACTAGATCCAAACATGGAACATAATATCTTTTGCTGGGTTGTACACCAAGCTGTATGAAAAATCCATACAGAACTCCCCTTTATTTTATATATGATTCTATAACATAATATAAGAAAGCGAGGGAGTTGGTAGAATATACAAAGGATTATCCAAGTGTAGCAAACATATTGATTAGGACAAAGCTGTTTCAGTACTCAAGGGTCAACAAATCGTCTGTTGGTTTTTGTTCTAATTATCATTTCTCAGGCCTTCTGTTTCATGCCCTGTGAACCTGATACTACTGATTCATTTTAATGTAATGTTCCCATGGAAACATGCTGTTGCCTTTCTGTTTCCTTAGTAAATGCTTGCATGGTGAGTGTCCCAAGCATTGGACTATAAAGATCTGCGGTATTTTTAGATGCTGAACTCGCATTTCAGTGAACATGGCGTATCTCTGTGTGGCAACAGTTCACAAACAACACTGCTAGAATGTGATGTTTGTGGGTGTAAGAAGGATATTACTGAGGTGAATAATAATAATAATAATAATAATAATAATAATAATAATAATTTTATTGTTTATACCCCATCCATCTGGCTGGGTTGCCCCAGCCACTCTGGGTGGATTTGCAGAAACATACACCTTTCAACAAATTATTGGAATGTATTTCATGTTTTATTTACATCTACAAGTGTTTCTCTTGTGCAATAAATCTCAATCTCTAGTGACTCTGAAGCCTGCCTCAATGTGTGAAGTGGGTAAGTAAACATTGGCGAAGGAGTAGTGAATCATTCAACTGTCTATGCTGTACTATTCCCAATCCAGTTGGTGTTGTTATAATCTGCCAACATGACTCCCAAGGATATTCCTTTTATAGCTCAGAGGCACCTCTGTCATTCCCTTTAACAGAAAACGCAGTCAATGCCCACTGGGCCCAACATCAGGACCCAGTATACCCAAGAAGCTATTGGGATACACCCGCCACAGCACCTTGATTCGATTCCCATAACTACCCCACCTCAGCATTGTGGTGTTTCACACCACTGCAACCACTGTGATCTAGGTGACTACGTGCATGGGTTCCTCCCTCCTCTTGAGTAAGGTAAAGGTAAAGGGACCGCTGACCATTAGGTCCAGTCGTGACCAACTCTGGGGTTGCGGCGCTCATCTCATTTTATTGGCCAAGGGAGCCGGCGTACAGCTTCCGGGTCATGTGGCCAGCATGACTAAGCCACTTCTGGCGAACCAGAGCAGCACACGGAAACGCCGTTTACCTTGCCACCGGAGCAGTACCTATTTATCTACTTGCACTTTGAGGTGCTTTCGAACTGCTAGGTGGGCAGGAGCAGGGACCGAGCAACAGGAGCTCACCCCGTCGCAGGGATTTGAACCGCCGACCTTCTGATTGGCAAGTCCTAGGCTCTGTGGTTTAACCCTCAGCGCCACCCACGTCCCTTCCTCTTGAGTAGTCTCATGTAAATGGAAGCATCCAGCAGCTAGCTGTGCACCTTGCTGGTGGCCCTGAAGATCCTGGATAACTTGTCATGTGCTCTACTCCCATGGCCCTGCTATTAACAAGCCCAGGCAATGTGTCGGTCCTCTGGTCAGAAGGCACTGCAGGAACAGTGGGCTCTTTAGGATTGCTGGTGATGCTGAGTTTCTCTGGGAGCCCTGTTCCTCCCAGAAGACCTCAGGCTCAGGATGGTAGATGCCAGCAGAAATGGAGTCCAATGGGACTTCTAAGAAATGAAAGGATAGCATGTTCACAGAAGTGTTTTGGTTTTTTTAGAAACCAATAACAACCAAGATTGGGCACCCCCCCCCCCAAAAAAAGCTGCCCAGTGAGGACTGATCATGTTCAGTGGTCACTGGGAGCTGCAGAATGTTGAGTGTCCGTTGGGGGCAGGGGAAACCGAAGGTGGGAGGGGGAGAGGGACTTGGCCTGTTTGCATGCCTTACAGATTATAGCTGCCGGGCAGCCTTGCAAGAATGTCACTGTCAAATGGCAGACCAAACTGATGGAATATGCAGAAGTGGCAAGACTGACGGGGAAGATCAGAAACCAGGAAGACCAAGTATTTTTAAAAGATTGGAATGACTTTTTAGTATATGTAAAAGACTACTACAGCCAGCTGAAATCATTGGCAGGAATACAGTGAAACTTGGAAAGTGAAATGAACTTTGGTTACTATGATTGCATAATAAATATAAAACGGTAAAAAGATTCAGGGGGAAAGGAACAAATCTTTAGAAATGGAACCCATGGAGGGAGGGGAAGAGGTCTGAAGGATCAAAGGAACCTTTTTATTTTTATGTTTTGGAATGGATATGGTCAGTGGGTTTTTTCTTAAAAAAATGTTTATGGGTACTCTCATTTTGACTCAAGAAAATCACCATTTTATAGTTGAAATCAGAAAAAATAAATACAGTAAATGGGCAAAAGTACAAAGATTCACAAAATGTTTAGGGGTCTGCGTACCCCCCAGAAAAAACAACAACCACTGGATATGGTTATTGTGTATAACTTTATGTAAAAATAATTTTATTTTATTTTAAAAAAGAGAATTCTAGTCAGCCTTATGGTATTGTGAGTCATACCAGTCGGGTATGGTTTAGTAATTCCGCTCATGTTCAATAAAAAGTGACGTACAAGGGGGAAAAAGAAGAAGAAAAAGAATGTCACTGTCAAAACCACACCCACCAAAACCTGAGGGATAAAAGTGCAAAAAAGAACACACAACTTCACAATCAGATTCTTTTCTGGTGCTGTTTCAGATCTTTCATAAAAGTTGAACTATCTGTGTTAGGAGAAAATAAGTGACTGGAAGGAGAGGTCGGCATGGGGTACTTTCAAAAAGATAATGATATTGTGTGGAGCCCTGTGAAAACCCCCATAATGAACCATAAAGAAGTCACTCTGCTTGGAAGCACCCTTGGATTATTGACAATAAAATAGGAAGCCACTGAACTTATAACCAGGCCTTTAAAACAGAGAAGTTTTATGGACCATATAAATAATCAAAATACAAATTTCCTTCAAATATTTGGAAACTTGTTCTGGTGGAAAGTGGCTTATATACAACTTTTAATTCCACAGACAGTTGGGATGTTCTGAGAACTGTGTAACATTATCTGTCTGCCGACGATTTGAATGTGGCCTCTGAGAAACATGATATTCCTGAGTGCAGGAGACTACAAACGCCGCTTGTGCATGCACACCCGAGAATAGCACTATGAGCAATATGTTACATGACATGCTAGGGCTGCGTGCAATGACATCAGGATTGATTGACACAAATAGTAGCTATGGTTTATATTCAGGTCACATCTATTTTAACACTCAGGCATCTATCAGTGGTTTTCAGGCCATGTCACAACATACAAGGCCAGGACATCTGGACATAAGCCAGGATATAAAGGCAGGCAGGTGTGAAGTGTATTCCTGCACTATTTTACTTGTTCACAAGGTAAGTAAAGGGAACAGGATAAGGAATTATTAATACCCTTATGCTGTAATTCTAGAAATGGGAATGTGCCATTTAGCTCAATGTGACTCACCTCCAAGCCGATATGTCTAGGATCACACAGTTAATCAGATATAGTACTTTGTTTTGTATCCCATTCAGTCCTACTCAGAGTAGACACACGGAAATGAATAGACCAACATTACTTATATCCATGATTTCCATTGGCTACAACAATAATTCTGGAAACTCTTTCTGATAATGAAATATACCGTAATTGAACAGAAAGGATAACTTATTAATGAGAGCGGGATACACGCTGGGAAAGAAAGGGGTCTTTCTCTGTTTTATAAATTTATATCCCAGTCATATAGAAGGCAGAGTTTTCACAATAGAGCCTGGGAACCTCTCTGATGCAACATAGATAGATATAGATAGTTGGGCATCTGATGAGGCCCATGGCTGACACCCAGAGCCACCTTCTCCTTGCTGTTTCTGCCTATTCACTGTTGTCTCCAAGGCTTTAGTGGGGCTGAGCCAAGCAGTGATATCAACAAGTAGGACTAGCACCCTCATGTGCCCTGCCCTCTCCTTCTGGGCAGTGGTATGGATTGGGCCCAGAGGGAGACACTCATGCCAATGGCAAGAAGGGGGGACAGACTCTGGGATGAGGCCAGCTGAGGACGTTTTGCCCAAGGCTGCCATCTCAAAACTGTGGAGCTGCTACTGGCGGTGCAAAGGATGGCACTCATGTTATGCTGGCATTAGCCCTGACATAACAGCCACTGGGATGGTTGGATCATAACAGGATTAGCCTGCTATAGCCATGTTCTTCTGATAGAGAGTTTCCTTGCCATATATAACTATCAATATATATTTTTTTCTAGTAGGGAGAGCTTCACTGAGGTGTCAAGTGACATGCAAAACAGGTGTGAGGAGACAGTTGTAGGCTATTATATCAGCATGAAAGATCTTGTGATGCATGTGGGCCGCTGTATCCCATCCCGATCATGTTCTGGCAAGGGGTCTCTTCAAAAGGAAAGTGAAAAAAGACAGAAATACACATGACGTCAATGTTAGCTTTCACAGTGACTTTGGTTTATTCTGTCCTGTAAACTACAGACTTTCCCATTATCATCATTACATTTATACTCCACCTTTCCTCCCAGGAGCTCAGGGTGCAGCACATAGTTCACTCCCTTCTCCGTTTTATCCTCGCAACAACCTTGTGAGGTAGGTTAGGCTGAGAGAGTGTGACTGCCCCAAGGTCACCTAGTGTCACGAGAACAATTCTGTTCCTTTAATACTCAATCAACTGCTGAAGATATTTAGCATTTAAGTCATATGACCTCAGTAATGATACTTATCCTTTTTATTTCACTTACCCTAAGTGCTCACATGCAACCTCTACAGCAGCTTTATGAGGTAGGTTTGGTTCATTTTGCCAATATAACAGGAGGCGAGAATGAGGAAGATAACACTTGTCTAAGTGCCTAGAAAGCATGAGTCTGACCAGATTTCCATTTGTCTTAATGCTTTCCCTGGAAAACCCACTGGTTACCACTGAATCAGAGCTAATGTCAATCCTGATTTATATTTGCTCTGATTCAGCGGTAAACAGCAGGTTTTCCCTGGGGGAAAGTGGCAGGACAAGCCGATGTGTGGACGAGCCCTAAGGCTACCTATGACATTAAATCAGGGGTTTTCAGCTCACCATTGTGCTTTTACCCAATTACCAAGCATTGCATTAGAATTTGGTCTCAGGGCCTTTACGGACTGCTTTATTGCAAGTGTCTTTAACCCCATAGCACAGCATTAATGATAGATTTATTTTGCTTTCTTTTTTGTTCTGTGATGCTTCTCCACTGCTTACCACACCATTGCTATCTGGAGGGGTTATAACCAGTGCTTTTTTTTTTCCTAGGAGAAACAGTGCTGGTGCTCAACAGGTTCATGGTGATTTGCCTTCCACCACCACCATCCCTTTTCACAGGGGTGCATCACGGAGCCCCTCAAAATGTCTGCCACCTGATGAGCAAGACAGTCAGACACCTGTCCTGTCCCTTCCCCTCATAGTGGCTAAGCCACACTGTACCTGCACTGCCGCCCAGCCATGCATGTGCACGCTCACAAGATTGTTTTTTGGGGGAAGGTGCCAGTACTGTGTCCCACTGAGTAACCACCAGAAAAAAGCACTATAACACAACAAAAGCAGCAACCCCTTCTACACACAAAAACACCAGAAGATTTGTGGCATGAAAAGTTATATGATTTCAGCAGGAAGTTACAAGCTATTCACTGATGGGAAATGAAGCAGTATTACTGCTGCAAAGCCTCTGCAGACACAAACGGTATTGAAATCAGGATTGTGTATGACTACTCCAATAGCATAATGAGAACAAATTGTTGTGAATGAACAATAAAAAAGACATTGAGGGGCACTCAAGCTCTTCTGACTGCAACCCCTCCACCTGGCTGCTGATAAAGAGTTAGGGCTGGGGTTCACTCGATTGGCACAACTCAGAGACCAGCTTCCACTCAACTCTTATCCTCCATGAACTATTTCCATTCAAGCTGGTCATTATAATAACTATGTAACTTTAAGAATTAATACTGACTCAGTTTGCATAACTTTTCTCTTCAAACCTCATTCCTTTTCCCTTTTGTATCACTCTTACAAGACTGTAAGTCTGAAGAGAGGGGTTGCCTTGGTTTTTTAATCACAGTACAGCACTTAGTAAATTTTAGTCACTTCATAAACGAGATACCATAATATTCATAATATTTACTTACTGCAGAAATCCTGATCCTCCCCACCTCCCTACGCAGGGTCATGAGAATGTACCAAATCCACTTTATTTATGCAGCCTGAATTTGGTGGAATGCAAAATACTGACAGTCTGGCAGCTGCCTATGACACTCAGGGACAAAATATTTTGGTTTTAAGCCCTGTAAAAATGTGGCTTTCTCACAACAAAGGCATGACTAAAATATCTTTGAATCCCATGCTGCAGTTGAGGAATTATTCTCTCCCCCCTTCCAGTTTCAGTGGAAAGCAGACCAAATTCTATTTGTCTAAAGCCTAATGGATAAAGCAAAGTGAATGTCAAAAGTTAAGCCCACAGCAGGTCCTGAAGTTTTGATCTAATAGATGTCAGGCAAAGATTCAGCTGGCGCACCGCTACCCACACCTGGCCGAGGGGAAGAACTACAGGGAAGTAAATTAGCCCACCCAGACCCAGTGATTTGTCAGTTTTTTTGTTTATCAACAAGGCCTAGCACTTTATTTCTTGCCATTACTATTTGCCTCTGCTCCTCTGCTCTTGTTCTCAAGAAAGCAAGTTCAGGCATAAGGCTCTGACCTACATCTTCTGACCCACAGATGCGAATAATTCATTCATCTTCTCTGTAATCTCATTTTCACCCTTGACCATATCTTTGACTTCCTTCTTATCTAAAGGTCCAATCTCCTACCTAGTCTTACTAGTAATGTAATTTTTTAAAAAAAACATGTTGCTGCTCTTTTTGTTTTTAGCGATGTGCACCAGTTTCTGCTTGCATTTCTTTTGCTGAAGTGTGTTCTTTTTTCCCATTTGGACTTCGGTGTCCTATATCACCACCCACAGCAATTCTGTGGAGCAGTGTGGCCCTATTGGGATTTCTGGTTTCTTGGACTCTTATGCCCTTTTTGCACCACCACCTTCAGAATGCCCTTCCTATGTCCCACTGCTTCTTTCCATTTTACTACGCTTCCTACAGTATATTTATGCTCCCCTCTAACACCCAACACTCCAGCTTGCCCACCTGGGCTTGGAGACTGCTGGCATTAGCATATAAACATAGGTTATCTCTCCAAATGTCTTCCACACGTTTTACCTTACGGTGCTTTGGGTATCATACGAAGATGAAACCTCCTCCATGTGACACCTGCCATGCTTCTCCAGGTTAAGATTATCTTGGTCCTAGTGTATATGGGCTAGATCATAACAGCTAGATCATAATACATCCTTCTCCTGCTGCTGAATTGTTGGATAACTGCTCCGTGTAGTGTGGGTTCTGCTCCCTTTGACACATTAATGTTGCTAGGCAGACATCTAAACGATGACTGCCTTTTATTCAGACCCAGGGACCTGCTCACACCATGAAATCATAATCTGTAGCCCTTCCTGCTTGTTAGTGGTAAAGTGGGTGACAACCAGAGAAGGATGTTTTCAGCTGCGTTTCCTTCCATGGGATGCCTTTTCCAGAGACTTGTCTGGCACCTTCTTTGCTTTCTTTTAGGTACAGCACAAAACCTAGTTTACCCTCCCAGGCTTTCAAGATATTTTAGGCATTTTAAAATATTGCTGATCGTGTGGCTTTATCTGCTGGCTGTTTTTATTGGGTGGTTGTTTCTTAAATGAATTTCCATGGTAGGGTTCAGATCTGAATCATTTGCCATACAAGTGCTCTCCTTAGTGTGTTACTAGCAAGCTGGAAACTGCACCTTAAACATGCAACAGTTGCTTCATTTAAGCTCCCGGACAAAAGACTCCATCTTTTTGAATGAATATTGTTCCTCCAACAACAACTGCCAACACTTGCTACATGTTATATAGGTTGGGGAGGGAACCTCCCTAAGCCATAGAAATTAATACAACCATACCTTGGAAGTCGAACGGAATCCGTTCCGGAAGTCCATTTGACTTCCAAAACCAAAGCACGGCTTATGATTGGCTGCAGGAAGCTCCTGCAGCCTATCGGAAGCCATGGAAGCCATGCCAGATATTCGGCTTCCAAATATTGTTCAAAAATCAGAATACTCACTTCCGGGTTTCAATCATTCGGAAACCAGTTGGTTTGGGAGCCAAGCCGTTTGAGATCCAAGGTACGACTGTACATGGTAGGATTCTGACTAATTGGGACATGAAGAGAGAAATACAAGCTGGAGAGGAATTCCTGCTCTAGCCTATGCCAAACAACCTGGCAAAGCAAGGGCCATTAAGAAACAATAGAGGGTCATTGAGGGCCATTGGTACTGCAAGAAAACTGTCCTTCCCTGCTGCCCTGAGGTGTGAAGAGAGACAGGAGATTTGGAAGGTTGCCAGCATAACTGGACATGATGTCAGTGGAAGAGTTTGGGGCCTTTATGTAAATATGGCCTGCAACCATATAGCAAAAAGGGGCCATGAGAATTCAATGGTGAGGAAAATAAAGTATTTGTACACTCAGATGGATTCTTCTTCCAGCGCCAAGGCTGGCACGGAAAACTCACTCTGGTGTGCATTTTATAAGTTTTGAGGCCAAGTCCTGGCCCAGATTCTACTCCTCCCCCCCAAATCAGTTTTGAAATGAGCACTTTGGAAAGTGCAGGTACTGGGGAGATTCTTGTGGAGAACTGCACTGCTGCAAGAGAAGCCCAGAGACAGATATGAAGGAATTCCAACACACTTGTGAGGCAAAGGCTAGTGGTGGGAAACATTTTTCAGCCTTGGGACCGCATTCCCTTCTGTTCAATCTTCTGAGCTCCGAATGCCAGTGGTGGGCGTGGCCAGGGCCAAAAGTGGGTGGAACAAGAAATGTTATACAATAGGCTAGTCTCCATACATCCCCCTTTCTAGCCTCCCTCCAGACAAACAAGAAACTTTCCAGCCAGGCCCAAAACACCTGGGAGTGCAAGGCAGGGTCAGTGAAGGGTGTGGCCTGGGTCAGATAAAGAGGCTGGAGGCCCTATTCCTCCTTCCCTTCCAACATCCTTCAGTAGACAAACTGTGAGTGTTTTAGGCTGAAGGGATGGCACCGCCTGGGAGAAGCACATTCGGAGTCTGGATGCTGGCAAGTTTGGAGGAAGGTGCGAACTATGCTCCAATCAACGACCAGTCAATTGATTGGTTGGTTGTAAGCTCTTCGGTTGCCCTGGGCAAGATAACACGACTAACAAATTACATAAATAAAATAAAATACCGACGAAGAAGCTGCCCTGTATTGAGTTAGATAGACCACTGGGTCCATCTAGTTCAGTCCTGTCTACACTGAACTCCTCTGGTTTCAAGCAGAGGCGACACCAGGGATCGAACTCTGCGCACATGAACCTATTGCATACAAACCCCAACCCCCCACCACTGAGCTACGGTGTCCCGGCGCGCCCCACCCCGCGCAGCCAGTGACGCTCGGAGCGTTCGCAAGAGCTGCTTGGGGGAGGGGGCTTTCGGAGTGTCCCACCCCCTCCCGCCTGCCTTACCCTGGCTCCCTCCCACCGCAGCCGCTAGGGGGGGGGGCGGAGCCACAGAGCTTATAGACAACGTGCGTGCGTGCGTTGCGTGTGAGAGCAGGACTGCGCGCGCACCGCGGGAACCCGCAGAAATGGGAATCTCGCGAGACGCTTTCCCGCCTCCCCTTCCTCTGGACGGGACAGGATCTTTCGAGATCTCTCTCTCTCTTTCTCTCCCCGGCTGCCTCTTGTAGCGCCCGCCCTCCCTTCCTCCTCCTCGCGAGGAGGCAGCCACAGCCGCGCGCGCCGCTGCCGCCGCCACTCATTTAAAACTGCCCCAGCGGCCGCTCTGTGAAGCGAACCGAGAGGCTGAGGAGGAAGCCTGCCCCTGTCCCTGGCCTGCCTAGCCGGCCCTCGCGGCGAGCTTCCTCCCTTCCCTCGGGGGCCCCTCAGGCCGCCTCGCTGCGTCTCCGCCTTCGCCCCCTTTCGCCGCCGCCTTCGCCCCCCTCAGGCTCAGCATGTCGGTGGTGGGCATCGACCTGGGCTTCCAGAGCTGCTATGTGGCCGTGGCCCGAGCGGGAGGCATCGAGACCATCGCCAACGAGTACAGCGACCGCTGCACCCCGTGAGTAACGGCGGGGAGGGAGGGCGGGCGAGTGTCGGGGGGACGGACGACGACGAATGGGGAGAAGGGCTTCCTCGGGGAGGGGGCGGCGGCGTGGGAGAGGCTCCGGGGAGGGAAGCAGCGCAGTTGCGGCTAACTTGTCACGCCGGATCATCCCAAGGAGCCAAGTATGCGGGGCCTAGAGGAAAGGGCCGGCTCTCATTCAGATTCCCCTTTGCCTTCCCCTCCCCGCCCTCCTTTGTTGAGGTGGGAGAGTCTTTGCGACACATTTTTTCCCCTCAAAGAAAAAAAGGGAAGAAAGCGGAGGCTGAAGGTTTAATCTATGAGTAAGACGAGCCCCTCCGCCGAGAAGGAGGAGGAGGAAGTACCTTTCTCTTCCCCACCCCTCTCCTTCCCCACGTGCGTGCGCTCGGGGATGGTGCATTAATGGTTGGAGGCGACCAGCCGGGGGAAGCTGCGCTACCGCTTTGCGCAGAGGGGGCCAACCGGGAGGAGGCGGGATCTCGTGCTCTGCGTTCGTGGGGTTGCAAAATGCAGCCCATGTCGAAGAGTCATTCGTTGTTTGTTTCGGGAATATAGTTCTGTGTTGCTCCCATACTGTCCTTTGCTATTCTTGTGTGTCTGCTTTAAATGCCTGAAACCATCTGTGAGTTGATAATTGACCTGCTTTCGGATTTGTAAATTCTCCCCATAAGGATGGCTTTCTCAAATGGTATGTATATCTCTGCATGGTGCCGACTTGTGGGTCCTTCTGGTGTCAGCTGTGACAGCAGAAGCCAAAATATTTGCCTATGTATTTGGGTGAAGAGCTGAGAGGCTTGTGTTAAAAACCACAACTAAAGCTCTTCCCAAAAAGGTGAGGCAGCAAAACACATGCATTATTGGGAAATAAAATTGCAAATGTTGCTGAGGCCAGCAGTTCTCAGCTGGTATGAATTCTGAGTTTGCTTGTTTGGTCGCCTTCTCTTGTTGTATTTTTGGGATAGTTTTCTTATGCACCACACACAAACTTCTAAATCAAATAGCAGTATGACATTACAGTGCTTTTTTGCTTTTTTATTGAAAACTCACCAAAGTGTCACATAGTTGTGGCAAGTTTGATTTTCAGAGTGGTCCCAATAAAGGCGTGTCCCATTATGGTATTTTAATCGATCAACATGGCTACTTTTCTTTTTATTGTCTGGTGAGCTTTGAATATCTCAACACCAACCATGGTCAAGAATGCCTGTGTTCCTTTAGGAGGAAGGGTAAGATATAAATTGATGCAGAATTCGGCAACCAGGTTGTTCACTGGAGCAAGACAGTTTGAGCAAATTACACCAATCATGCCCCGACTTTACTGGCTGCCAGTGAGTTTCTGGGCCCAATTCAAAATGCTGGTTTTGACCTATAGAACCATAAATGGCTCAGGACAACAATACCTCAAAGACTGCCTCTCCCCATATGAATGGGTCTGGATCCAGGGGTCATCATCTGAGGCATTCTTCGTTTGCCTCCCCCATGAGAAGTCCATTGGGTGATAACATGAGTACAGTGGCTTCCCTTTTGAGGAATGCTCTGCTGGGGGAAGTTCTCCTGGTGCCTTCATTATACAACTTTAGGTGCCAGGCAAGAACATTCTTCTTCAACCAGGCCTTTTGCTGACATCCTATATCCTTTTAAAGGTGTGAAGGGGAAGGCGTTGCTGGCAGCATTCAAAACGCCCATTGTTCTAGGTGCAGGGCTTGTTCTAGGTGCATTTTGCGACAGGGAATTTCATTAATGTGAGAAGTTTCTGAGCTCTGGGAGCAGTACTGCACTTAAGATTTCAGATTAAAACTGCCACTGCTGGAACAAAAGGAGGACCTTTTCCTGCCTCCCCACTTCCAGCTACTCTCTGAGGACTGAAGAAGGGACCCTCATAAGAATATTAAGGGGGCAGGCAGGGGAAGTATGATTTTGGTTTTTGCAGTCTTCAGATGAGCACTAGACCATGTGAAAAATGAATATAAGATTTTAGCTGCAGTTCATTCATTACAGTATCATCTTTGTATTCTTGTTATATAAGAAGTACCCCTAGACATTCTGTTGTGGTGCCCATAACCTAGGTTAAGGTACCATTTAGCTTTCATATCTCAGTTTTTAACACTGGTTGCTGGTTTGTTTTGTTTTTATTATGTATTTTATGTTTTTAAATAGGTCAGTATTAATCATATTGCAGATATTAGTTGTGAGTGAGTTAGTGAGAATTGACTTGCCTACCTAGTAAGCCTGCAATTGAGGTGAATTTTGAAATTGTGACCGTGGCTCATATCAGCTCTTGGTACCAACGTTTTAGAACTTGCTAAAAATTGGTTTTTTATCCCACGGGAGGCCAGTTGTACATGGAAGCTAAACTTTCAGAATGTCAAATAGATTGTCTTAACTACAGTACTTAGTGAGCCAGGAACAGGTATACAGGCAACTCCCTGTTGGCGCGGGGATTATGTTCTGCGTCACTACGTGTGTCAGCCAGTGTTTGAAATTAGCCAGGTAGCTCTCGGCCACTTGCTACCAAGTGAAGATGCCTGGGTGCTACGATGGCACGTGACCTGACATCTCCACCATCTGGAGGTGCATGCCTAGGGATCATTGGAGCTTGACAGTTTTCACACACTAATACCACATCCTGTAGAATTCTATCAGTTATAGTTATCTGCACAATCATAATAAATTTCAGGAACCAAAATGCTTTTTCTGTGCAGCCTGAGAGGGAGTAGTGAACAACATTATAGTTAGAGTAATTTTTGTAGCTTGTCTTCACTTAACCCAACCCACTACCCTGCTCACAGTTGTGAAGAACATTCATACGTTATAAATGGTCAGTGTCATCATTAAGAAAAAGAGACTTTTCTTCAAGTTTTCAAAGTTTTCAAAGTTCTTAACCTAGCTCAAGGTTGTCATCTCAACCAGCCAGATGTTTAAACTGATAATCAATCAGTCAGTCCATCATTTGAAAATGCCCCCAAATGGCAACTAGACATTCCATTTTGGCAACTGTAACCTGGTTTAAGGAGCCATTTGGCCCCTAGCTTATATATATATCTGAGTTTTTAACGCTGCTCCTGAGCCTCAAGTTGATAGCAAAGGATCCAGGAGTACCCCAAGCTACGCACCCACTCCTTCAGAGGGGGCGTAACCCCATCAAGAGCAGGTGACCTCAAATCCATCCAGTCTAAGGAACCACCTGCTAACAGTGCCTCAGTCTTAATGGGATTGAGCTTCAGTTTGTTGGTCTCATTGCAATGGAAATGATGTATCAAAGAACCTAAGAACTTTAAAAGTCTTGTATTCATTTACTTATTTCTGAGACTTGTATCCTATCATTCAGTGTCTGATACTTTTTCTGAGGGTGGCATACAAAATAAATACAAGTAAGTTGCTATTAAGCCTTTCTAAAACTGGTTTTTGCAATTAAATTTGCACTATCTGGTAATCTTTTGAATTCCTAACACTTAAATTGTGGTGGGGAATGGCCTAAATTTCAAGCAAAACAAGGAGAAAGACAATCCACGTGCAATTTGCTTGAAACAAACTATTCTTAAATAGGGAAGAAATGTTAACATCTGATAAGTTGTGATTTATGAACAGTTGAGGGCAATATAGTGTTACCTTAGATTCTGGGTGATGTCAGTGCTTTTTTATGGTTTCTGTTTTTATTGCCTTTTATAGTGCACTTGAGGCACTGCTAATGTTGCATAGTTTATTTGAGTATGCTACCAAGATGGAGATTGCTGTCTGCCTTGGAATTGCTGTTACCAAAATGATGGCACTATGGCGCTATTTTCAAGAGCTAATTTGTGTTTAGGCACAATTTTATTCTAGGATCTCCTTTTGTGAGATACTGTATCCGTCTCAGTACACTGCTGAAAGGGGCTTGGATGTGTCTCATTGTGTCCACATCATACCCTCTGACCATCATACCCTCTAACCACAGTTTGCATGGTGGTCTCTGCAATTAGGGCTGTCGTTGTGTGTTACTAGACCCTTAGTAGGCTAGTTAAAAAATGCTGTTTTTTATGGGCTTATTTACAAGGTTAATGTAATACAGGCTCCCCCCCCCCCTTTAGCATAATTGATTTGTGCATGACCGCCTATATGCACAGTGCCAAGAAATAATTTAATGATTTGATTGAAACCTTAAAATGGTGGAAGAGAGCTGGAGAGTTCTCATGGTGCATGAGGAGAACCCTTCCCGGAGCCCAAAGAGGACATCAGTGAGGACAGAGGAAGTCCCAAAAAGGAGGCACCGTGGGGCTTTATTTACACTGCCCAGCCTTCCCTCCTGATGTGTGGGGTAGTGCAGCAGCATGGCCTCCCGCTAGCCCCAGAGCTTCAATTCCAGTTGTGGATATTTTTGGATACAGTATTTTTGGTATGGATTGAAGAGAGACAGATAGGGTTTTTAAAGGGTATTTAGAGGGTGCTCCCCACGCAATTTTGATTATGTGTTTGGGGGCCTGGAATATAACCTCCACTAAGTGGGGAGTTGTCTGAATTTGTCTAGAAAGAACCTTTACTCACCCTGTGCAGATGCAAGACTGGTGCATGTTTAATGTCATCATGGCCTTTGCTGTTAGTCTGACATTGTAGGTTTACCCTGAGAAACTGGTTGGTAGAGGAACTCATCTCTTTTGTAATTACTAGCATTAGTTTGTAAAACTTGCCATGTACAGGAAAAGTACCGTATTTTTCACCCCATAGGGCGCACCTAGTTTTGGGGGAGGGGGGAAATAAAGAAAAAAAATTATTCCCCCCAGGCGCGGGGCTGGGCGGGGGAAGCCTGAGCTGACCCCAGCCCCCAGAACAGGCTGCTGTCTGCAAGCCTAGGGAGCCCGGCGTGACGTCGCGCCGGGCTCCCATGGCTTGCGGAGAGCTGCCCGAAGCCCGTGGTGCGCTCCGCTGCGCGCCCCAGGCTTCGGATGCAGGCAACTCTCAGCAAGCCGTGGGAGCCCGGCGGGAACTCCCGTGGGCCCCCAAGGCTTGCGGATCGCTTCCTGAAGCCTGGAGAGTGAGAGGGTTTGGTGCGCACCGACCCCTCTCACTCTCCAGGCTTCAGCGAAAGCCTGCATTTGCCCCATAGGACGCACACACATTTCCCCTTCATTTTTGGAGGGGGAAAAGTGCGTCCTATAGGGCGAAAAATATGGTATATATTTTGAATATGTTAGTAAATATGTAGTGATGAAATAAAAATGGTTAGAAACATATTAACTAAAGTAATGTCATCAATGCCAGAAAAAAATTGCATGGGCTCAAAATGCATGTATACAGAACAGACCTTCTGTTTTACATCTAAAGGTTTTTTTCAACAATTATTGAGTCATGCAAGTTATAAATAAAAAGTCCTTTGTTTGCTTGGAACACAGGGGCAGTTCTGGCAAGTGAGGTGTATTCATAGCAGTAAGTTGCATGGTTGTCATTAAAACTGATAACAAAACACCCTGCCAGTTTGGAAGAAGTTGTGCATAGGTTAGTTCAAAGGTGACATAAAATCAAATCTCATCAGATAGTGATTTATCCATGACAACTGAGTTATTGTCAGCTCTTCCACCCACTACCCACCTCCTACTGATCTAGTACAGAACACTGGATTCGTGTGTGCTTCTGTATGCATTAGGCCAGATATAATTTGGGACAGGCCCATGAAATCCCAAGTCACCCCACATATAGTGGCCTTGGCATATATGTTGAAGTCCCCCAAGGCCAAAAGCCCCCAAGGCTTGGCCAGGGAGACTGTTATGCAGCAACATAGGTGGTATCCTTAACAGAATCTCAGTCCTGTTAACATATCCTTGCCTGACACATTCACTGCCATAGCCATATTCTGTTTCGTATTACCTGTATAATTACTGTACATGTCCTTGTAATGGCTTGATATTCATTTCTCTTTGAAATGAATCCCCAATTCAGTGGACATAACTAACTTTATTTTGACTTTAAGAGCCAATCACTAAACTAGCATAAAAAGCAATATAAATAAGTATGGTATCATTGTTCAAGAATATGCAGATAGTGGCCTAAATGTTTACCCATGAAAAGTGTTGCACCCTGGGAATCGCTCAATTGAACAATATAAATAAATTTCCTTTATTTTGAATATTTGTATCATAATAAAGCTATATCTAGTTTAAGGGGGGGTGAGTGGATTTACTACTTCTGTAGCATCGAACATAGTATTATATTAAAATGCAGTGTGCCAGTATCAAGCAGTATGTGTAAAATCAGGGTTTATTGCCTTATTCTGATGGATATATTTTAAAGGGTCATTAATCTGTGTACTTGATAGTTTAGAAACAACAGGCAGCACAGTCTTGCTATTTTGCAAAGTTATTTTTCAGTATTCTTGTGATTTCAATGTTTGAAATAGTCTAATGAAGCAACATCTTTCTACACAGGAACCAATAGTGTTGATATTAACTTGGCTTCACCAGATGGGGCTTTTGTGCCCCTGTTACTTCAGCACTCCCCCAATCTTCAGGAATAGATTTTTGGGTAACCCTTGGGAAGGGTGTGGGGGAATCACCCTTGTGCAAACAGAAGGGGAACTTAGGATCCAAACTGATAATGCAATGAATAATCGTTATAATATGCTTGCTTTAGCAGTAAAAGTTCATCCCTGAGATAAAGGAGACAATAACAGCTTAGAAGAAGGTTGTGGGTGGATTGTGTTAATATTTTAATTCAGAATAAAGGCATTCATAACAAGTAGATGTCAAGGAAATAAACAACTGTCTGATTTTTAGAAGACATCTGAAGGCAGCCCTGTATCGGGAAGTTTTTATTTTGATGTTGTAGTATGTTTTGAAATATGCTGTGAGCTGCCCAGAGTGGCTGAGGAAACCCAGCCAGATGGATAGGGTATAAATAATAAAAATATTATTAGTGGCTGTATTCCATAGAAGTGAGCTATTGGTGGCAATTTTAACTTTACCTAGCTGATAGAAAACCTCTTACAAAAGATCTGGTATTAAAGCAGATATTTGTAAATGGATCCCTTTGATTATAATGTTTTCACATCAGGATAAATTGATTTATTTCAACCTGTGTCTTATAACTGAACATGTTCTTCTCATTGTAGGTCGTGTATCTCCTTTGGACCCAAGAATCGTTCAATTGGAGCTGCAGCTAAAAGCCAAGTAAGGATTTTTTTTTGTATTTGGAAATAATTAATAGAATCACCGATATAATAACGAGGACAGTAGTAAAAAAAAACCCCACACACAAAAATACTGAAAGCAGAATTTCATAATGCAGTTTTATTAAATATTTTCTGCTGGCTGTATTGATTTGACTTTTTAATGTGTGTGTATGCTGTATGCACTCTGTACTGTACTGTATAGCTGTGTTGCATGTCATGATAAACTGGCTGTGGCTGATGGAAGTTAGAGCCTAAAATACCTGGAGGACACCAGGTTGGTGAAGACTGATATACAAGATAAATTAAAGAATGTGCCTGCTCTTGTTAGGGCAGTGCTAGGGGCCAGAGTTGCTCTGGGAGCTTAAGGAGTTATTGAGCCCTTTTCCCATTGAGAAACACTAGTTGTGGCTACTAACTTTTGGCAGATGATTTGGCCTGCTTTCTGAGCTAAAGCAGGAGAATGAGATCTCTGTGCTCCCCAGTGCTGGAGCATAGTGCCCAGTTCTATGATCAAACTGTACTAGAGAATTCAAATAGAATAAATCTCATTATTTACTGATAGAAAGCTAATTGTAAATGTAAATTTCCTGAGGAGCATGTTAATAGAATTATCAAGAATATGCACAGCTGTCAACTTTTCCCTTTTCTTGCGAGGAATCCTATTTGGAATAAGGGAATTTCCCTTTAAAAAAGGGAAACGTTGACAGCTATGAATGTGTAAGGGTAGTATCTTTTATATGCCACTTCCAGTAGATTTTCAAATGGTTATTGCTGGCTTCTGATTGCTTTTGTGATATCCCCCCCCCCCCCCCCGGAAATGCACTTGTTGCTTTATATATAACACGGAAGAACAAATTAGCTATAAAGTATGATTCATCAGGAAGTATTAGAAATCTTCTATGTTACAAGATGAAACTAAACTTTTTTTTTTTTTAAAGGTAATTTCAAATGCAAAGAATACTGTACAAGGTTTTAAAAGATTTCATGGCCGTGCATTGTCGGATCCCTTTGTTCAAGATGAAAAAGCAAAGCTTGCTTATGAACTTGTCCAGCTTCCCTCACACTCAGCTGGCATCAAGGTGAGTTAGTATGTATGTGTGCATTCAAACACACATATCAATATGCACATTATAGTGCCCCCTCCACGCGGTGATGTTTGATAGAAGTAAAAACAGTAGAATCCTTTTGGAAAATATCGAAAAACAGATATGGATGTGGTTTACTTCCTTTAGATGTTATTCTGATCAACACTAGAAATGCTTAGGGCTTTCTTGAATGTTGCAACATTAAAATGTGTTTGCTTTGTTTTATATTTCCACTAAGGTTATGTATATGGAAGAAGAACGAAATTTCACCATAGAGCAGATGACAGGAATGCTGCTCACTAAACTAAAAGAAACTGCAGAGAACGCGCTTAAAAAACCTGTAGTTGACTGTGTTGTATCTGTAAGTAGACAATATTTGCCTTAGTTTCTGTATGGATCTTTTGTAAATGGAAAGAGTATAATGGAATTTCAATCATATTGAATGGGCACTTTGTCCCTCTGAATTTGGTTAACATGAAAATCTCCTAACTAGATTTTAATTCCTGTTATTTTAGGAATCTTTCGTTTTCTCTAAGTTGCAACCAGATTTCTTCGTTCTACTTAAGAGTACAATTAGGCAAATATTTGATCTAGAAAACCATTGTTTAAGTTATCACATCTCGTCTAACATTATTGATAAGAGTTCATCTGAGACTCATTAGTGTTGGACAAGATGACTCACCTTCATTACGTAACAGTAATAGTAGGGGAAAGAGAGGTGTCATTTACAAGTTTACAATTGGTCTGCAGATATGGCAGGGGCAGTTGAATTTCAACTGGAGCTTCTGGGAAAGGCAAAGGAATAAAAATGCATTTTGTCGTTTCAAAGCTATGTGGAGGTCTGCAGGCGCTCTGCTTTTCTGGTGTTAGGAGCTCCCAGCAAGGGCAGAGCCAAAGCTAGCCTTTAATTTTCCAGCTTAGAGCTGGAAGGAGGCTGTTATGCTATGGTATTCACATACCCCAAGTTTAAGTTTGGAATTTCAGAAGTGCAGCATATGTAGTCAAGTACAAAACTTACATGGAAGGAGGGTCCTCGTCCAAATGTTTGGCTTCCAAGAGCTGCCAAACTCTGTGAACCTCTGCTTAATATTGCAGCTTCCGTCAATATTATTCTGGAAACCAGCCTGTGTGATTTCACCCTGTAGTAAAAAAGAGAGTTGGTTTGGGGTAAGAGATGACTAGTATTTTACTAATAAAAAAGTATTATTATTTATTTTGTATACTGTCCTTCATCTGAAGATCACAGGACAGTTCATAACATAAAAATACAGAGAACAGAAAATACAGAATAAAACAAACAAACCAATAACCCCCTCCCACAAACACATTATAATGTGTTGCTGTTACTGTAAACGGCAGTTTAGTTAAAAAATATGTATCCCAGAATTTGAAAAACTTTTTGTTAGACTTTATTTTGGAAAATTAGTTGCTGTAAAAATATGCTTTTGTCTCTCTTTCAGGTTCCTTGTTTCTATACAGATGCAGAGCGGAGATCTGTGATGGATGCTACACAAATTGCTGGACTCAACTGCTTGCGATTAATTAATGAAACTACAGCAGGTGACTACTTAATTGAAATAAATACAGTGTGATGGCTGTTTCCATACAGCTTAAATCATTCAGGTTCTTTTGTATTAGGTTTGAAGGGTTTACCTGCTTTATTGTTGGTGCTGAAGGGTGAAATCATTTCCAGACACTGGCTGAAAACTTTAATTTTCGACTTGGGGCTGGCTCACACATGAATGAACATCACTTGCTTGCTCAACTTTTTATGGCTATTTCTGTAGAAAGGTTTTGAGTTGGCACTGGGTGAAATGAAAGTTCTGTCTGGTAATAAAGCTTTGATGGCTTATTCATACATGGTCATCACTTGATGACAGTCAATGCAAGGTGAGCATTCGTATGTGAACTTGTTCTCTGGATGCACCAGAAGCATGTAAGAAACATGTAAGACATGCTTAGATTAAAAGGTTTGAGGAAAACGAATGCTTCTGTTTTGTAGTTTTATTTGGAACTTTGCAAAGCAATTAATATTAAGACTTGTTTGAGAAAAATAAAGAAGCATCCAGAATCCCAAGGGAATCTTTATGGAAGCATCTAATGAGTTTATAGGGTAAGGATGGGGAACCTGTTTCCCTCCAGATGTTTCTGGACTACAACTCCCCATCATCCATGACTATTGACCATACTTGCTGGGGTTTATGGGAGTTATAGTACAACAGTATTTGAGGGCCACGGGTTCTCCGCCTCTGTTATACAGTATAGCATTTGTGCTTTGATAGCTTGGCTTTCTAATAATTTGCAGCCATATAAAGTTTTATATAATTGTTGCAGCTACATAATTGGGGGGAAATTGTTTCGTTTAAAAATAATGTATCTAGCTAGGAATGAAGATGTATTTCACTCATAGTGAACTGAATTCTCTCTAGTTGCTCTGGCATATGGGATCTATAAACAAGATCTGCCTTCATTAGAAGAGAAGCCAAGAAACGTTGTGTTTGTTGACATAGGCCATTCGGCATATCAAGTTTCAGTATGTGCATTCAACAAGGGAAAATTAAAGGTAAGTAAAGCTATGCACTTATTTTAATAATAGAATATATTAGTGTTTTTATGGAGCAGTCAAGTAATTTCGTTGTCCCCGAAGGGGGCAATGACAATAAAGACATTATTATTATTATTATTATTATTATTATTATTATTATTATTATTATATTGATTTTCTGGTATACAAAATGTTAGAGTCAAGAAGCATTGCTATGTCAAGATAACAAACTGAGTCATTAAATACATGTAATGTTTTAGTAGTTGCTGCTCTGTCATCACTTCTGCAAAAGAATACAAAAGTGTGATGGATCAGGCCATTATTCCATCTAGTCCAGTATCTTTTTCTCATAGTGGTCAAGCAGATACCTATGGGAAGCACAACAGCACTTTCCCCTCCTGCAGTTCCCAACAACTGGTATTCAGAAACATATGGTCTCCAGCAGTGGCATGTATTCTGCTTAAAAGAAAACTAATGAAAGGTGTTAAGGTTTTTTTTTTGGTAGATAATGCATTCTCCATAAATGAAGTCAGTCCACTTTTTTCACTGTGCCTCTTATGGTATCTCATCTTTCTTGTAAAGATGTCTGGATTGACTCCAGTGTCAGAAATGCACTGTTTGCACAGGCAGTCATAAAGTACTCGTCTTAAAAGTGGCAGTGAGAGAGGGTTCAGCAGCTGGTGTTCAAGCTAAGCTTTCTTCTCCCTGCCTCCAGTTGTTACCAGAGCACTAGTCGATAGCCATATTGTTATCCAGCGGTTTTCAACCTTTTTGAGTCCACAGCTCCCTTGACCAACTACATTGTTTCTGTGGCACCCCTGTGGGGCTCAGGAGCCCAGTTATGTCACCCCTTGCTTTCAGAGCTGGAAGCTTCTCACCCTTTTTTCAAACACCTTCCCTTGTGGCGTGTTCCCTCAGCACCCCTTACCATCATTCAAGGTACCCCAGGGTGTCACGGCACACTGGTTGAAAACCACTGATCTAAACCATTTGTGAGGGTCGCCTGAGAAGTGGTGGATAAATAACAAATATGTAATGTCCCATTGGTGTTCAAACCTGTCATATTCTTATTCCAAAAAAAATTTCATCAAAAAATATGTAACAGACTTTGCACACAACAATGTGTAGGCAACTGCTTCATTGCCTTGTCAGAACAACTCAGTAGCGGTTCATATATAGAAGGCTATATATTCCTTCAGGGGTTCACCCATAAAAAAAATAACAGCTGATTGGATGCCTAACTTCTGTGCCTTCAGTGACTCACACATTTAGTTTAGCTATCATTTCAAAGAATGTTGGTTTTGAAAGGTCTCTGAGTCTGGGTGAAACTTGGATGCCTTCCCTGAAGAGGTTCTATGAAATAATGGTAGCCACATTAAATGTATGAATGGCAACTTTGAGTTGTATGCAGTGAAGCCATCACTCTTGAACAAGGACTTCCACTTGCACAATGAAACTTCTCCATCGCTTCTCTTCCCTGTGCCCTCAAAATCTGTTCTGGGGGTTCCCCCAACTAACTGAAGCAGATTTGGAGGGGAGGAGAGGGAGGGGAAATTCCATTGTGCAATTGGAAGTCCTTGTGTGAGTGGGTTGACTTGGGTGAATATGACTTTGTGGTTGGCCAGGTTGCATGCTGACACAGACGACATGGAAGTGGATAGGCTGGTGTAAAGCTTTCCACATGCTGGTAATTTTCTCTCACACCTGAGCGTCCTGTTAGTGGTCTGTAGATAGTAGGGATGTTGTATAACTCTGTACAACGTTCTGTGTTACAATAAATAATAACAATGTGATAGTTTGTAAACCAGGCACTGATTTGAGTGAAATGCCAGTTTGAGCTAATCAAATCATTAGTGATTTAGAATATCGAAAAGGTTTTCTATTGGGAATAGTACCAGGAAGCCTAAAGGAAGAAGACAAGACCCTATATTTATACGCAACAGTAGCCGCAAGGCTATTGTTTGCGAAAAACTGGAAAAGTGGTATTGTACCAACAAAAATAGAGTGGCTTGCCAAATTATTGGAGTACTACAATATATCCAAAACAATGGGAGAAATTGGAAGGATCTCAAAAGAGAAGATAGATAGGGACTGGAAGGTGTTTAAAAGATACTTGCAAAACCATATCGAAAAATCAGAACTCCTATTAGAATAAACAAGTTCCGTTTCAAACACTGAAATACTGAATAAGATGGATAACAACGTGTAATAGAAAAAGAAGTATGAAATTAGGCTAAAGGTGTGTGAAAGAAAGTAATAGAAGTGGAAAGAAATTGCAATTGAGTAGATTGGAAGTCTAACACAAAGGTGGGGTGAGGGGTGGTGGATGGTGATGGGAAAAGGAATTATTTGTGGGATTGAGTGTAAGTATGTTTGAACACTTTTAAGGATTGTATGAAATGTATGTTTGTATGCTTGTATATCTGTAATATATGTGGATTAATGAACTATTTTAACAATAAAATTTTAAAAAATATAAAATAAAAAAAATTGAAAAGTAATCTTATTTAACTGAGATACTTTATGCCTTCTCTTGTAAAGGTACTTGCAACAGCATTTGACACGGTACTTGGTGGCAGGAAATTTGATGAAGTATTAGTAAATTATTTTTGTGAAGAATTTGGGAAAAAATATAAACTAGACATAAAGTCCAAAATTCGTGCACTGTTGAGATTATCTCAGGAATGTGAGAAACTGAAGAAGTTGATGAGTGCAAATGCTTCTGATCTGCCACTGAACATAGAATGCTTCATGAACGATATTGATGTCTCTGGAACTATGAACAGGTAACTTATTTTAATTCAGTGTATTCATTTTTTTAATCATATGAATTCTGAGTGTCTCTGAATGTCTTTCATAGCTAAACCAATGAAATTGCTACTAGCCAGATGGGCAGGGTATAAATAAATTATTATTAGTATTATTAGTATTAGTATTTATTTACATATAGCAAGATGTGATTTCCCCCCCGTCCCAACAATGTACTTGGGGATATCACTAATTCAATGCTTAGATTACCTAAAGCAATAGAAACTCATTCCATATTACAGATTTAAGATAATAGAAAGAGGAATGTTTGCCACAACCTGTTTTCATCATGGTTGAATATGTTGGATGCAGCTCTCTAACCCTTTACTAGAACTGGGGCTGAAGCCTGGAATAGGTGAAGTAGTAATAATTTCAAAAGAGGAGGTGGTTGCTGAATGCAGACTTAGATAGAATTTTTTTCAAGAATAACAAAATTTATAATTGACTAACAAGTGCAAATATGAAAGAAAATCTGTGTAAAATGAGCTTAACACCACAAAAATTTCTGTAAAGTATATGCTGGGTGTGAGGATAAATGTTAAAGGTGTGGATCACCAAAGGGAGATATGAACCACATTTCGTGGTTATGGCCAGTGATAGACACTTTTGGGGGAGGAACTGATGAATCTCACACATGAACCTGTGGTATACACTTTTGACAATTTGCTTCCATTATTTAGGTGATAATCTTAAGCAGAAGAGTTAGTTTGGAGCTAAATGATTAATTAGTATAAATTGATTTATGTGGGGTGTGTGTGTGTATATAAATAAAAAAAATGTGAATTATATATTTGTAGTGTTACAATTTAGTAGAATCCTGTACAATAAAAATAAATCTAGGATAATATCCAATGCTGGTAATAGTAAGAAAGAGTGTTATTGGAATCAATAGATTTAAATAACTTAAGATAATTGATTTCAGTAAGTGGGTGTACTTGAATATGACATACCATACTGTCCCAAATATAAGCCGCACTTTCCCCCCAAATTCCGACCATGAGAAGTTAAAGTGCAGCTTATATTTGCAACCTTTCGGTATGCAACCAGGAGTGTGACTCTCCCCCCCCCCCCATGCAGCCAGGAGCAGCGAGGAAGGGACCGGCTTATATTTGGGGTTTCTTTTTCTTTTTCTTTTCTCCCCTCCAATTTTAAAGGCGCGGCTTATATTCGGGCCAGTACAGTAATCAATCACCAATAACTGTAAAATTCTTAACATTGCTGCTACTTCTAAATACACGTGGTGTCTTTACCCCTTTAAGTGCAACTTTGTAAATTTTGGAGAGGCAGGATTTAAGAGGCTGCAGGAAACAACTATATTTTATTTTCTGCTTTGTTTTAAAGTATATTTTCATATTTTAACTCACCCACAGGAGCAAATTCTTAGAGATGTGTGATGACCTCTTGGCCAGAGTTGAACCACCACTTCGCAGTGTTTTGGAGCAAGCTAGTAAGTGCCACTTTAACTCAAAGATTAAAATAAACAGGAAAGGATTACACAAAGTAGTATAATATATGGAGGATTGGTACATTGAGTGTTCTATAATAAAAGCAGTAATCTTTGTTTTAGATGTCTTGTTAGCTTTTTGCTAGGCTGGCTTTGTATCCTCAAGGTAATGTTGTGGTTAACTCATTTTAAAAAACTAATAATACATATATTAAGGGGTTTTTTTTGTTTATAAGATTCTTTTATGTTAGAACAAGAGTTAAACTTAATATAGACCAAGTGTTCTTCCTCTGAACTGTTGGAACAATAACTCTCTTAGCCATGAAGTCCACTTTCATTGGCAACTGCTGCCCAGTTTACAGTATGTGAACAGAGACTTTCTTGGTGCTAATGAGTGGATCCAGCTGGGATGTTTCAGAGGTGTTCATCTTCCATTAGGGAACCTATTCTCTTTGGAGAGACAGTAAAGCTAACTTGATTTGTGTGTATCAAGTATAGCTGCAATTCCAAAATGCACTTGTAACTCACATTTCATCTGGTCAGATTCTTCCAGCTCAAGTGAGTTCAGACTTTGAATGTCTCAAGTGTCTTTTCTCTTTACAGAGTTAAAGAAGGAGGATATCTATGCAGTAGAAATAGTAGGAGGGACTACAAGAATACCTGCTATAAAAGAGCGTGTCAGTAAATTTTTTGGTAAAGAGGTCAGTACAACTCTGAATGCTGATGAAGCTGTCACCCGAGGCGCTGCCCTGCAGGTAAGAGCAACTGTTGGAATATTGTAGACCTTTATTCAGTGTTGATTTGATCCTAGTTTCTTCAGTGTTGAGACCTCTGGGTATAGGGCGGTATATAAATAATAGTAATAATAATAATTAATGTTGGAAGAAATATTATACATTTAATTGAAAGGTAATACATTTATTTCCTACCTCATCAAGTGTGTTGTTTGTGTGGTTTGTTTTTAAAGGAAGTGCTGCTCAAGACACTCTACATGCTTTTTTGCAGCTGAAATCAGGCAACTTTTTTGGATTTTCTAAAAATCCAATGTATCTCAATAGTTAGACTAAGTTTTTGGGAATGCAATACAAATGGAATCTACTTGAAAGTTATTTTGAAATCCTAGCTTAAAGAGGTCCACTTAACCACAATAGCAGATAGACATTGTCAAATCAAATTATATTGGGGGGGGGGTTAATAAACCATCAGTGCTTTTATATTACAGCTGACCTGTGCTTTAATATTGCACAACTTATTTTAATGGTTTTTTTTCCCCTTTGCAGTGTGCTATTCTATCCCCAGCTTTTAAAGTGAGAGAGTTTTCTATCACAGATTTAGTGCCATATCCTATTTCTTTGAAATGGAATTCCCCAGCAGAAGAAGGACTAAGGTAAATATTTAACACTTTAAAGTGCTTCTGAAGGACTAGCTACTACTGAGTCATACCCAATTCTATACTATTTTATGTAGATGTGCATATGGAATATTTGAATACAAAAACTTCAATCTCAGTTGTTTGGCTTATAATGAAACGTGCAATAAATTTATTATAAATTGCTATGATTGTTGTAGGATATAACACAAACGTTTTCTGGGTCCACTAAACATAGCTGCTCCTGTCTGAAATGGCAGGGTAGCGTGTTCTTAAATAGATTATATAAAAATGTACACTCAAAATAACCTCCCTTCCTATAGTGATTGTGAAGTCTTCCCAAAGAATCATGCTGCACCATTTTCCAAGGTCCTGACATTCTACAGAAAGGAACCTTTCACGTTGGAAGCTTACTATAGTTGTCCTAAGGAATTGCCTTACCCAAATCCTGCCATAGGTATGTATGCATAAGAAAGTAATGTTGACTTTGTAATATAACTGGAGTGAGAGCCTAATTGCAAGTTTCCCTCTAATTTTGTTGGTGAGATTCTTTTAATATTACTGCAGCTTCCATTGTGCTTAGGATTTGAATGTGTTTAAACTGGGAACTAATGTAAATATTAATTTGGTGTAAAGATGCCTACTAAATGGAAAGGTAAAAGCTATGTAAAGATGAGTTTTGGAACCAGTTTTGTACTCTGTTGGGGATGGGTAGGTGTTAAGTGCATGCCAAGCTTCTCACTCAAATCACAAAATGTTTTGCTACTATTAAAATAGCACCAAATGCTTGCTGTTAAGAACCACCTTAAAATTACTGAATTTACTTTTAATAAAGTTTCTGTCTTATTTTCCTGTTTAGCTCAATTTTTAGTTCAGAAGGTAATTCCCCAGAAGGATGGAACCAGTTCAAAAGTTAAAGTTAAAGTCCGAGTAAACATCCATGGCATTTTCAGTGTTTCAAGTGCATCACTTGTAGAAGTTCATAAATCTGAAGAAAGTGAAGAGCCTATGGAAACAGATCAGCATGCAAAAGAGGAAGAGGTAACTTCTATTAATTGTCATATGCCCTTGTTAGCCTAGCTTTTAGCAGTACAGTCGTACCTTCGCTTACGCATCCCTCCACTTACATAAACTTGGGGATACGTAAGCGGCAAACCCAGATTTTTGCCACATGCGCAGAAGCAGTCCCTCTGATTGCGGAAACCTCAGGATCCAACCAGAGCTCCAGAATGGATCCTGTCTGCAACCGGAGGTACCACTGTATCTTACCACTGATATGGGTTGTCCAGAATAATGAACTTCGCAAACACAGGATTTGAAACATTCCTTTAACAAGGAATGCTGAAGTTGCTGACAATGAACTTTGACTGCATCTTCACATGTTCAGTGAAATAGACTATGCAGCTGTCCCAACAACATAAATACATTTAGGTAAATATATAGGAAACTAGAATGTACCCACAGGGATGAGGAACCTGTGGCCCTCCAGATGTTGCTGGACTGCAGCTCTAATCATCTCTGACCATTGGCGCTGATGGGAATTGGAGTCCAGTAAAGGCCCATATTATCCCCATCCCTGATGTACATTTTTTTTTAAAAAACCCCTCAAGTTACTTGTAAATACAAAACAAGCTTTTGAACCTTTTAAGCTAAGCAGCAATCTGGATTTCTATAGTCATAGCCTCCTCTTTGGCGTGTCTCCCTTCCTCCAGCTCCAATAGTCTTTAAAAGCCAGAACAACACATGTTATTGTCAAACGTATTGTGCTCTTGCTGAACATTACTGTTAGGGGTATGTGCTGCCTCTGAGCTTTAAAGTGCTTAGAGAATTTGCTGAGAGAGGACTTTGACAAGTGCAGTATGAGAAGTGAGTTCCTTCCTTTGCTCTGAAATTGAGAGCTGCCTACTTTTCCGCCTTCCTTTAGTAGTGGAAGTTTAGAAAGAAACGCACTACAAGGACATGAAAGAAATTCAATTGATTTTCTGTCAGTCACATTTAGTAAGATCTGTTTCCTTGATCTATATTCAAAGCTTTATTCACTAATTTCAGAAGATGCAAGTAGACCAGGAAGAACAACAGAAGGAGCAACAGAAGACTGAGGAACACCAGCAACAAGCACAAGCTGAAAACAAGACTGAGGCTGAAGAAATGGAGGTAAAAATTGTGTGTTAAACTAAAATGTGTTGACCAATAGCCTCCCTATCTTTGTGAGAAAGTTAGAACATATGCTAGACTAAACAGGCATTTTTTCTGTTTACGTATTACTTCAAAGATAAAAATACTTAACAGGACTTGGGACTTGAACAGTGGGACTTGAATAACAGTGATTTGTTTTAGTGTTGAGTTCTTCGTGAGAATGCTGGTTCCCAACATAGAAAAGCTTCAGTAAAAAGAACTTGAAACAAATGTCTGGAAGCCACAATTGATTTGTCACAGTTTCTTTTTCTGTTTTAATGCAGACAACTCAAACTGGATCAAAAGAGAAGAAAACAGATCAACCTCCTCAGGCTAAAAAGGCTAAAGTAAAGACTACGACCGTTGACCTTCCTATTGAGAATCAGTTGGTGTGGCAGATAGGAAAGGATATGTTGAACTTATTTATTGAGAATGAGGTAAGCACTAATGTCAGTGGAGAAAAGTTTTTTACAATTTACTGGTGGTTGATGCTGAGGTGAGGGGATCATGTAATAAATCACAAAAGCACAAAGTAACCTTATTTAATTGAAACAAAAATGTAATATGTTTCTGACAGGGCAAAATGATCATGCAAGATAAACTGGAGAAGGAACGGAATGATGCCAAGAATGCTGTAGAGGAATACGTTTATGAAATGAGAGACAAACTCTGTGGCGTGTATGAGAAATTTGTTAGTGAAGAGGTAAGTGCTTCTAAAAACAAGTGCTATGAAAGTTAGGATCTGACCTGTTCATGCAGTATCAGCATTGGTGGCTTACATAGTCCACTAATCAGAGAACTTTCTCTAAATCATTGATGGGCAACCTCTGCCATAGTGGCTTAGTTTCCCCCAGCATAGGTCCTAATTTGGCCTATGAGGTGGTTCCACCAAGTTATGCCTACCTGCTACATACAGGATGTCATGTGAGCTGAAGATTCATGTCACTTTAGTTAAGCTGAAATGCATTGTTCGTTAAAAAAAAAGTACCCACAATTTGCTTTATTTACACTTTTTCCCTAGGATCGTAATAGTTTCACTCTCAAGTTGGAAGACACAGAAAACTGGCTATATGAAGAGGGTGAAGACCAGTCAAAACAGGTTTACATTGATAAATTGACAGAATTGAAAGTAAGTGGGACTTCAAAAACTGTCAAACTTGACTTAGCTGAAACCTGACATACAAGGGTCTATCTGCAATACATGAATGTTGCTTGTGCATTGTAATTACCGTGGGAAAACATTCTGGCAGCTGGGGTGGAGAGTGAACTAGCTGTGCTAGGATTATACAGGCTCATCCAGGTTGGCCAGATTGTATACAGCATCCCTCCCAGCATTTTAGGAGGGCAGTTCAGGGTACCCCTTCCTCCCCTGCTCCCACCCCACCTACCTTTCTCCAGTCGTCAGCCTCTGCAGCACCCATCCTGTGCCATGTTGGCAGAAGCAGTGCAGGCCTGGCCGACCTTCCAGCAGGCCACACCCAGCCTGCACCGCATCTCTTGATACGACGCAGATCCAAGCACCCATCTTGGGATTGGGAACAGAAGCCAGGGCGGCTTCTGCCAATCCGTCATGTGCCAAATAAATCGGGACACTTGAGGGGTCTGATACAGTAAACCTGCAACTCACACACATTTAACATGTGTGCATTCAGCTTTGTGTGCATGGTGAAAGACACAAGGTTGGATTCAGTGAGTGGAGTTTTGGGGAAAATGACATTAGCAATCCCACCCACAATTGAACCCAATGTGTTTTGTCTATATGCGATTTTGGCTTTAAGCACGATCTGCAGAACATAACCCCTGGGTAAGTTGCAGGCTTACTGTATAAATGTTAACTTTAACATGTAAATTATACACTTGTAAAGCATTCACAACAAGCATCTTGAATCACCAGCTTTCCTTACAAGATATTATATTTAGAGCTTTTTTTCTGTGTTGCTACTACAGTTCTCTGCAGTCAAGACATAAGCTGCTTTTGAAATTAATATGCTTTGTCTTCAGTCCAAGTGTAACTCATCTTACAAGTGTGGTTCAGATCAATAACTGTCTTGGTAAACTTCTCTTCAATTCAGGCTGTGGGACAGCCTATTCAGGCACGATTTCAAGAATCTGAAGAAAGACCAAAAGCCTTTGAAGAACTTGGAAAACAAATCCAACTCTACATGAAAGCTGTTCTTGCTTTTAAAGCAAAGGTATCATTATCTTTTATATGACAAGTTAGTATTTCAAAATTGTCTTAAATATTTTCAGTAGTAAACTTTAAGGCAGAAATCCTTTTTCCTTTTCAGGGCCTTACAGGATAAATTTTCAGGTGATGGTTGCTATGCTTGGAAATTGTAGTCTCTTCACATAGCAAACAAGCAGATTTACTGCTTATCCTCCCTCTTAACTTGATATGTTTTAATCAGTAGAGCATGATATAGTGCTCTTCTGTTAAGTTTATTTGTTTAGTAGACCACCAGGCTTCATTCATTCAGATTATTTCGTCAGACTGAGCCTAAAGTTTTTTTTATTATTTACCAAAAGGAGGAAGTGTAGAATAGCATTACTCTACAAAGTCACATTTCACTACTAAAAATTTTAGGATGAACAGTACGACCACTTAGATCCTGCAGAAGTGGCCAAAGTGGAGAAGAGTGCAAATGATGCAATGGAATGGATGAACAACAAACTCAATCTTCAGAACAAGCGAAGCCTGTCTTTGGATCCTGTTATCACAGCTAAGGAAATTGAAGCAAAAACAAAAGTAAGTAATAATTTGGAAACTGCAGGGGAATGATGAAGTTAAGAACCTACGGAGCTGCCGTCTTATATGAAATCAGATCATTGGTCTCGTTTAGCTCAGAACTGTCTGTACACAGATTCTGTCAAGCATTTTGGACAGCAGTATTTCCCAACTTTACCTGGAGAAGCTGGAGCATTTGATATGCAAAGCAGGTTCTTTACCACTGAGCTACAGTCACTCCCCATAAATTGAGTTAAACTAGTGTTGCACAGTGCCTTTAATTAGTATATTAATATTCTTGAATTTTCTACAACTGAGAGAATTGCATAAGTTATTGTACATTCTGATTTAGTTGGTCCATTCACATATATTTTCCAGCTGTTTTCTTAACCTTATGTTATGGTTTATTTATTGACCACTTTTTGTCCCAAAGCCCTCCAAAGCGGTGAACAGTGTATTAATTCATATCCTGCCCACTGCAAACATACAGCTGCTCCAGCTTCTCACCTAGGAGCAAGCCAACACACAACTATGTTATTATTTAACAAATTCATAAACTGCTTCAGAGCATGAAGTCATCAGTGTAGAAGATAAAAATGGAATAAAGCACAAAACCACAAGCTCTAAAAGCAATAAAAAGTATAACGATCTAAAAACAATAAAACTATCTCTGCAGACATACAATTAATAATCTGTAAAAGAAACCACTCACCCACATGGCTCCCTCACACTTCTCCCACCCCAAAGGAGACACCCAAAGCTGGTGGTGACCAGCTGGCAATTGTGACCTCCAAAAACTAGGCTTCCCTGCCTTCCTGCTCCCCCCCCCCCCAAAAAAAAAGATGTATTGCTGTGGCAAAACCTTCCAGCCACTTCAGGCTGTTTTTCTCCAGGTACTGCAGAAAGAGGCTAGGGAAGTTAATGTTGGTATCTAGCTGCCAGCCATGGTCCTGCTACTGCTACATTTTGGAGAGCAACCTTAACATAACTTTACTTAATTTCCTGGTGTGATGTGCTCTGGTTCTTTCATTTTAGGAACTGATCACTATGTGTAATCCTATAATCAACAAACCTAAACCCAAGGTGGAACTTCCAAAAGAGGATCAAAAGCCAGCAGAACAGAATGGTCCAGTAGAAGGCCAGGGGGATGGCTTCGGAGCGTCTCAGACTACAGAACAGAGTACTGATTCAACAGCCCAAACATCTACAGAAAAGAAACTTCCTGAAATGGACATTGATTGAATCACAGTTCCTTGTTTATATTAGAAACTACAATAAAGCTTTAAGTTTGTCAACTTTATTATGTTCTGAGTATAAACGGGGAGCCAAGTGAGAGCTGCAGCTTCTCACACTAACTCTTTTTAGATCAGATTGGTCAGTATAAAGCATCTTGACTCTTGGGTAGCTTAATTAAATGGTCAGATAGGTTCTTTCTTTTGCCATGACTTTAAAAGCCCACCAGTAACCACTTAGATTTGCAAAAACAGTCACAGGTGATCATTTTAAAAGCGTGAGGATAACAGGAAGATAATTTTGTTCTAATCTGCCACTAGGTTTCTATTGTGAATTGCAGCAGCTGCATTTATAAGTATTGATAGACAAGTTCCAGAAGTGTTTGCAGTTCTGGTTTTATTGCACAAGAGTAATATAGCAAAATACAAGTTTGTGATCTGTCTACAATTACAGAGGCAATAATGGCATGTTTCCTAGCTGGAAGTATAATTCATTTCACATTGTGCCATTGATAAGTTATGTGAGGTATATGGCGCCATGGATCAGATTACATGTTTGTGCTAAATTCAAAGAATTGAAAAGGCTGGAGTGTTTTTTCCAGTTCATGTCCGCACTCCATTATTGATGTCCTGGGCATTGTATCAGATTGTTTATCTGATATGCAGAGTAGCAAATATATACCTAAACCTGCTATTAGATATGCAAAAATGTATACTCATGGTAAAGTCGCCCCAGCTATATGAAATGCTGTATAAATTTCTGTCTCTAGTTGAAGTAGTTGCTTATGCGGGGGGAAAGAGGATACTGCTTGCTGTCCACACTTCTGGATAATTCTGATTGTTAACCCTGAAGAGGATATTTGCTTCCTTCATTTTGGAAGTGCTTAGCTTTATCTTCTGGGCAAAACAAGAAGTCTGACAGTTTCTCTCATGTGCTCCTCTACACTTTGGCTGTTTTGCTTCTAGTATTGATAATTGTCATATAAACTTGTATGTGTTGAAATAGGAATGGATACATCCATACACATTGCAAGAAATAAATGCACTGGATTGTACTGGATTTTTTAAAACCCATTTATTGGTGAAAGACACAGGTTGGATTCAGCAATCTGCCAACAAAAGGGGGTGAGCGGAAGCCCACTTTTCTGTTCCCCTGAAGTTCGGGGAATCCTGATAAGTGGTGTAGGGGGTATTGCAGAAAAGTGAGCAGGTGCAGGGTCCTTTGGTCCTCTAGGAGGGGAAGATAATTTTGGGAAGCTGTAGGGACTGGCAACAGGAGGCAGGGGAAGAAATGTCAGCTTCTGCTTGCCTCCCTCTATTGCCAAATCTCTCAAAAAAAAATTTAATCTCAAGAGATCTATGAGTTTAGTCCAGTCTTTTTGCAAATAGCTTCTTGTAAAGCAAGAAAACACTACCACACAACTGAGGTGGATTGTTTTAAGAAAGTAACATTCTTTCATCAGTTAAGTCATACCTTAAAATCACACATGGATCAAACAATCTGTTCCGTTAGTTTAGACTAAACTGGTACTCTGCTACAGCAAAGTATTGTGTGCTAGTATCAAAGTGGTTCTTTAACATGCAGAAGTCCATTTTTTACCTCTGGAAATATCCAACTTTTAGTTAAAACAAAAATCATTGATTATGGGCTAAGAAAAGACTCCAGAGATCACCTTGAGTCTAAATGACAACTCAGAATATTATTGCTGTTTTTTTCTACCTGTTCATCAACTGCTGCCTGTAATTGACTGGGCAACCCTTCTACTGAAATAAAAGCTTTAGGTCTATGATGCCCCATTGTTTTGTCAGCTTTTATTTCATGGGGGGGGTGGGAAATAGTGCAAGTTTCCTTAAATCTGAAAAAAAAACACCATTTGCTTTTCATGTGCATGAAATGATGAAATCAGTACTGCTGTACATCTATACAAATATTTAATCTTACCATATTTATGTATGGGCTTGTATGTAATGTTAGAGCTAAATAGGGTGTGTTCTTCCCAAGTGTTTCAGAAATTTGGAAAGGGTAAGAGAGGTAGAACCAAACTGGAATGAAGGGGAATATTTAATGTGGGAAAAGACAACATATGCAAGGGAAGAAAAAGGTGGGAGTATAAACATACAAGGTGCTGGTAAAAGGAATGGGAAGTCATGGGGAAATAGCTGATATACAAGGTTGCAGCAATAGAATAAAGCATCTTAAGGTGTAAAGGTTTGCTTAGGAACAGTATGCTGCTTTCAGCATGTTGCTTAAGAAGGCAAAAGGAGCAAAAAAAAGGGGGGTTCCTCTTTATTTCAGAAATGTTTTTAGGTGCAGGGTTAATATTTTTTTCTCCGTGATCCAGTAAAATTCTGGGGGTGAGAATCCTGAGGGCATGAAGTTTACAGTAATCCAATGGCAAAAGTTTCCTGCAGTCAGCTGCTTCTCCTATGGAGAAATAGTACTAACTGAAATTACATCTATTTTCACAGATCCTTTTGCAATGAAGTCCAACTCATTATTTCCACCTTTTCAGTAGTATTCATTTCATTACAACTACTGTATGCATCTGGTGTTTTGATACCCTTATAATCTGTGGAGAAAAATGTTAATCTTGAACAACAACAAAAACTACGATGCAGTTGTAGATAACCTGACCAATATTATACGTCCCATTTTGCACAGAGAGAAGCAGGACAGCTGTGTGAATGTTGCACCATGTTTTATACTAACTAGCCTTCTAAAGATGTGTGTGCGTTGAGGTTGATACATGCTTAATGCTCTGAGTACACCTATTACATTATAAGCAGACTATTCCCACTGAAATGAATAGACCTGTTAGTCATGTCCATTAATATCATTGAATATTCTCTGAGTAAGGCTAATGGACAGAAGCCACTGAAATCAGTGGACCATTTCAATAGATCTATAATATCCAGCATATTTTTCCAGCATATTTTCTATAATTCTCAGAATTATAGAAGCTGTCTCTGTTTCTGATGTGATCCCAGAATGTTGGTGTTTTCCTTTTTCCTCCTTCATATATCGGGAGAACAATTAAAAGTGTGCAGGTGCAAAACTAGGTCCTGTTTATCCTGAAAATAAAATCCCTGTACCAAATTAAATAAATTGTGAAGCTGGTATACAAAACCTTCCTATAATTTTGAAGGAAAAGGTTACCAATCCACTTTAAATTCTTTCATTGCAATGCTTCAGCAGCCAGCCATTTCTCTGGAAACACACGGAGTGTTTATTCCTTTACTGTAAATTGAGTCTTATACTGTCTATACTCAGAAATAAGTGCCACTGTTTTCAATGGAGCTTATTCACAGGTAACTGGGTCAAGACCAGGCAACCTTACACTGCACTCTGAAGCATTTTTACTTAGAACTAAGTCACACTAAGTTCAATCGGATTTACTTTCTGGTCAGTCTGAGTGTTTCTATTATTACTATTATTAATAATTACAGTATATCTCACCTCTTCCCCTGTCAGGGACTCAAGGCAGCTTACTGCTAAAACTTTTATTTCATTCCATTCATCTGTGAAGATGTTGCACACGATCCCTTCCCTCGCACATTTTTTTCTTTACAACAACCCTGTGAGGTAGGTGAGGCAGAGCCACCAATGTCAATGTGCATATGACGTCTTATGTGTGCAGGCGATCAAACGCACGAGAAGCTTCCTGATGGAGAATAGGATGTCCCTATTTTCATCAGAGAAATGTTGGGAGGGTATGTGGTATCGCCCTGAGATTAATAACAGTGTAGACTGCAATGCTAACCCCACTTGCTAGTAGGGTGTAAGCCGTACCGAATTCAAAGGGAATGACTTAAGCACCGCTTAAAGGTGCTTACGATGCCACGATCGCACCTTTCAGCAAACTCTCGCCTATTCAACTGTTTTGTTGGCGAAACGCAACGTCACAGACCCGGATCTCCATGTCAGGCTGTAATCACACACTGCTGCCAAGATGCAGCCGAGTCAAACTACACACCCAAAAAGATACACAGGTTATTTACAAGTTAAACTGATTTCGGCAAAAAAAGGGCGTCTTGCCCAACACATTTGCAATCCACCCACGTTCCAAAGCGGCCAAAAAGTTCTCACTGGGGTCGGGAGGGCGATCCCTCCCTCTCCCCCCCCCCCCGCTCAGCCGAACACGAACGCGGCTGCCGCTTTCAACCCCTCCAAGAACTTTAAGATGGAGACCGCCAGTCAAACCGGAAGCCGAGGGGCGCGCATGACCCGTAGGCCGCCAACCATGCGGCTTCTCTACCCTTCTCCTCTCTCTCTCCTCGCCGCTCTAGGAGTCGCACCCGGAAGCCGAGGGCCGGAGACTTAGGTGAGGGAGGGGCCGCATCGGCTGGTGAGTGACGGGTCGGGGCCGGGGTCCCCGCGCGCGCCTGCGAGGCGAGCGACGCCCCTGCTCTGCTCCTGGCGGCGCCTTCTGGGGGCCTCTGGCGAGGCTGGAGCGGCCACGGGAGCTGGCAGGGGGATTTGCCGATAGGAGAGGCACGCTGGCGCGGCTCCGGCGTTTCCTTGTGCACCGGCGGGGTCTGCCACGCCCAGGTTTCGTGACTCTTCGGGGTCTGGCCGGAAGCTAAGCGCAGTCTGTATTAGGAAACTAATCTGGAGTAGATGGTAGTCCCCGTCCCCCGCCGCCCAACAACAGGGAACTATTGGTGTATTTTCACTTTAAGGACGGGGAGGGAAGTTTAGAGCCTTCCCCCCCCCAAAATAATAATAATAATCGCGCCACAAATTTGCAGCCTCTTGGGGGGATTCTCTAGGTAGGTTTCCTGAACACGGTGCTTCTGTTGTAGGAAAATGCAGTCCCCCCTCCCCACCAACAGTAAAGTCTAATCATTTGCACACCTGCTTCTTTTGTCCCCAGCTACTATAGCTGAAAGTCCTACATGCTGGCATTTTGAGTGTCACTGACACCAAAAGGATGCAGTTTCCTCGCCCCTTTCTCGGCATTTGTGCTATTTTTGTTTACTTCTCCCTTAATGCTTTAAGGACACGGGGCATCTAGCTCTTGAGAGCCATTGCAGTCAAGGGAACACTTTGCAGGATTATGCGAGAGTAGGGTTTGGCGATATATTGTCCCAAACCAGTTAGTAGTCAACACTGTGATAAGCGTTTCATAATATATCCCGAATCACTATGTTTTGTGTGTGCTATGTAAAAAATCACGATGTGGGGAAAACCGAATCTGGTCATCGCTTCTCTCCTGATTCCTGCTACCCCTGTTGCTGTTTCATAAAATAACAGTTTTATCAATATGGTAAAGGTAGTTAAAAATGTATCAGTTTTAGACTGCTAAGTAGTAGCAGTTTCCAGGACATGACTCCACTGGCCTCTACTTATTTTCATCATTTCAGACATTGTGATAGATCAGTATATCGCATGGTTGATATAGCACAATGTTGAAAACCAGTTGTCGCCCAGCCCTACGCAGTAGCTAAGGGAAGCTAAGGGTTTTTAGACACTGAGTAGGCATTTGTCAGGAATGCCTTGTTCTCCATTTTCTTCTGACATGGAGCAGGAGTTTGTAGTAGATTTTTGTTGTTGCCTTCTGTTACACCACTATTACTTTGATTTTTGTCTACACATTAAGGGTTATATCCAATGATGTCATCCCATTTGGGCAAGGACTTCTGCTTGCACAACAGAGCAACACCCCTCATGTGCTCCTCAAATCTGCTCTGGGGTTCACCTCAATCCTCCAGATCGTATTTTTTGGGTAGGGGCAAGAGGAAGGAAAGGGACAGCAAGGTTTGTTGCACATGCCAAAGTCATTGTGCAAATGGAACAACTTCATTGGATACAATCCCATCTTTTAACATAGTATATGCTCTGGAACGTGCTGTAGAGTTAAAAACTAGTCAGATTTATAGTGCACTTTTATATGTGCCTGCTCAGAAATAAGTCCCTTTAACTGCAGTGGGAATTACTCCTACTAAATGGGTTTGCTGGTTTAGTAGGGTGGAGCCTTTCTAAATTCAGTAAACCCTGTTGTGGGACTGAAAGCATCCACCAGGAATTTTATATTTTAGCAGAGTAGAAGTAATGTTAGAATCATAGAATTGTATAGTTGGAAGGGACCATGAGTGTCAAATAGTCTAACCCCCTGAAATTCAGGATTCTTACTTTTTATTTCTTTTTCTGCAGAAAACAAGCACTAAGCATCATTGACCCTCTGTAGACCACTTAAGACACCAATGCCATTGTCTTCAGCAAGAAGTTGTATTCTTGTTGCCCTAGATATTCAGTGGATAAACAAGTTTGATGATCAGGTCTTACTGATGTGACTAACTAGAAAGGTACCAATTTCTTATGACATTCCTCTGCTAAAATGAAAATTGGCAACGTTGCACATTGGGGTTGCTTTTGTATTATTGTGTGTAGCTTAAGAAATAACAATTATTTTAATAGAATAAAATGCATTTTCCATGTACCTTTAAGAAAAGATTTCTGTGCTGTCACCAGTGCGCATTTCACTTTATCAAGTATGAGGGGATATGTAAGCCCCAAGGAACTTACAAATTTAAAATCTGACACAAGAGTCACAACAGAGGAAGAGAGAAGTAGAGGCAGGTATAAACAGGGAAGTAATAGGAGGCTATATAAGTTACATGTGCTTAGACTTAGAAAACCATTGCTTTCTAGTCTTGCTTTCTTCATCCCTACTATTGTTGTAAGGGACACGGGTGGTGCCGTGGCCTCTTGGGCTTGCTGATCGGAAGGTCGGCGGTTCGAATCCCTGCGACGGAGTGAGGTCCCGTTGCTCTGTCCCAGCTCCTGCCAACCTAGCAGTTCGAAAGCACATCAAACTGCAAATGGATAAATAGGTACCGCTCCAGCGGGAAGGTAAACGGTGTTTCCATGCGCTCTGGCACTCATCATGGTCCTCCGTGTGCCAGAAGCGGTTTAGTCATGCTGGCCACATGACCCGTCTGTGGACAAACACTGCCTCCCTCAGCCTGAAAGCGAGATGAGTGCCGCAACCCCATAGTCACCTTTGACTGGACTTAACCGTCCAGGGGTCCTTTACCTTTACCTTTTTACCTTATTGTTGTTCTACCACTTATTTCATTCCATTAGGTTCAGTATACAGGAGAGAGGAGAAAAGACAGTAGGAAGGCAGTTGAAGTTCAGAAGAGGTAACTGGCCACAGTGGTCCAGGAGGGAGGATTCCACTCATGAGACCTGTCAGTGGAAGCCCACAGAAGGACTTCTACTTGTGCACCCCTTCATGCACCCCCCCCCGATTTTGATTCTTGGGTGGGGTGAGAACCCTCCCCCCCCCACAAAAAAAGTGTGCTGGTGGAGGTGAGGGGGGTTGTTCATTTGGCAAGCTGAATGCTTGCACTGATGGAACATTTGACATGAAGTTCAATTCCTCACATGGAAAGTGAATTTTGAGAAAGAGGTTGCTTGACCAGTTAGCTGAAGGGAGAACATCTAAGCTGGCTATAGTAATCCAACAGGTTAAGGCTCACAGTAAAACAACTGTGTAACAGAAGGAAAACATCTTTGTCAGCATACAGCATCCATAAATTTTAAAGAGCCATCCCTAATTTTGTGGAAGCAGTGAAGTTTTACATGGCTGAACGCAGCATGCCTTAGCACAGGGTTAGGGAGCCTTCAGCCCTCAGGCCAGGCTTGACCCAGCATGGGTTCCAGTTTTGTCCCTAAGACAATTTTCGTGAACCATGCCCACCTATCAATCAGATGACATCACCTTAATGGGTGGGTGACATCTGCTGCTGGGCAGGTTTGATGGGTACAGCGTAGAAATCCGTATTTAACCCCCTTGCCCATTCAGTCCTGCTTTTTTGGTTACATGTGCTCGTTTCCTATGGCCAATCCCTTCAGAAGCCAGGATTATCCGTGACGGCTCATTCTTTCTCGGTTCCGATCACCCTCAGATTGCCCTAAGCATGATCTGAATTAATGCTGTAATAGACCATTCTTGTTACAGGAGTCTGCTTAATTTATACTGGGGATATGTTCATCATTCACAGGAACTGTAAATGTCTTCAGAGGACAAAGAAGCTCAGGAAGATGAGCTACTTGCTTTGGCAAGTATCTATGATGAAGATGAATTCAAGAGAGCGCAGGCTGTACAGGGAGGAGAAACTAGAATCTCTGTGGAATTGCCACCAGGCTTCACCATATGTATGAGTGGTGAGTCCATTTCTGTGGATACTTACCTTCTTTGAGTTTATTGCAATACTATCATATGTTCCAAGTGCTTTATTCAAGAGGTAGGGGCTGATTTGCACAGTGGCCTGATATGTTCATTCTTCACATGGTATTGCACAGGACCAAGCCTTGGGATCACCTGCTCTCCCTACCTCCACCCCTATACTGGCGAATATATGGTGTGAGCAGATGGCCATGCCACATCCATGGATATATGATAGATGGGGGCAAATATGTGTAATACAGGTTAGATCATGCAGCACATTTTGTTGGTATAGGTCATGGGTAGGCAAACTAAGGCCCAATCGCCTTCTAAATCTGGCCCGCGGATGGTCCAGGAATCAGCATGTTTTTACATGAGTAGAATGTGTCCTTTTATTTAAAATGCACCTCTGGGTTATTTGTGGGGCCTGCCTGGTGTTTTTACATGAGTAGAATGTGTGCTTTTATTTAAAATGCACCTCTGGGTTATTTGTGGGGCATAGGAATTTGTTCACCCCCCCAAATTATAGTCCAGTCCCCCACAAGGTCTGAGGGACAGTGCTGAAAAAGTTTGCTGACCCCGGGTATAGGTTGTGTGAGTGTTACATGTTGGGCCTAAAGGTGAACCAGCCCTAAAACATTTAGCTAACTGTAAATTCTATAAGGGGTAGGTGCATTGAATGTTTGCCAAGAAAGCTGTTCAGGTTATGTGAGATCCCAGTCTGCATGTATCACACATAATCACAGAGCTCGGTCTTCAAAATAAAATGACCTCCGTAGAGTGGGATTATTTGGGGACAAAAATCTACATTGGGCTAAGGCAGTCGCTCCATCAGGGCAAGCATTTGGACTTGCCAGACGGATCAATCATCCTCCTTTGCACTGTTCTAGGGATTCTCCTGAAATCCCCTCCCCCATTTCAGGTTTTTTGGGAGGGGGAATGGAGGGGAAGCCCCATTGCACAAGCAGAAGTCCTTGCAGAAGGCTTCCGTTGATAGAACTCATTAGTTGAATCCCACCCTTATTTTTGACTGAATATGGTTGTGCTGGTGTGATGCCAGCACAGAATGAGATGTTGCATTGACGCAGTATTGTGTTTCACCCTGCCTATATCTTAGCTGGCATAGCAGCTTAGAGGATTGAAGCTTACTTACACCTAAAGAACTGAACCTCACACTTCTTTTTAAAAAACTATGTGCTTTTCTATTAATTTTTCATTTGTGTAGTATCTTTCATCAGAGCTTCTTAGAAGAGTTCTTGAAATATTAATTGGTAGAAAGAGAGTTGTTGAAGCAACCTTCCTGTCTAATATTGCGTATAAGCATTGGCAATGATGTTTATGTTTATAAAACAGCTGCCGCTGACAGAACCATGCTATTTTTAAGATTGTGAGCTCAACAACTTTTTCCTATTGTTCTCTTCATTTGCAATGTTCTTTTTACAGAGGAAAAGAGGGAGGAACAATTTCCTAATAAGATATAGAAGATAGACATTGAACTTAAGCTCCTAGTTTTAAGTTTTCCATTACCTTATTTTGAAAGCTTTGTGGATTACTAGATATGGTTGGCATCATGTTGTTCCCTTCTGAAATATTTTATGCATACATTTATTTAGTTTGAAACCATGTGCACAACTAAATTGTCCCACCAGTATGAATGCACCTAACTGTATGGGATGACAGTGTTACTTAGGCTGACTTTGCTTGTCTGGCTTTTCTGTTTTGTTCATGGGCATCTAAACCAGGCTTCCTCAAACTCTGCCCTCCAGATGTTTTTGTTCCCTAGCTAGGAGCACCAGTGGTCAGGGATGATGGGAATTGTAGTCTCAAAACATCTGGAGAGCCGAGTTTGAGAAAGCCTGATCTAAACCATTCTCCCTTTGGGGAATTCAGAGAAAGGAACAGGCTTTCCCCCTAAGCCTGGGGTAGCCAACATGGAGCCCTCCATCCTCCTCAGCCAGCACTGCCAGTTGTCCAGGATGATAACGTCCACAACATCCACAGGGCACCACATTAGCTACCCCTGCTCTAATCACAGTGGTAGAAGAATTAAGAGGCTTCAACTATTGCTTAGAGCAGGGATGGGGAACAGAAAGCCAGAACTGGGAGTGGCCAGCCCAACACCTGACACCATACAATGTTAGGTGAGTCAAACTTCAAGCTGAGGTTGCAAAGAAAAATTCTTCCTTTGCATCCCTGGCTTGAATTCTTTCTGGGGCTTCAAAGATTTTATTGTCAACATAAAAAGACACAAAATTTGAAAAGTGTCCACTTTGGGCTACAAAGGAAGAATCAGGAGCATACTTAGAGTCCACTCCAATTTTTCCTTTGCAGCTGCAGGTTGAATTCAACCCGTAGCTGCAAAGGAAGATTCTTCCTTGAACTTTCCTGTGCCATATGACTCAGGAAAGGTGGGTATGGTTTGGCCAAAACAACCTGCTGGGCTTAATTTGGCCCACAAGACAAGAGTTTCCCTGTCATTGGTTTAGAGACATGTTATTTAGCTAAGGCCTGGTTCAGACATTGCAACAATTGCAGGCTCACATCCTCAGACATAGTTTCTTGCGATGTCTGCATTGGGCCAATGACTGTTACTGCTAACTACAGTTTGCCTCGGAACCACTATTGGAAGCTAGAACTTACCGAGTGGGTGTCTCATTATTTGGAGACAAAACATGGTTAGTGATAACCTTGCTTCTTGTTTAACAGCAAGCAATGGTTACTGTGAACCAGGAAGTGGAAGAGAGAATTAAAAAACATGTTGGAAGGAGGGACCATGCAATCCAAACACATCCCAGTAGAGTCTGTGTGAACTAGTTTTATAACAAATATTTCAGACGAAGGGAAACTTTATGAAACCATATCAAACAATTCTGTTAGGTAGTAGCACAGCTTGTTGCCTCTTCCTGACACTATCATATTTTTATTTTTTTTAGGCAACCTGACAGAGAATCTCCAGAACAGCAAGTTTGAATGCAGAGTTTGTTTTTTGCCTCCGATTGTGCTGCATTTTGAATTCCCACCAGACTACCCGTCAACTTCCCCACCTGTCTTCACCCTCAGTAGCAAGTGGCTTTCTCAGGCTCAGGTTTGATACAGATCTTTAACAATTCGTGTAGTTCACCAGAATGGTAATATTTCTTGTTAATGATTAATATCGTGGTTGGTTATTAATCTGGATGCAGCAACAAAAAACTACTTAGAAGAAGCTTAAGAGCTAGCTAGGAAGAATAATGTATTAATACTTCTTAGATGTATCTTTGTCATACCTAAAGTCAGATGGTGTGAGTTTAAAACGTTTTAAATTGTTCTTAAAGCTGCTCTAAATCCTTCATGTCCAATGAGTACAGCAAAGTCCCCAGCCTTCTAGTTATCCAAACTCACTTTGTTCCCCATGCTTAGTTCCAAGTAAATAGTAATCCAGTTTATCAGAACACTGGATTTTCCAAAGGTTTTCTTACTCTATATTTAGGACCTAAGTCAGGAAATAAAGGGGTTTCAACATTTGACATCAATAACACGAAAAATGCTTCACGAAAGTGAGAGTTAGATGCTGTTGCCTTACATTAAAGAAATAGCTTTTATTTTAGATCTATAGTTGTTTATGAAAGAGTGAGAAAGGTATGTACATTTTGGTTTAGTTTATTCTATCATGAGAAAAGCGTGTGGGAGATATCCAATGTGAGTCATGATCAGAGTAGACATTGAAATCAGGGGAACTTAGCTCCATTAATTATTGCAGAAACAATAGTAGATTGCCAAACGAGACTCCTTTCTTCTTTACTAGAAGTCTTGCCAAACTCTCTCTAGCTTTCCAGCTTACATTTTACCAATGTAATGTGCTATTGGAATGAAGTTTTATGTTTTGACATTGTACACTGCCCTGGTATTTATTACATCTGGCATTTTATAAATAAAATATAAGTACAAAGGACATTTAATTGCTTCTGGAATTGCACGTATTTTACACCCTGTGCTGTGGCTGCTCTCAGGGAGACCTCTAAATTCTTACTGTATTATTAAGGCTGTAGCGCTAAGCTAGGAGCTTCTGTTCAACAGAATGCTCCATTGCACTACACTGAGTTCCAACCCCAGGAAGGAATTCAGCATGGTGCTATGGTAATCATTCTGTCAGTGCAAGCATTTCAGCTTTCCAGATAGAACAATCTGCTGTCTCCTCTCCCTGTTTGCTATTCTGGGGGTTCTTCTGACTCCCACCCCCAGCTAATCGGGGGCGGGGGAGAGAGAAAAGCCCTGTTTCGCTAGTGGAATTCCTTGTGTGGGCTTCTGCTAGTGGGACCCGTTACTTGAATCCAACCCCTAATCTTGAAATGGTATGCTTTCTTAAAAGATAAAGTACGATACAGATCTCGGGAAGTGTAGAAGATGCTCTCACATCCCTGCCGTTTGTTTTTCTTCTAGCTCTCTGCGCTTTGTAAGCATTTGGACAACTTATGGGAAGAAAACAGAGGCTGTGTGATCCTTTTTGCCTGGATGCAGTTTCTCAAGGAAGAAACACTTACATATCTGAACATCAGCTCGCCCTATGAGCCAAAGATATGTGACCAAGGACAAGAGCAAAGCCGGAAAGGCAAAGAGGATGGGGCAGGCGCCGCAGCCGCAGCCGCGCATGAAGAAGCCCTCGATGCAAGAGCCGTGCAGGATGTTGAGTCTCTGTCCAGCCTGATTAGAGAGATTCTGGACTTTGATCAGGCCCAAAGGCAAAAGTGCTTCAACAGTAAAATGTACACGTGCAATGTCTGCTTTTCTGAAAAGCTGGGAAGTGAATGTATGTACTTTATGGAATGCAGGCATGTGTACTGCAGGGCTTGCTTGAAGGACTATTTTGAAATTAAAATCAAAGATGGTGAGGTCCACTACTTGAATTGTCCAGAACCGAAATGTCCTTCCGTTGCTACTCCTGGGCAGGTAACAACAATCATTTCTATGGCAATCCATTAAAAAAAAAAAAAGAGTTTGATTTTTTTGTTTTTAAGTGCAACACTGTTCTCAGCCCCACAATAGATAGGCGTTAAACCCAAAGAGGAAAGCCTGGACTTCAGTGCAAAAGATTTGTGGCTGTAAAGGACTAGGACGGTAGTTTTGTGAAACAGATTTGCACTTAGACTAAGCACAAACTTAAATCCATGTTTCTAGTTTTCTGCAATGAGTTATTAGGTAGATGGCCGTTTGGAATGGGTGTGCTACCTGGAGCTTTTTGCGAATCTTTGATGCTGTCTTTGACTTGGTCTGGTACTGGAATAACTGGAACACATGTAGATAAGCTGTCTTGGGCACTGATTGCTCTCTCCTGTGATCTGCTAGCTGAAGGTTCTATGAAAAGGCAACAGGTCTAACTAGAAAGTAGTTGATGAATACCTCAGCAGTGTGTCTTTTGCTTCTCTTAGCAAAGCCATGACTGAATCTTGCTAGGCAAATAAAGCCAGTGCAGGCTCCTTTTTCCAATAGTTGAAACTCACCAACACTATGAGTTGTATCCAATGGCAGTCAAACTCAGCATAGACCCATTGAAATGAATGGACGTGACTAACTTGGGTTCATTCATTTCAGTGGATCTACTCTTGACTAGAATGTAGTTGGATCCAACCCTAAATTTTATTGATCACCTTCATTTTAGGTAAAAGAGTTGGTGGAAGAGGAACTCTTCGCACGTTACGACCGCCTGCTGCTCCAGTCAAGCTTGGATATGATGGCCGATGTGGTATATTGCCCACGACCATGTTGCCAAACACCTGTAATGCAGGAACCATCGGGCACGATGGGCATCTGCTCCAGGTGCAATTATGCCTTCTGTACGTTGTGTAAGATGACTTACCATGGCGTCTCCCGGTGTAAAGTCACTGCAGGTGAGTTGAACTCAACAAAAGTAGTATTTTAACTGTGAAATGTTTGGATGTTAAATGTATGTACTGTTCGCCTTTTGAGGTAGACACCTTTTTGATGATATTATTTCCGTAGGATCATTTAAGTGGAGTTCTCTGAAGGATATAATTTATTCTGTTGTCTTCTGCATAACATGTTCCTCCCACTGTTTCTGCTGTCTCTCCATTCACCCCATTAGAAGAAGTACTGCCTATAGTTTTGAGATTCTGTTGTGTACAGTCAGATGTGCACCAGAGTGGGGTGGGGAAACACTTTCCGGCCTGAAGGCTCCATTTCCAACCCTCCAAAGGCCACATGACAGTGGTTGACAGGGCTAGAGGCAGAAGAAGGTGGAGCAAGAAATGTACATTTTACCTTCGTACAGTAGAGCAACTTTCTACACACACCACACACTCCTCTTTATCTTCTACCCAGGTAAGCCAGAAGCGTTTTCAGACACACTTGATCCAGGTAAAAATGGTCGGGGTGCAAAACAGGGCCATTGAGGGGCATTGCCTGGAGAAAGAGAGCAAAGCTTGGGGAGAGCCCTGATAGCCAGACAGAGAGGGCTGAAGGGCTGTAATCGACTCCCCAATTAACTCAGTGCTCTTCATAAGCCCTGAACTAATTATGTACATCAATAGTTTTGGAAATCAATTTCTGGTGGTGGAATTGATTCAGAACCCATTGATTGCCCGTGATTCAGCTGCTTGTTGATTGTTCCATATGGATTAAGCTGACCGGTAATGGCATTTGTTTTGTTTGAGAAGTGGAGTTGGGCACGTTTGTGAAGTACGGTTTTGCCAGACTTGACCAGCGCCTTCTGTTCATTCTATTGTTTCCCTCAGAGAAGTTAGCAGACCTGCGCAAGGAGTACCTTGAAGCAGACGAGGCCACGCAGAAGTTTTTAGAGCAGCGCTACGGAAAAAGGGTGATTCAAAAGACACTGGAGGAAATGGACAGCAAAGAGTGGCTGGAAAAGAATTCCAAATCTTGTCCTTGCTGTGGGACTCCTATAGAGGTGAGAACAGGACAGAGGGGGAAATGCTTCAGAGAATCAAGGGCATTTGTTTTAAGGATACTAACACAGATTCTTATAGGCAAGTAACTCTGAAGGGAAACTATAATTCCCATTATGCGGGAAGCCATGCACTTCAAACGTGTGTTGGGTGTATTTTAAACATGTGGTGTAGATCTGCCCTAAGGCCTGAATTCAGACTTAGTCATGTTTAGAGTAGGCCCATTGGAATCAGTGGGGGTTAGGCTAGTTATGACTAATTTGAATCCCACTGATTTCCATGTGTCTAAGCATGCCCAAGTCTGGATTCAACCTAGACAAATTTAAACAGCATAAGTATAGAATAGACCCTGCTTTGTCAGATGCATGGTGTGTTCTTCTAAGTTGTGTGTCTGTGTACATCTGGGGCGAGAAGAATTGCAAGCTGTTTGTACATGTGTTTTTCTCTCTGTGCAATATACTAACACAGACACCCCCTGTGGAAAGATCTTAAACTGAAATCCTGTGTGATTGTGTGTGAGAGAGAGCAGAGTTAACTCCTTTTCCCTAGAAAGGAATCAGCAAGTTTCATATTTTTGAATGTGCTGTGATTACAGCACTGATGACTGTGGCATAAGACATAATTGATCCTTGAAGTTGTTTGCCTTTGTGTCTTTCTTTCTCTCCACTGTCAGAAGTTGGATGGCTGCAACAAGATGACATGCACTGCTTGTACACAGTACTTCTGTTGGCTTTGTATGGGTTCTCTGTCAAGAGGAAATCCATATATGCACTTTAATGATCCAGCATCTCCCTGTTTTAACCGGTATGTATACTTCTGCAATGCTGAAACTGTAAAGTTACATCAACTGCATTTGGGGCCAGTTTATTTGGATCAGCAGGAGCTGAAACCTAGAAGGATTTCAGTGCAGATTATCGTCTAGTCAGCCTTCTCCCTGACATGCTCTCTTTTGGCGACCAGGCTTTATATACGAGTTTTGTTTGTGCTGAGAACATGCTGCCTGAAGTGTTGGAATCCAAAGATGTGCTTTTTCAGCACATCTGTATGAATGGGTCCTTCAGTAGGAGCTGAAGGAAGCTGAACCTCAGAGTGCATGTCTTGTTACGTATAGGTCCGTTTGGATGGTTTCCTGATTCAAGAGTTGCTTTCTTGTGTGTTTCAGGCTATTTCGAGGTGGGGAAGATGATGGCAACTTCTGGGAGGAGGAGGGCTAGTCTGTACCCAGATCCCAAAGCGAAAGAAATCAAAGAAAAATGAAGTTGTGCCACCCATGCTGTGTTCAAGATTGTACTTAAACATTGGCACTTGAGAACAGTATGCATATGCACTGAAAGAGTATGCTTATAGAACTTTTTTTTTGTTTTTTGTCATCACTAAGTCTTCAAACTGGGGCTGGGGAACCATTTCCAGGAAGGGGGCTGGAACTTACCCCACAGGCCACTTTGATAGGTGGGTGGGGCTGCCCGCCTGTCACTCCACTGGCATCAAGTGTGGTGCAGGTGGGTGTGACTGGGGGGGAAATGGCCTGTAGGCCAGAGGTAATCTATTCCACTTTAAATTCACAAGCTGATTTGAAATCCTACGTAATTTTCAGATCCTTGCACCTTGAAAAATTAGAGCAAACTCACTAGAATGCCAGTTCTTGCAAATGTCTCTGCTGCCACTGAAACAAGTGGAAAGTGATTATTGTTATTTACCCATACTAAGGAGATAGCGGCATTATAAATGTGCATTGATATAAAATCAGGGATTCCTTAATGGTTCTTATGCTAGAACAGCAACTCATTCATGCTAGAATCTATTCCAGCAGGAGTGGAGATCCTCTCGGGCTTATGAACCTGAGAGCATGATTTCTTTGATTTTTACCTTTCATTCATCACCTCCTGAAGCACTTTCCAACACTGAGGTTATTTGAACTTTTGGGACTCTTCCCATATTCATTTCTGAATCTGGCCTTCCACACAGCATATAAATATTTGCCATCCTACTAGCTCACCCTACTGAAGGTCAACAGGTGCTATAAAATAGCTTCATATAAATATTAAAATTACATACAAATTCACCTTCACCATCACACTTGCCTCTAGATAATATAATTTACGGCTAAATGATGCACTGGCACAATAAGTCCTCAAACTATTGCCAGAATGCTAGTTTTAGGATTGTGTGAGAGTGGTGGCAGCCTCTGCCGGACAACCAGGTTGCCTCAAGTACTTGCAAAATGGGGAACAAGTGTCCTTGTCTCTGGAGAAGGCTTTGCAGTTAGTCAAGGAGGTGTTTATTTCTCCTGCAGAGAGAGATGTATACTCTGGAGATGCACTAAAAATCTTCATTATCCCAGAAGATGGAATTAAAGAAGAAACGGTTCCATTGTGAAGAGACTAAACCAGTGCACTATACATTTAAAGAATTTTGGTGTGCAACCTTAATTTTCACACAGGCTATATGCTGCTAGTATGGTATTTGATGTAATAAAAAAAGGAACCAAAACAGAAAACAAACAAAAACTATTTACTATGCTGCATCCCCAGAAGCTGTAGTTTGTCTTCCCCATGCAGGTGCCCTCCAGCTGTTTTGGATTATTACTCAGTTCTGGCTGGGGCTGATGGGTTCTAGTTCAAAACATTGGAGGCCAGGTTGGGGAAGACTACTCCAGGCAGTAATAGTAAGGAGAGTTCAAGAGCAGGCTGGTCACTGGCATGGGCAATGTTTTGGCACCATGGAGGACTTAGAAGTGGGGGAATTATATAGTCATTGTATATGATGCACTACAGAATTGTGGAAACTTTAAAAAATTGTGTGGCTTGCAATTCTTGCTTTCTCTGATTATGTTTCCTTAGTTCCCAGTCAGCCCCCAACAATGTTTCAATCCATCTTTCCAAATCCCACAGAATAAATACAACTTGATTGTTTTGGGAAAATGTACGGATTTTAATGTAAAAAAAAATTAGTAGCAAAAGCTCCACATTTTCACGTTCCATTCTTGGTTACAGATCATCTTTTTGTTATGCAAACAGATAACATGTTCAGATTTCCTTCTCGGTAACCCTTAAGTTATACAGTGCTCTGTTAAGGAGAATAGACAGCCTCTGTTTTCTCATTTGGTCTTTAAAAAGGGGGCAAAATGACAGTTAGCTTTGCAGCTGAACAATGCTTGGTGTAGCTGCATCCGTTGCTACTACCTCACCATTGAGAAAATGATATTTTCCAATAATGTGTTTTGCTGTCGACCGTTTCCAAGATACAAAGGCAGGGTGCTTTCAACCAGCTCCATGTGAGTTTAAGGACTGCATAACCAGTTGCTCCAAATCGTAAGAGGCTAGTCACTATATGGCTTCTTGGACTGCCTTTTTTCTCCTCCCATTTCTTTCATACTGTATAGTGGATCCACAAGTTTATTGTGAACAAGCATCAAACCTGAATTAATTGATACAAAACAGCAGACACTTAGTTCTAATGCAGATATTAGAGGAGTCCCTCAATAAAACTGGCAGTAGCTTCAAAGGAAATATTTCACATTCTGCCTAAACTTACAGTCACTACTAAAATAGCTTGGTGTGGTTACCAGTTGAAATGTTTTCAGTTCAGAGTAGTATACTGTACACCACTTAGAGCTTTAAAAACTATAAGCTGCACTCCTCAACATTTCTAAAAAAGAGTAGCAGCAAGTAAAGGGAAAATAATTAGTGACTCCCCAGTGAGGTAATAGCTTTGCAAATTGGAGATTGTACCCAAACCTGCATTGCATGTTATGGTCTCAGAAGATTCTCCTTGTATTTAAGGCTCCCAAAAGATAAAACAGGTGAGCAGTGAGCAGTACTTAGCAACCCAGGGGGAGTTCTTGTAAAGTCCTTTTGAGTTACCATATTTCACTTCCGTGTTTTAACGGCTGTTTACACACAAGGTGACCGTCTCTCGTCCTCATTACCAAGCTTCTTACCTTGAAAGTACTTCACAGTTTTTACTTTAAGTTCCAGCGTGGCATCTTCATCGCATACAAAGACAGTGCGGGGATGTTGCTGAAAGGCAGATACTGTCCACATGTGATTTACTCCTTCCTCAATAGCCTTGTACAAAGCAAATGCCTTATGGGCTCCTGTGATTAGAATCATAACCTGAATTGTAAGACACAACAGGGAACACGGTTAGGCTTAGGGCTTTTGTCACCTTCCGAGATAAGAAAAATGTTCCTTGCTACTCTCTAATATGTACAGATTTTAGGGTGGAGAAGGAGATAAGAGAGGGACGTGATTTAGAAAACCAACATTTTACAAATAAAGTAAGGCACAAAAGTTAGAGGATACTACCAATATTTGAGAGTGTCTGCCAAAAAGGGGCAGAGACAGCAAAGTAGCAACTAGAGCTATCAACATTGGAATATTCATCATAGTCAGTGTGACGTTGATTTCCACTCTAAGATTCCAACTACCATCAGCCCCCGTCAGTATTGCTAATATGGATGATAGAAACTGGTAGTCCAGCAACTTCCGGAGGCCACAGGTTCCCTATCCCTGAAATTAAGGTACTGTTGTGCTAACCTCTCTGGCATCCATGACTGTACCCACTCCAACTGTAAGTGCCATTGTGGGCACTTTGGAGAGGTCTCCATCAAAGAATCTGGCATTAGCCAATATCGTGTCCATAGCTAAGGTCTTGACTCTGGTTCTAGACACCAGGCTTGAGCCTGGCTCATTGAAGGCAATATGACCATCTGGGCCAATACCTGTAATGGAGACAGTTCACGTTTAGAATCTAGCGAAAAGAAAGGAAACATCAAGAATACAAGAAAGTGATTCAGGATTAGGTGCTTATTGGGCTCAAGAAAACTTAACATGGAAGTTGCAAGTCGGCTTTAGCTCATAAACCATCCTGTGAAAATTTACTTGCCCCTGATAAACATTTAGGAAAAGCATCTTCTCCAATATCCCAGGACCTGACAAAGTCACTAAAAAAAAGGAATGGCTTTATCTACAGGGTAAGCAGAAATAATGAAACTAGATTGCTACAGCAGTCTTCAGTTAACTGACACTATCTGCCTCTTCCGTACATGTGTGTACACCACTTGGTATCTTATCCCTTGATGGTTCATCACTCTGGTTTGCAGCATAAAATGAACTGCTTTCGCTACAAAGCACATGCTCTGAGGTAGACACAAAAAGCCGTTGTGGCAATTTGCTGATCTACGAAGGTCATTTCACCACCTGCAAGTCACTGAGGGATGGCCACGCATGTTCAGACCTTGCCCCCTCTCAATGTTCACCTCCAACAAAGAGTTCGATTCCTCCAGCCTCTTTGATTTTTCTTTCAAAAGCCTCACACTCTGCTTCTAGGTTAGCTGCATTTCCATCCAGAATGTGTGTGTTTTCAGAGGAGATGTCAATGTGCTTGAAGAAGTTGTTCCACATGAAGGAGTGGTAGCTTTCTGGGTGATCCCTTGGAAGACCTGACAAGAACACAAGGTTAGCTCAGGGCTATATATTCCTGCATTTCTGTGAAATGAATACAGCGGCAACAGCCCAATGTTCTCCTGTAGTATCCAGCAGGGGGGAAAGTTGAATATTTTATTGTTGGTTTTGCAGATGAGTTTCTCTCCAGGTGAGTTTCACACTCCACAGATATTATGTCACTACTTGACGACCCACGCTCCTCCTCGCCCGTTACACAGCAGTCTAAAGTTCACTCTCTATGGACCCATGATAAAAAAGTGTGGCCAAACAGAACAGAACAAATCTTTGGAGCTTGTTTTCTAATTCACAGCAAGCAGGGATTGTGGGAAAGTGTTCGTCTACATTACACACACTAAATTCTTGCTTCCTCCCCCAAAGGCTAAGTTTAAAAACATGGAGAAGCAATTTAATGAATATTCCTTTTATATATATTTTGGGTGCTTTGTCAGCTTGACTGAAAGCAACAGCAATGTGAAACAAACAGACCCCTGCCCACAAAAAAACAGAATGCTGAACTAACCATGTTTGGAGATAAGCAGGAATGGATTTTTGAATGAAAGGACCATGAGCCCTGGTACTAGAAACAAAGCCCTTTGCTCAGTAGCTACTCAGAGGCACCTGGATCTTTAATTGGACATGTATGTATGGAACTTTACAGTGGTACCTCTGGTTACGAACAATTTGTTCCGGAGGTCAGTTCTTAAGCTGAAACTGTTCTTATCCTGAGGCATGCTTTCGCTAATAGGGCCTCTCACTGCACGTGTGCCTCTGGTGCGGGATTTCCGTTCGCTTCCTGGGGCAAAGTTTGCAACCAGGAACAGCTACTTCTGGGTTAGCGGAGCTCATAACCTGAAGCGTTCGTAACCAGAGGTACCACTGTATGTCTTTTACACCTACAGTAGCTCAGATTGGTGGATCTTGAGGTTTTAGTAAAACAACAACAACAAAACAGATCCTGCAAGCCCAAAGTCTGCCCTCCCCTGTTTTGCTGTGCTTCATTCTTTGCTACTAGAGTATGCTATTTGATAGTCCACTCTTCATTTCTGAAAGACAGTTCTTAGGTTTTCAGCATTCATACATTATCTCAGTAATCCTCACAACCATCCTTGCAAGGTGGGCTGTTATTATTGTCCTCATATTGCAGATAGGGGGAAAAGGCTGGGAGAGAGTGACTTGCTGCTAAGTGGCGAGATGCGAACCAGCCATTTCCTGGTTCATAAGCTCGGTTCCTGAATCACTGCAGTACTGTATAGAAATAAACCCTTATTGAGTTGATCACAGTAAATAAATGCTGTGGGCAAAGAATAGCAATTATTTCTCCCCCCTGCAGTTCTCAACAAAAAAGTGACTCACCCACATACTCATCCATATTGAAAGTTTTCACATACTTGAAAGAAAGATCTCCATTCTTGCAATATTCTATCAGTTTTTTGTAGCATCCTAACGGAGTACTTCCTGGAGATTAAAAAAAACCAAAAACACCCTTGCACAGTCAGGGAGATCTAAATCTGGACCACAGAAATGGTAAGCAGCATGCATTTGACTAGAAATCACTGTGTGTGCTACTACAGAACAGCAGCTCAGATGCCTGTGAGGCTGCTCAGTTCTAGCTCCACCTGATTCATTCTAATCAGTACTTCCATCAAGGTCTCCAAGACCATATTGGCACCCCAGCTCCAAAACACATTTTCTTGAAAGTGTTTTCTGTCAATAGTACTGGAAGAGAAAATGATTTCAATCTGTGCATATACAGTGGGGTAGTACACGAATCAGGAATTTGGGGACGGTGTATGACGCAACACAAATAAGCCAATTAAGTGACAGAATCCTCATCACATGATCTAACAGAGTCCATAGTCTGTACATTCCAAGGAAGATGCTATCCCCCACCATCATTGCACCCCATCTTCCAGTTCTACATAGCCCATAGGATTTTGAGGCTGATTTGGGGGTATGTAAAACTGGGAATAATATGTGTAGCATGTGAGGGTAGTGGAGCAGTCGCACAACTGAAAAGTGTTTAAAAAAGAAGTTTCCATGGATCTTGATTTAAAAGTAGTTTCCCAAAATAGAGATGCCCTCAGAATAGTCACTTCTCATAAAGAATGGCAAATACCCTATATAAAGAAGAATGTCTATTATATAGGCTGAGTCCTCCAGCTGACTAATAGCAAAGTAAATTAGGGGTGGAAAACTGAGGTAAGAGCCCTTCCATCACAAAGCCAGGCTTGTCACTTACCAGTGGGAAGTCCAAGGGTGAAATATTTGCTTGGACCAGGACTAAACTGGATGATCCGATTCCTAATGTACTTTGCTGCCCATTCACTGGCTTGAGCATAGTTCTCTAGAATGATGAGTTTCATGCTAACCTGCAAATTTGAAAGAAAGGTTTGATTAACTGATTGCTAGTAGGTGGCAAGCTATCAGGAGCATCACCACCTACCATTCCCTCCTAAAGCCAACAGCACTTATTCTGCTTGGATGCATTTGGCCTGCTAGCCTAAAACTGCTCCCAGGTAAAAACAGTAATAAGGGTATTTTTAGGAAAGAAAATGCAGCTTATACAGAGTCTAAGGAGGGCAAACGAGATCAGCTTGGAACAGTGATCCTGAAGGATCAGACACAAAAGTGGTTTCTCTCCTGCAGGTCAACAACAGTACACTGTGAGGGGCTGTAGCTCACTGGCTGAGGAAATATATGCAAAAGGTCCCTGGTTCAACCCCAGCATCTCCAGTAACGGCACTCAAGTAACAGGGATGGACAAACCTCTGGTCCAGATCCTGCAGAGCTGCCATTGCCAGTACACATGACAGCATAAGACAGATTAAAATTGCAGAGTTTTGAAAAACTAAAAAATAGAGTGCGAGATTGGCTCCATTATTACCAAATAATGGAGGCGTACAATTTGGATAAAAAAATTGGCTTCCAGGTGGAAAAATCAAAATTGGAAACAGAACTGTTAGATCCCAAAACAAAGAACTTGTCAAGAATGTATAACTTGCTGTTGAAATGGAATACTCAGGATGAAACGGTGAAATCAACTATGATTAAATGGGCCCAAGATGTAGGACATAATATTATGATGGCTGACTGGGAACAGTTATGGACCACAGGTATGAAGTTTACGGCATGTAACACCTTAAGAGAGAATATAATGAAAATGATTTACAGGTGGTACATGACACCAGTCAAGCTTGCAAAAATATATCATTTGCCCGATAATAAATGTTGGAAATGTAAAGAGACTGAAGGCACATTTTTTCACCTTTGGTGGACGTGCCCAAGGATTAAGACATTCTGGGAGATGATTTATAATGAAATGAAAAAGGTATTTAAATATACCTTTCTGAAGAAACCAGAAGCCTTTCTCCTGGGCATGGTCGGCCAATTGGTGCCAAAAAAGGATAGAACTTTTTTTATGCATGCCACAACAGCAGCAAGAATACTCATCGCGAAGTATTGGAAGACACAAGATCTACCCACCCGGGAAGAATGGCAGATGAAGGTGATGGACTACATGGAACTGGCGGAAATGACTGGCAGAATCCGAGACCAGGGAGAAGAGTTGGTGGAAGAAGATTGGAAGAAATTTAAAGTTTATTTACAGAAACATTGTAAAATTAAGGAATGTTAGAAGGATGTTGGAATGAAATAATGCGGTTTTAGCAGAAATGCTATAAAGCATTAAGAAAAAATAGATTGCTAAATGGTGAAGGAGGGAAAGTAAAGTTACATTATATTAAAATAAAATAGAGGACAAAAACTGGGAAAGATGGAAAGGATTTGCTGAAATAGCTAATTGAACTAGAATACAAAAAAAGGAGGTGTGAGGAGGTCAAGGAAATAAGCAAATGAAAGATAAGTTATGGGAAGATTCATTGTATTTTTTCTTTTTTTTCTTTCTTTTCTTGTTTCTTTTTTATTATTGTGATGTGATGTTTTATATTTCTTAAATATGCTGTTTTTTAATTTTTTCTTTTTGTAACTCTTTAAAATTCAATAAATATTATTTTTTTTAAAAAGTACACATGACAGCATAGCATGTACTGCAAGAGCAGCAGTGGATGAATCTACTCAGCTGAAGCTCTTCTTTCATCAAAGCCTTGGGTTATTCCATTTCATGCCTCACTCCACTCACTTCCTCCCCTTTTCCTCTGAAGTCTAGACTCTAGTCCTGTGATGCCTCAGACACCTGCACTTCTTCCTTGTTGCCAAGTGTTTCTACAACATCTACACTCATCTTTTAGCTCCGATTTCTGCCTCTCCTCCTCCTGTGTTTCTCCCCTGCTACTGTAACATACACATTTGGCACAAGTTGGGTGGGTTGTAAGCCAGCGCACAGGGTTTGCTCTTTTCAGATTCATTTGTGTACTATGTCGAGTGTTGAGTAGATTAGATCAACAGAAGAGAAGTGGAGGCAGAAGAGGGCATGAAAGAAACAATGTTCATGCAAAATTCACTGGTAAAAAAAATCCCATCGGGCATAGACTGTGATGGTCCAAGAAAAGCTTTGCAGAAGAAGTAGTTTTGAAACAACAATAACAATAGCAATTATTATTTGTTTGTACCTCGCCCATTTGACTGGGTTGCCCCACTCACTCTGGGCGGCATCCAGCATATATAAAAACATAATAAATAGCACCAGAGGGGTGATCTGAAAGGGAAAAGTGGTTTGCTAGATGATGAAAGGATCTCCAAATAACCCAATGAGAAGGGCAAGTGAAACAAAGGTGTTCCAAACTTTTATAAAGAGCCTGCTAAATCAGGCCATCCTGTTTTCACAGTGGCTAACTGGATGCCAGTGGGAAGCCTGAAAGCCAAACCCAAGTACAAAAGCACCCTCCCTACTTGTGATTCTCAGCAACTGGTATTCAGAGGCATAGGCCTCCAACCGTGGAGATAGAACATACCCAGCGTGAACAGTAGGCACCATGAGCAAAGACCCGGACCTGGATATTTTCCCAGTACAATTCCCACCTGATGTTGTGTGTTTATATAACACACACACATTCATATACCCTCTAGTGCACTGAGCAGAAGGCAGTAAGCAACAGGTTGCACGGGCACTTTTAGATCCACTAACACAAAAGCAGCTAACAACACCTAGGGAAGAGTGCATATCTGTCCCCCACATTATATCGATTGATCAGAAACACGGCCAAGTCTTAGTTCCTGATTCATAGCCATCAACCCAGGTTACGTGTAAGCGTGTCAAACTTAGAAAGCCCTCTTTCCCCTTTCTCTCTTCACCCCCCCCCCCCCCGATCGCGAGGCGGATGAGCAGTTTAAAAGGAATGTTGCTAGGAGGCATAGCGGAAGCCACTGCAGGAGGGAAGTAACCTTTAACTCCTACCTGCATGCCATGGGCTCAGAGATCAGAGACCAAACCGCGGGAAAGGGAACTTTATTTTAGAGCACTAGATGGAGAAGAGACGACGAGGAGGGAGACAGACAGACAGACAAACACACGCAAAAGGACCCCTCTGTACCAGCCACGCAAGGCAGCCGCGTCCGGCAAGAGACCCAGGTCCTGCAACAGGTACCGATCTTCCGGTGCGGAACACGCCTCGACACGTCATTCAGCGCGTCCACACATGCAGGAACAGGCAACACCCCGGATCCGCATCCTGGATCGCTGCCCACACCGAACGCCGGGCATATTTCCTCCCACTTACCGTTCCGCTACAGCCCCGACTTCTCCAGTTTACTCCTGACCCGCCTCCTCGTTGAGCCTAGGCGGTCATGTGAACGGCGGTGGGTCACGTGGAGAGAAGAGCCGAGCCAAGAGCAGAAGCTCCGCCCCCGGCCCCCTCCCCTTCGATCGCCCGGCTGCGGCCGCCGTGCAAACAGGAACTGCTGAGCTTCGCACTTCTTCCTCCCTTCCGCTTAGCTCAGCACTTCTTGGGGGGGGGGGGGGAGCCGAAGGCACTTCTGCTTTGCAAGCGGGGCCAGGCTGGCGACGAAACGGTGTAGTGTGTCGAGCGCTCTGCTCCGACGTGCCAGCCAGCCACGACCTTTCCCAGGATACTCCATTCTGTTTGCCCTCCCATCCCACTTTTCTAAGTTTTCATTGTTTATTTCCTCGAAGGTGTTGGAAACTGCTTAGAGGTTTTCATCAGTTGAGGTTGGTTTGTAAATCTTGTCAGATAATACTAATGAAACAAATTCCTTCCTCAATTTTTTTCCTCGCAAGAACCCAGTGAGGTAAGTAGGTTAGGTTGAGAGGCAGTAACTTGCCCAAGGCCACCCAGTGCATTCCATGACGGGGTGGGGATTTGAACCCAGGTCTCCCAAGGCGCTAGTCTAGCCCTTTAACCACTGATTACTATTGCTGTATCTGATACAAGCTCAGACTGTTTGTTCATAATTAAATCTTTGGTCCAAAGGAGTTTTACAAGCTTATATGAATTCTGAAAACCTACTGAGTCTGTCCATCCTCATCATCAATATGAAACAGACACACTTAGTGCAGCAGTTTCTGTAATTTGGCACAGTCAAGATTGTTAAACAGTCTTAATGGGGTGCAAACAGGCAAAGCTCTTGACAGTATCTACAACCAGTCTGGACTTTGCCTTTGTAAGCGGTTGGTACAAAGTAGACAAACTTCAATGGCCAGCATAGGAATGGGTTACCAGGCAGACCACAGTGGATTCTTCCAGCAATAGCTCTTGGAGAAAGCAGATCAGTCACAGGAGCAGAGGAAGCTACTTTATCTGTGTCAAAGCATTGGGCCATCCAGCTCAGCTTTGTACTAAACTGATTGACAGTGTAGAGTTTTAGACAGGAAGCTTTCCCAGCCCTACCTGGAGATGCTAGGGACTGAATCTGAGTCTTAGACATCCCAAGCAGATGTTCTGACACTGTACAATGGACTTGCTACCACCTGCAAGGGAAACTTGATTTTTAACACTGCTCTTTTGTGCGAATGCATTTCTGTGCAAAAGAGCCGTTTTAATTGTAAAAATAGAAATACCATAAATGTGCCTTCAGCAGTTGGTTGTGGGGAAAGGCAGACTGCAGCCTTTCCTTTGGGCTGATGGAAACAAAATGGAAGTAGGGGGCATGGAGGGAGACAGCACCCAGAAAAACATCACCACAGGCAGGGAGTTTCTTCATCACAGAAACTCAGTTCCGGCTCCTCTCAGGTGGGCACTTCCTACTGTAATTCTTGTGCCATTCATTGAATTTTAATAGGCTTCTGAGGAAAATAAAGTAAGATGCTGCCATCACATTTCCTTATGAAAGAAAACTTCTTATACAGTTTTATATGGATAAATATGCAAATAAGTTCTATTCTGGTGATGTTTTATAAAGGAGTCACATGTCATTCTGGAATGACCAGCACCACCCGAAATGTAGGAATATATGCAAGGAGACTTTAAATGATGAGGAAGATGTCTGGGTGTTGGCAGGCTACTTCAAGGCCCTACTGTAAATACATTCAACCCTAGTATGATACTTTAATACACCTTCAGTTTGTTCACCTCTGCAGGAAAATTAGGGAGGATGAAAAAGGCATTTAATAGGTTATACTGATTACCTCAATGAAGAAAAAGCTGCAAGTCACATACACATAAGGACTGTGATCTTATCAAGTCAACATTACAATAATAGGGTGCCCTTCTTGGGTTTGGGCTTATTAATCAAGGAGCTTTTTTTGTCCTTACCGTTAATATCCTGAAGGAGTGCTTCTTCCTATACAGTGGTACCTCAGGTTACATATGCTTCAGGTTACATACGTTTCAGGTTACAGACTCCGCTAACCCAGAAATAGTGCTTCAGGATAAGAACAGAAATCGTGCTCCAGAGGCGCAGCAGCAGTGGGAAGCCCCATTAGCTAAAGTGGTGCTTCAGGTTAAGAACGGACCTCCGGAATCAATTAAGTACTTAACCCGAGGTACCACTGTACTGTCCTGTCCTGCTCATGCATTTAAGATCTTCAACTAAGGCCCTTCTCCAAGTGCTGTCTCTTTGTGTATTGCGTTATACTTGCAGGAAGGAGACAGCCATTTCCTGGTGGCACTCTAATTTTGGAAAACCCTCCTTAGATAGACTTGACTGGCATTGACATTACAATATTTTTGAAAGCTGGTCAAGTCTTTCTTGTTTGCCAAGTCATTTTAAAGGGGCTACATTTTGTTTTTAGCTATTGTATTTTGATCCTTGTTTTATGATGGCTTATGTTTTGGTTTTGTGATGGTTTCTCTTTTGCTTTTATGGTATTTTATGATTGATGTTATAACTGTACGCCAGCCTTCCTTTGCTCTGCAAGCTATCATATACTTGCTAAGCAAACAATAAAGATAAAATTCAGTTAAATAAAACATAGAAATAGGAAGGTACAGACTAACGGTACTTTGGAAGCTGTTTTACATGTGATGTTCCTAACTGCAGGAAATAACAGACACAATATACCGTATTTTTCGCTCTATAACACGCACCCGACCATAACACACACGTAGTTTTTAGAGGAGGAAAATCCGTAGGCATGCCACCCATAGGCATTCCCTCCATAACATGCACAGACATTTCCCCTTACTTTTTAGGAGGAAAAAAGTGAGTGTTATGGTGCAAAAAATACAGTAATTCTCTTGCATAGCAGTTTCAGATGACAACATCCAGGCATTTTGCTCTTATCAAGTCAGAAACCCATTTGTTACTAATTGCTGAAAATTAGCAGGTATAAAATCATGTTTATAGGTTCACCATACATCACTGCTGCCTTTATCATCAGGTTTGGTTATACAGCTCCTGGATAATTCATACCATATTTGGAAAGCAAATGACTAGAGACAGCCTTTATTCAAGAGATGTTTCCAACTTCATAGTTTCTTTCATCCCTGATGTTCCAACAAGGCAGCCTTTTACCAACTTTCTTTCAAATTACCAAAGCATCAAGAAAAAGAGCTCCAATGGGGTCAGATTTTTCAAAACTAATTTTAAATCCTATGATCCAGACAAGCTAAGTGCAGCTACATTCTGTTGGTTACACTGAGAGAGTTGAAAAGTTGCATATGGTTGCAATCCTGTACACATTTATTTGGGAGTAAGTATAATTGAATTCACTAGACTTTGCAGTTAACATGCATAGGAAGGGGCCGTAAATCTTCTATTAGTATCAACAGGACTAAAAAACACATGACTTTGGCTGTATTGAATCTGCCATATCTGATTACTAAATAGCTGAAGAGGAACCTAGCCAAAGTTAACCATTTTTAGGTCCTGTTGATTTCTATTTATTGTCATTGATCTCTTTATACAATGAATTGTGAATAAAGAAGATGAAGAATTCCTTCAGAAGATGCAACAACTGGAGCAGGTACTGAGTGTGCATTTGGTTTACGAACTCTGCAAAACCGGAAGTAGTGTTACGGTTTGCAAACTTTACCTCGGTCTACAAACGGAAACCGAATGGTGGAAGTGCACTGGCGGCGGGAGGCCTCATTAGGGAAAGCGTGCCTCTGTTTAAGAATGGTTTCAGTTTAAGAAAGGACTTCTAAAACGATTAAGTTCATAAACCGAGGTACCACTGTATAACCAATATTCCCCTGGAGCTGTGCATTGCAGAGGAAGATCAGAAGTGGACCCCTTGACTTTCTGCAACGCTTGTCATCCTTCCATTGAAGAACCCATGATATGTTTGGGAGGAACCCCCGAGTTCCCTAGAACACAATTGAAAAGGCATGGCTAAAAATAACCACAGAGGTGTATGCTGTATGTCAGTGTCACTAATTATTAGACAGCCATTTGATATAGTGAACAACAGGTTCCAATGTCTTTGACTTCATTAGTGTTTTCATTTGTTCTCTCTCTCAAGCTCCCCTTTTTCCAGTTTTCTTGGTATGAAAAGTGACAAATTAAAGGTATAATTCCTCATCTATCAGCTAGTTTAGCTGACCACTTGGCAAGGTAGAATCAACAGCTAGCAGGTGAACATTTAGAGTGCGTTGGATTGGCAAAGGCTGTTTTATTAGGATCAACAAAAATATCATTTATTCTTTTCATAGTTCTTTTTAATAAAACAACAGCAACTTATAAAAAAGCCAACAACTAGCAGGTGAAGAGGAATCTGAAAATATCAGAAATATTTTATACTAGAATACTTGAATCTGATTTGTAAAGTAAATGCTTTTAATAACATTTTCAATTTGGTTTGTATTTCAGTACCTATGGCATTTTATGATGTTTCAGTATGGGGGGGGGAGTTTTACTTTCACAGAAAACAATGACTTAAATTTCTTAACAAATTTCCACTTGTACAAACCCCAGAACAAAATTGTTGATATGGGTGAAGAAAGCTGGAATGACGCACACTGAAGGCTTCGCTTTTATGTTACCTTCTGAGTACAGTGGTACCTCGGGTTACATACGCTTCAGGTTACATACGCTTCAGGTTACAGACTCCACTAAGCCAGAAATAATGCTTCAGGTTAAGAACTTTGCTTCAGGTTAAGAACAGAAATCGGGTTCCAGCGGCACGGCGGCAGCAGAAGGCCCCATTAGCTAAAGTGGTGCTTCAGGTTAAGAACAGTTTCAGGTTAAGAACGGACCTCCGGAACGAATTAAGTACTTAACCCGAGGTACCACTGTATGCTCTTGCAGAAGGGATGGCAAATTGTGAGCTGGGAGCACACCAGCCTGGCAGCTCCTGTGATCTAAAGGAGGAGCGGATGTGATATCAGAGGTTCAGAATGGTACCTCACTCCCACCTAGAACTTTTTAAATTGCGCCATGAGCTCCCACGGCCTGACTTTATATAAACAGGAAACCTGGAGGGATTCACAGGATCAAACGAAGTCAAGCCAGGCTCTAACTGGCTGTGTGCACCGTAATTACAATGTATTGTGTAATTGTCAATCTGAGCTGCCTAATGACTGTTGATGCTGATTGTCCTTAGGATAACCTTAGCTCCCGTTCTCCATCCGTAAAATGGGCAGCCGTTTTTTAGCTGCTTAATGCCTTGGCCATACAATATGGGACTTGAGCAAGCAGGCTGGTGTGGCTTGTCTTACTCTCTTATCTGCTCTTTGGGCGAGTTAACTGGTTTTTGGATTCTGGCACAGTCCGAATGATGTGGTTATAAATTAGAATCACTGGGTGAGGTGGGGGTGTCTGTTCAGATGATGGCACTGCTTGGTGTCAGGGCGCTGGCAAGCAAATGTGGCTGCCATGCACCTCAGTTAAAGGGCTTGTTTCCTGCAAGCTCCATCACTGGGGCCATCACTTGAACCCAGGGCCAGATTTAGGTTTGATGAGGCCCTAAGCTACTGAAGGTAGTGGGACCCTTTATATGTCCAGCTGTCCTTTGTCAACAACAAATTGTTGCTTTTTTGTGTTGAATATATGCTATATGGTAATTTATGTACCTAATAGGTACTGTTGCTGTATGTAGGTTTTATTTTATTTGTTTTTTATCTTATATTTTGGAAATGTACATCCAGTTTTTCCCCCCTTTAATTTTTTTTGGGCCCCCAAGAGAGTGGGGCCCTAAGCGATAGCTTGTTTAGCATATAGGTAAATCCGGCACTGCTTGGACCCAAGGAAGGGTGTCGTTGCTATTACTGTCCGCATTTCAAGATCAGCGGCGAAACACTCTCCTCACGCCTCATGGCGAGGATAAAACGAGCTCAAGGGAGGAACACTGGCATCAGATCAGTTCACGAGATGCGAAAAGCCGCGAGAGATTTTGCGCGGTCCTTGCGGACCAAATGAAACCAGGAGGAGAAACGAAGCCGCGAGGGATTCTTGTGCGGAAGGTTCGCGCCGCGGCCTGGGGAAAGAGCGGGCGCGAGGGCCGTCGGAGGCGCTGCTGCGCCGGGGATGGCGAGGGGGCAGCAGCACGAGAGCGGCTGCCTGGAGGAGGAGGAGGAGGAGGAGTGTGACGGAGGAAGGGGAGGAGGACGGCGACCAGAAGGGGTTGGCGCTTCAGCAGGCAGCAGCAGCAAGTGACCTAGCTGGCTGGCTGCCGCCCTCCTCCTCGGCCAAGACCAGCCCCGGCAGCGCCCATTCGGGGACGGGAGTTCGCGTGAACCGTCCCCAGCGGGGCCCCCGCCCGGTCTCTCTTTGCGCCCGGCACTCCAGGCTAATTCTCTCCCGCCTCACTCAGCACGCTCGCTTCTTGCCCAGCGCCATGGCGGCGGCGGCAGCGGCAGCAGCAGCAGCAGGCGAGCCTAGCAGCGGCGGCGGCCGATACCAGCAGGTGAGGAATGCGCTGGGCAGGACGGAGCACGGCAGCGCCGAGGCTTCTTAGGCCGCGGGAAGCGAAACGAAGAAGGAGCTTGTGGGGATCTGGGGGGGGGGGAGAGGCTGCTTGTCTACGACCCACATTGAAGACGTGGAAGCCGAGCCCGGAAGGAGCGGGGGAATCGCTCTCTGCCCCCCCCCGTCACGGGCCTAATCTTGATTTTTTTCCTATCTACTCCAGAACAGGGTGGTCCCCTCTCCCCGTCTCCAGCTGCTGCTGCTGCTTTGGCCCTTTATTTGTGGGGCCGTTTCATCTGTTTTCCCGCCCCCTTGCTTCGGATCGCCCACCCCGGTTCCCCCTCCCCTTGCTTCTGAAGGCCAGAAGCGGAAGCCGCCCCGATGAGAAGACGGCGGGGAGGCCCTTTGGCTCGGGGATACGAGGCCCTAAGTTAAGCCTCCCTTCGCTTTGCTGGGGAGGGACCGTGTTTTTAAGATCAGCGAGTTGCCCGGCTGCCTTCGCATTCCCACCCTCGACAGTCGGGTCATTAAAGGCAGAGTAGCAGGGGGTATAAGTGCCCCCCCCCCGGCCTTTCAGTGTGTACTTGCTTATTATACGGGGATTTTAACCAGCCTCGATTGCCAATGATGCGGAGATGGCTTGGTAGTTATCCCGGATTAATTGACATCGAATACAATGAAAAGATCCTGAAAGCAATTCGATCCTGGCGTTTGTCACCTCCACCCCCCCCCCCCGCTCGCCAATCCCGAGTTTTCCAATGTAAGCAGTAAAAATCCAGCAGCACCAGTTTGCGGGCGTTTGTTGTTTTTAGGTTAAGGGGCGTTATGCATTCCTATGATCCTTAAATGTTCACAATGTTGAGATGTAAACACAGCCTCCCAGCCCACCTTGTGCCAGGGTTTTCCAAACTTGGGCCTCCAGCTGGTTTTGAACTACAGTTCCCGTCATCTCTGACCACTGGTCTTGCTAGCAAGGGATCATGGGAGTCGTAGTCCAGAAACAGCTGGAGGCCCAGGTTTGGGAAACCCCAAAACACTCATGAATTCCAGCATTTGGGATTGTGTTTTGTAATTCCAAGGTCTCTTCTGTCCAAAACTCTGAAGACAATACTGAACTAGTTTGACTAGTGGAATCAGTACACAGTAGCTTCCTATTTTGATTAAATTTGCAAAAGCAAAAGTTGACATTTGCAGAAAAGAATTGGTGGTGGGGTGGCATTCCGTGGATAGTTATACATTTTCAGCATATTTCCTCTTCATGGGAATTACAGAATTTCCAGTGCTTCAGTAAATTTAGTGCTCTGAAAAGGCCCAAACTGTCACTGGGATGCCTTTGTTTATGCTTTCCTGAGTGCAGTTGGTGGGAGCCAAGGAGAAATGATAGTTGTTAATCTTTGTTTGCAACCTAAATATATGGAAGCAGGGAGATTTCTATAAGTGGGTATCTTCCCACTAACAACCACATATAAAAATAACGATGCAGCTTTTTGTTTTTACTTTACTCTTGTTTTAATCGGTTGGTTTTATGTTTTGAGTTGACCCTTTCCCTGTTTATTCCTGGACTGAAAATTTCAAGGCAACAAATGGTCGTCTATTAGTGCCTTTTTGAGGACATTTTTTTGGGGCTGAACAAATAATTACTCATAATTTGCTTACTCAGCAGTTTCAGATCCCTATTGAAGGGAGTCTTGCAAGCAAAGCTAGATTTCTCAGGTTAGAGGGAGGAAATTTATTTTATTTGGAATTAATGCTTATACATGTAGTTTAGCATACAGTATGCTAGGCCTAAAAATGACTCTGTCTTCCTTGCAGCGACATAAAATTTAGATGTGTCTGATGAGTGATTGATGATTAGCTCTAGAAGACATGCATTTCTGTGATAGCACATGGCCTTTTAACACTCTTAGTTGTGTGGTATTTTGTTAGAGCACATGATTGTTGGCACTAGATGACATTGTTGGAAAGAGAGATAAGCGCTCTTCCCTCCTAATATGAGCTCTAGCTGTGTTAGCACCCTATGCTCAAAATTATGGAATTTTTCAGATTTAATTAATGTATTCTACTTTTTATTTCATTTCTGCAAATTCTGTAAACAGGTCCCCACACCCCATATTTTCAGCCATGCTTCACCAGATGAGGATTTGAGTTTGAATTTATAAATTTAATTTGTTAGGATTCTGAGAACAGTCTCCAGACTACATATTGCCCACCACCAGCATAAATGATGGTCCTAACATTACACTTTGTGAGGGAAACATATTAAAATTTTCAGGACAGAATATTAGTTACTAACAATAATTAGTATCAGTGAACGTGAACATTCTGGACTACTTTGTTTTTTAGTTACTTGCATATTCTGTTCAAGGAACTTGGCAATATACATGGAGTTTCCTCTTAATTTTTTCTTACAATAACTCTGTGATGTAGGTTATGCTGAGAGCTAGTTACTGATCTAAGGTCACCAAGTGAGTGTTATGGTTGTATGGGAATTTGAACCTATGTCCAATTCCCAGCAATGTCTACTACATTACACTAGATCTTCTACCAAATCATGCAGCACCTCATAGTATATATTTCAGATTTTGATTTTGTATCTGTTTCTTCAACTTCCCTGTTGTACCTCAGATTTGGGCCTCTCAAGTGGAAATAAGATGTTTGACTTATCTGCAGCTTATACAGTTCATACTGTATTGTTGTTAAAAAAGATCCAAGAGGTTATGCATTACATATAGTTTTATTGTTAAAAATGATCCAACAGGTTATACATTTCATATTCTGTGGCTGTTAAAAAAGCTCTACAATTTGTACAATCAATAACAGTAAAATTGATTGGGTGTTATCTTCTTTCATTAGTGGTACTTAGCAAAGCTTGAAAAAATAGGACTGCTTATCCTGTAGTTGTTTTCCTACCATGCTTACCTGTCGAATTTATTACAATTTTTAAAATGTAAAATGTACCCTGTTGGGTTGAACCCTACTAAAATTTCTGGAGAAATTAATGTGAATAAGGACTTGCTGCTGGTGCATGAAAAGCCCAAGTAAATGTGATATAGGGTACAATCCTATGGTCCCTCACAGGGTGTCCTGAGGGTGAGCAATGGGATTTTGGAAATCTCCTCTGTGGGAAGAGTAGAAGGCCTATTCATTGCAACTGTAGAAAACTGCAGCTGTCTCTCTCCAGTGGCGGAAAGGACAAAAAGGAGACATGTTGGGGATGGATTAGAGGAGGTTTATTTTCTCTTTATTTTCTCTCCTGTGGTATGCAATGGGATGAAAAAACTTGAATAAAGAAAGCTGTTGACAGTAGGTGTGGGGGGTAAAATGTCATGTGCCCTTCGCAGCATCAGCCTGGCAAGGTTTGGGATTTGGCAGTTCACCCAGCCTTGATTGCCCCTCCCCAGACCAGGTAGGATTATTCTGAAAACTTAAACATATTATAGAATTAGCCACACTGAATTCAGTTATTTTATAAAAACATGCAGTGTGATGATGGTAAGTTTCCATTTTAACCTTTTAATGTTGCACAGTCAAATTTCCATGGTGTTTTAAAAGATCATACAATCAAAATTACCAACCACCAGAGCCTTGATAAAAGCTTGCATTGAAAAGAGAGAGAGAGAAATGAAGGAAAAGGAAAGAGAGGACAAAACACAAATGCGATTTTGTAAATGTGTGGCCCTCCAGAGGTTGTTGGACTCCAACTCCCAACAGCACCAGCTAGCATGACCAATAGTCAGGAATGATGGGAACTGTAGTCCAACAACTCCTGGAGAGCCGCAGGTTCCCCCATCCCTGGAATTAAACATCAGTGTTCACAATTCAGATTTCAGTATCAACCAGTTCTACAGAATTTTGTGATTCCAGAATATAGTGTACTACAAGCAGAGTAGAGCAATTAGATCTCATTTGATTGCAAGATGACCAAGTCCTGCCAAAATGATGTACTCGCATAATATATCAAGAGTAAAGATCAGGATTAAAAAGGAGGGAAAGGAATTGCTGGACTAACAAATTGAATTGGAATACAAAAGAGGGAGGTATGAGGAGGTCCGGGAAACAAGTAAACGTAAGAGAAGCGATGGAAAGATGGAATTGTTTTTAACTGTTTTTTCTTTTTTGTATTTTGTATTTTTCTTTCTTTATTGTTATTTTTCTTATTAATGTAATCTTTTTCTTCTGAAACTTTAATAAATATTATTTAAAAAAACAAAAACAAAATGATGTACTCGCAAAGAAGACACATGCTGTTCTTACACCACAATCCTATGAATGCTTGTGACCCATGTGAAGTAGGTACGCATAGGATTGTCGTTCAAAATGTAGTAGATATTTAATATGTTAATATCCTAGCTGGAATGACCTTTTAAACTGGGGGGGTGGGGGTATTGTTTTTTGTTTTTTTTTACTATGTTACATATATTTGTGTTTTTATATTGTAAACTGCCCTGTGATCCTCAGATGAAAGGTGGTATAGAAATTAAAATAACAACAATAACAATGGTTATATATCCAATTTGATTTGTCAATGATAAGTTCAAGTTGGAGCAAGTGTAAAGAACTAGAATGAGTGCAGAACTGATGTGAGGCCCACATCCTCAGGCTGAGGCAGCATAGAAGGGTGTGCTGAGATATCCTCACAGAGTAGACTGACTCATGAGGTGTCTGAATCTGAGGTCTCCTCAGGCAACACTGGGATCCTGAACATGGCAGTGGCCTGCCCACTGGAAGTCATCACTCTTCTGCCACTCACTTGCTTAGATGTAATTCCTTATTGTCAGTGACTGGCATAGTGCACATTTAAACTTCATAACAGTTTTAGTACATATAAAAGCAACTGATCTTTACAGATCATTTGGAAGGTAATAATGTGGAATGATTTAAAATAGTGTAGAGGCAACATCTGGGGATGAGGTACCTAGATGTTTCAAAATGGCTGAATGTTGAAAAATGAAAGACATCGGCTAGAAAATGACAAAAGATGTGGGTAGGACTGGTGAAATGAGGCTTTTACAGTGTGGGTGTGACCCTTCTTATTTCTTTCAGCATTGAACAAATGACAATCTAGGTGACTTCTGCTTCTGTTTGATGTGTGTGTCTTCCTGTTGTGTCATTTAATAATCCTTAATTGGCAGCATCATGTATACTGCCTCACCTACAGGAGGTAGCTTCCATAAACTGGAGCAAATCACCTTGCTCTTCAGCAGGTATTTTTCTAAATGTAGTAGTCATATACAGCTATGACATAAAGTAAAGAGGCACATTGATGAGGATATATGGTTCAGAAAGCTAGAGCTAATAAAGAAATGACTGGCAGTAATCCTCAGATGTAATAATACATTACCTTCATATGGATTGAGATACATGGGTTGTATTTTACATGCTTTGTTGTGAAGTGCTAATGGTGTATTTTAAACATGCCTAGTAGAGATCTTTTGAGAACTCCCTTATGTTGCCATAGCAACAGGATGAGATTTGAGGAGTGGTATCTCTAGAGGCTCTCATGATTTGTCATTCTGGGACCAGTAATTAATTTTTGTACACAAGTTAAGGCAATAGTATTCAGAAATAGAAGCCTATGTTTAATATTCCAGCTTTCTTTGATAGTTTTGGTATGAAGGCTTGCATTGTTCTAGATATGTACATAAGCAGTTGTAAGGTAATGCCTGTATTGATTCTGCTGTTGCATGCGCATGAGAGGTTTGTTGTGTTAAAACTCTTGAGGAATAATGGATTAGCTTTTACTAGAAGGAATGAAAGAAAAACATAGGTTAGGAAATATTGACCATTCTTCTAATTTAATTGGAGTTTAAATGCCAGTTGTTTGTGTTTTGTTTTGTTTTCCCTTTCTACATTGCTTTGTGAATGTGAATATGAAAATTGTAATGGCCTGACCTTTTTCTTTTCAAATAAAGAAGCATCCTAATGGCTAGTGAACCAAGTACCCATTTTCCATTAAAATAGAATAAACCAATCACAGGTTTGTTTACACATTCTAATCTGAGTAATTTGAATAAGAGTAAGAGGCGCAAATACCTAATGAAAAGGCCACATCATTTTAAAATGTCATGAATAGTATCAGAATTAAGGAGTACCTAGCAAAAAAATGTACTCAGAAATTTACGCATTTTCATATTGAGCTAGAAGGATTATAGAGCAGTCCTAAGAACAAGGTGAGTGGAAAGTGAAGTGGCAGATATTCCAGCACCTCCCAGGCCCTGGTGACTTGTCCTGGCCAAGGAATGAGATTGGGTGGGTGTTCTCTTCATTCTGGTAGTTTTTCTTCTTGTTGTTTTTAATTCCCTGCATTGGTTTATTTTATATTGAGATTTTTTTATTGGTTCTTTGTTTGCTTGTGGGGGTACTATACCAGGTCCAGATTGGTATGGTTGATGGGCCTGGATCTTGCAGCCTCTTGGAGAAGCAGAGGGCCTTCAGATTCATTTGACTCCTGACGTCCTCTACTGCTGGAATGCCTTGTTTCAGGGCCTGCTTCTGGCAGAAGTACTGCCAGTGGTAAATTTATGCCTGCAGAGCTTCTGTGAATGGAGGTGCCTCCCTTTGGTGGTGCTCCTCTCCACTGGTAGATGGGGCACCAATTCTAACCCCTTAGATTCAGCAGACATGGGGGGTTAGGATTGGTCTGTTTTGCCCTATCTCCATGTTTTAAAGGAAGAGTAATTAACTACTGGCCCATGTGCCTGATCTGACCCATCATAATGTTTTTGACAGCCTTCCTGCCCTGAATACAATTTTCTGTGGGTGCTCAACAGCAAAGCACCCTTCCCTTTTATGATGTTATTTTAACTACCATTGGGAACAGAAAAGAGCACTCCAGAAACAGGAAGGAACTCTTCCAGCCTTTCTCAACCTTGGGTCCCCAGATGTTGTTGAACTACAACTCCCATCATCCCTAGCTAGCAAGGCCAGAGCTCAGGGATGATAGGAGTTGTAGTCCAACATCATCTGGGGACCCAAGGTTGAAAAACACTGCGCGGCTGTTCCAATGTTTCATGGCCCTTTTGTTATCACCTGCACTTGGGAAACATTATAGCAAATTGGAGTGCTGCTTCCTTTTTCTGGAGCACTCTGAGCTGCTCTCAGTGATGGCGAAGAAGAGAGGATGAGCAGGGTTTGAGAAAGAACCCATGCAAAGATAAAGCAGATGGAAAAAAGAAGAGTGTGCAACAAATGAAAAAAGCAGGACTAATGTGAGATAAGAAAAGAAAGGTAAGGAGGAGCATTTAAAAGTAGCAAGTCAAACTGAATGCTGCCTGGAGCCAATGAATAAAATATTACAATGAGGAAATGTGATCATAGTGACATGGGCATTACATTAACCAGGTGGTCAGATTTTGATCAGAAGTTAATGGAGAAAGATGGAAAGGGAAGACCTGATAGTAGAATATATTGCAGTAGTATAGATCAGAAGTGGATTCTAGTCATGCCATTATTAACTGACAGAAATAACAAGAACAAAGAGAGAGCCAGTTTCGTTTTTGAATCTCTTGTAATTGGGCACTTTTACATACAAATTATGCTGTTGGAGGAGAGTGCTGTGCTGATATTTTGCCACAATCTCCGCTGGCATGCGATTCTGGAAAGGGTTGCCTTGACCCTTGGGCAGAAAAGGTTAGCCACCTCCATTTTAAAGTAAACCCACTTCACCAGTTGCAAAAACACAAAACAGTCATTATCCTGGTTACCCCAAACTTTGAGCAGGCCTTATTTTCTACCTTTCTGTGTTCCTCACCATCCAGTTGCTAATTCTCAAAAAATAAAACCGTATTGCAAGTGACAACTGGCCAGTTTTATGCTATTAGAGCAGCATTTGTTCATGTAAAAGTGTATGATATGATCTTCCTACTATGTGAATCTTTACTGTGCTAATAAGCACTTAGCTGATTTTAGATGGCTGGCATTGTTGAAAAAGAGGCTGTGTGCTTTGTCCATTAAGAGGAGGATCATTTTCATGTTGCTGGCAAGATGTAATGTTGAGTCTTGGAATTTATAGCTTGCCTCTTAATAGAACAACTGAATAGGAAGGAAGGAAGGAAGGGGCCTGTAAGGAGAGCCCATGTAACTTTCTGGACTTTGAAAAATGTATTGCATCTAAATTACCTAGACTTTGGTGCATTATAAATATCATGGCAAAATAACAAAATTGCAGCATATTAACAGAATAATTCAACACCACTATTATTTTACTCTCATTTTCTCCGTGTGTGTGTGTGTGCGTGCGTATGCACACATATAACTATCAGCATCGGTGGAATTTGCTTGAATAAAAAAGTAAAAAAAACTTATTTTACTCTGCATAACAGAATTGTCAGCATGTTTTCTTGGTTGTTAATCTCCACCTTTCCTCCTCCTTCATTCTGCCATTCTTTCTATCTGATATTATTATGTCACCTTTTCAATGGTTTCCCAGGGTTGACACTTAAATCTTAAATGATCTCCCCACCCCCACCCCGTTCACCTCCAGCATGCCTTTCCTTCTTGCATCTAGAATGCAAAAGCAGCAGTTCTCCCATTTCCCTAGGGGAATTACCTTAACCATGTCTGTGGCATTTCTTCTTTCATTGCGTGCACGGCCTCAGATTTCATTCTCACTTCTTTCACAGGTTCTTCTGACTGTTTCTTCCTGTTCACAGAAATATATTCAAAGTAATCACTTCTCATTTATCTAATGGCTGTCCATTTTTTTGCAAATGTATACAACATGTAGCTGCTCCAGTACCATAACTCCTGTCCCTCATAGCTATCTATCAGAACCATAGACCAAAGTTAATGATTGCAACTGGTGGTCTGCAAGCCAAGTCCTGGTCTGCCATTTCCCATCTGCAACCACCTTCCCCTCTCACCCCTCCCTTATTTTTCTGCCACACCATCATTGCTCTTTTTGGGTGGTGCAGGAAGTAGAGATGATTTCCAGCTTAGGAGCAGTCTTCCATGTTCTTCTGGGTTAACTGGAAGCTGAGAGGGGGAAGGAAACACCAGTTTGAGAGGCATGGCCTTCCACTTCAGCCTAGTCATTCCACAATTCTTGCTGCAAACAATTGCTTTATGCCAGGAATGGTTGACTCAGACTGCTCTCTGCTCCTGTGGTGTCACAGGCTTTGTTGTGCACCTTGAGAAGGAAGGGAGGCAACCAAACCCATCCCTCCTTCACCACTGTCACCAAGCAGTTCCTATTTTTCTTTAATTGGGCCAGTATACTTCCTTTATTGAGAAGAGTCATATGGCACTTAAGTGTGAGGTGAATAACAAGTTCTCAACCGAAACAAACTGTTCTTTTATCTCAGAGTTTTTGTAAAGCATCAGACAAATAATTTTTTGGAAAACTATTTTAGAGAAAAGAAAACTAGTTTAGCATTTTGCTTAGTTACCTATAAAAGCATATAAAAAGAAACACATAAACACATCCAACTATTCTAGAGACTGTTTTTCTAACCAAGCCAATACTTAACAATTTATACTCTATAGTTGAGTTTCTAGGTCTCTTGGCATTCTTTAAAGCTGTCTAGGTCTGTTAGCTCTTTCTCTTCAATTCTTCAACCACAGCTCTTCAGCTCTCTCCCTTACTATTCTGTAGCTTTACTTATATACATCATTTTCTGTCCCCTCCTAACCTTTTAACCAAATCACAAGGAGAATTGAGTCCTAGTTATATTTCTGTTTCTCCTTAATTGCTTACTCGCTAAATGTTGGGTCCTTTGTTAAATACTGCAGTCAATATAGGCTGTACAGTGGTGCCTTGGGTTACATACGCTTCAGGTTACATACGCTTCAGGTTACAGACTCCGCTAACCCAGAAATATTGCTTCAGGTTAAGAACTTTGCTTCAGGTTGAGAACAGAAATTGTGCTCCGGCGTTGCAGCAGCAGCAGGAGGCCCCATTAGCTAAAGTGGTGCTTCAGGTTAAGAACAGTTTCAGGTTAAGTACGGACCTCCGGAACGAATTAAGTGCTTAACCCGAAGTACCACTGTAGTTAGAACAGACAATGCTTCCCTGAGTTAGAATGTAACAGGGACCTGTGGAAAGTTCTAAAATGAAAGTGGAAGCTTTTGTTCTCCTCCTTCCATTTATGGAGGAAGAGGGGAGAGAGTGCCCAGGATTAAAGTTCACACAGGCTCTTCATCATAACAGAAATTATATCTGAATCAGCAGTTAAAACCTGTACTTGGGCACTCAGGAAGTTGCCTTCTACTGAGTCAGAGCTGGTCAGCCTAGCTCAGTATTGTCAACACTGACTGCTAGTGGTTATCCAGTGTTTCAGGCCAGGAGTCTTCTTTCCCACACCTACCTGGAGATGTCAGGCATAGAACATGGGATGTTTTTCATGCAAAGCATGTGCTCGGCCACTGAGCTACAGCTTTTCCTCTAAGGGCCCCTTCAGTGTAAAAAAGAGAACATTCCCTCCTGAATGTAAAATAGAGAACTATGGGGAGAAATTACACACGATTCGTTGCCTTCTATGGTTGTGGGCATATAATCCAGGAGATACGGTATTGTAACTCCCCAGATCCATAGAGGCAATATTTATTTATTTAAACAAATCTGTGGATGACCTTTTACTCCAGCTATCTGAGTTCGTCAGTGTTGTAGAATATTTGTGACCCTTACCAACCAAACAGCATGGGCATTTACTTTCTATCTCATGGAGAAACATTGTTTTGCCATTGCTTTTTAACAATTCTGGATACCTACAGCTCCATTCTATGCATGTTACTCAGTCCCAGTTTATTCAGTGGAACTTAACTTTCAAATAAATATGCATAGGATTGTAAACTTAGTCTTATGTATCTTATCATAAACTTAGTATATGATCTTGCTCAGTATCCTTGCAAATGTACAAAGAGAACTAACCATACTCCTTTTTCTAAGTAGTCACAATTCTGTTGCACAAAGATGCATGATCTGTTTGGTCAAATGTTCTGGATTATGCTCCCATGTTATATAAAGACTCCGTTGAGTTGCAAATCAGTACATGTAATTGCTACAGTAGCCAGAAAGTATGCATCCTTGTTTAGGAAAAGTATAATTTTAAAACTGGAAACTTGACTCAGTTATATAAATTTTCTGGGAGGGGAACTGGGGAATTAAATTGTGATTTAAATCATTGATTAAATGTTCTTAATTTATGAAACATCTATACACCATTTAAAACATTTTGAAGTATGTTTATTAATAGGAAGAATACTCTGTTGGCATCTAATTTCTGCAGCCACAGTTGAAATTAATCTGACTTCTTTTTATCTATGCCTTTAAGATAAAAAATGTGCACTTTTCATCTTGTCCTTGCCATGTTAAAACCAAAAATGTCTCTGTTTAGTTGCAGAATGAGGAGGAGCCTTGTGAGAACCTGCAAATTGTAAATGATTTCCCACCACCTTACAGCAGCATTTCTGGGGAGAACGCAGGTATTTTATTTTTTTTAAATGCTCACTGATTTTCATTAGTTAATTATCATTGCTAATGGTTGGAAGGATAGCAAAGTTATGTGCAGGCAACAAATTCATGGGAAAATAATGTGATTTCATAAACCACCTTTCTTGGCTCATCTTACATTCCTGAGTGCTCTGTCTTAGCATAGAGAGGAAGGTAGCATTTCATTCTGTTGCCAATTTATATTATACTGCATTTGTGGCTATAAAACTTGATGCTAATGGTGTGTGTATCAGGAAAGGGAGAGGGAGAGTTTTTTTGCAGCTGGGTGACTGGTCTGCTCTACGTAGTGTTGTGGACCCAAAAATTCTGTTGCCACCTCTGAACATACTTTGAAACCATGGATAATTAACTTCCGGGTTAGCGCCTCCGGCAATGGCGGATTTCCTCTGACCAGGAGGAATCCGCTTCGTGGAAATTAGGGTCTGGACCACCACGGCGAGGCGGAGACCCATTAAAAACCACAGGCGGGAGAAGCCTGTGGACGTGGGATTCGGCTGGCACCTTTTGCGCCTCCCCTACTCGCGGGGAAACCCAGTTTCGGGAATCCGGAGCGACGTGGGGTGAGCGGTGCGGTGCTTCGAATCGATTGCTTTTTTCACGAAGTGAAGCCGCATTGCTGTTGCCGGAGAGCGCTGACTTTTTCCTGTGGACAATTGGACTTTAAACAACTACCCGTGAGTAGAACGGAAAATTGGATTACTAAACATCTTTAATTTGGCACCGAAGCGAGAAGGTTCCAAACAGGAAGTCCGCCTTCCGCTTTTGTAAATAGATTGAAGCAAAGACATTGCAAGCTAAAGTCTGGAAAGTCTTTTGTAAAGGATTAAATCTCCATCGGCTAAAATTACTAAACCCCCCTTGGAAGCAGGAGAAGAGGGGGAAAGTTTAGATTGTTTAAGCCTGCAGGAGAGAGAGTGAAGAAAGATAAATTACCACCGTTTTGAACCTGGGAACGGGCTGCCAGGGAGCGACGTATTGGGAAAGTTCATTGACTGTGAATAAAACGTATGTTGACAGATAGTTAAACAAGAGAAACATATTGATTCCAATGTTTCCTTTTGCACTTGAAAGGAGTAAAATATCTGAAAATCGAAATTAACTTTGTTAACTTTGTTGCTGGACCTGCTTTTAAAAAGCCGGATACAAATAGAAACTGTTTCCCCTAGAGGGAGCTCTTGAAACTGTTGCAGGAGTGGATCTGGGGAATTCTCCAGCTGTAGAGATTAAAGATCGTGAGAATTAGACATTGACCTTGGACAAGAATGTGGACAGAAGAAGCCTTAGTGATTGCTTTTTGCAAAACAAGTGCTTTATTGGAACAGCTTCATGAGAAGATGGATGCGGTGACTACTAGCATTGACAATTTTGGACAAAAAAGGATTGATTTGGGACAAAAAGTGAATACTTATAAAGAAACTACTCAGGAACCGACCCAGGAATCTGCTTTGACATGGCAAGCTGTGGAGAAGACAAAGGAGGAGGTTGTTGTTGAACCTCGAGTAATACAAGTGGAGAGAGCCTCGGCCTTGTATGAGCATAAGCTGTTGCTTTTGAAGACTGAATCTGGAGAAAGCCAGATTTGGAGAGATGGAGTCCCGCTTGGATTGGAGAAGGAAAGTTGGAAAGATCCCTTTATGCAGGGATGTTCTGGCCTTTGGGATCTGGTTTTGGGCCAGGGGGAGATTGGAGTGGCGAGGGCCTTTAACTTTGGAGGGACTTTGAAACATGCTTTGAATTATTTTTTGGATTTTGGCCCTGTCTATGGAGAATGGGCTGACCTGTCGAGAAGGGATAAAGACATTGTTAGGTTGGAGTCTTCCCGAGATCTACTCCTCAGTGACAAAGGAAGGAATTAAGAACAAGATCAGCAGAAGACAAAGTAAAGTGTAGGTATAAATATGAAGAAGATCTGCAGAAGGGACATGGAAAAGAGTTAAGAGCCTCGGACAGGAGATCACCAGGTTGATGGACTAGATGGAATGGATAGAAAAGACTGACAGAACCCAAGACCAGGGTGAAGAGACGGTGAATGAAGATTGGAAGAAAGTTTAAAAAATTTATTTAGAGAAATATTGAAAAATTTATGAGTGTTAGAAAAATGTTGGAATGAAACTATATGGCTTTAGTAGAAATGTTATAAGGAGTTATGTACAAATAAGTTTTAAGTTTTAGGGTTTTTTATGGTAAGATAAGGTTAAAATAAATTAAGACAATTAAATGACAGAAAATAGTGAAAGATGGAAAGGATTTGCTGAAATAATGAATAACTAGAATACAAAAAAGGGAGGTGTGAGGAGGTCGATGAAACAAGTTAATGAAAGACAAAGATATGGAAATATTGGATCTATTTTTAACTTTTTTGCTTTTGTTTTTGGTCTTGATGTATTGTGTGTTTTGTTCTTTTTTTCTTTTTTATATGTATTGATTTGTATTGTTTAATCTCTTTTTCTTTTTCCACTTTTTTCTGTAATTTTAAACTTTCAATAAATATTAAAAAAAAATAATGAAACCATGGATAATTATTCCTTGCTGCTTGCAGAGTGCATCTTTCTCCAAGTCTTCATTATATCTGTGAGGATTCTGCAGACATGCTTCGGTTGTGCTCAGCTGTTATGACAGGCTATGATCATCCTGCAAAGTTCCAAGCCATCTGGGTTTCAAATTGGCACCTGGGAATATATTTGCATGCAGTGTAGAATTAATAAGATGAATCAAAACACCATAATCTACTTCTAAGTGACACTCATTATATGATTATGTTCATCATTTACATCAGCCTAGCCTTGACAACCTTGCATTTTGGAAAGCAAATTAACACTGATTTGTCTGACGAGGTTGTGCACAAGGAATCCTGCTTTATCCATTTCTATACCTGAATAAAAGACCACAGAGCAGGGGTGGCTGATCAGTGACTTTCCAGATGCTGTTGGACTACAACTCCCATCTGCCCCAGCCAACCTAGCGAGGGGTCAGGAATGATGGCAGCTGTAGTCCAGTGCCATCTGAAAGGTCACAAATTAGCCACATTAGGTGTCATAAAGCTGGGTTGCTGCCATATACACAATACTTTCACTATAATCATTTCACCTATCCTTATTTTTTTATTATCAGGAAGAAATATTAGGTTGTAATTTTTAGTATGTAGGTATTCTAATAATTAACCTATCTCTCCTATCTATTTCCCCCGCAGTGTATTTTGATTATAAAGATGAGGCTGGGTTTCCTAATCCCCCATCTTACAATGTAGCCACAACCCTGCCTACTTACGATGAAGCAGAGAGAACCAAGGCAGAAGCTACCATACCTTTAGTTCCTGGGAGGGTAAGTGTGATGATTTTGTGTCATGTGCCTTTAGTTATGGTATCTCAACCATGCGATTTTCAAGGAAGAGTAAGCATTGACGGTAGCTGCACTTTAGCTTTCTTTTGGGGGAAAGTATTGTAAACCTAATGCCGGTAAATTAGTTTGTCTGACATTTGCTACCCACCTTGAATTATTTCTGTCTTAGGAGGAGGACTTTGTGGCACGGGATGACTTTGACGATACTGACCAGCTGAGGATAGGAAATGACGGCATTTTCATGCTGACTTTCTTCAGTAAGTACACTAAAAAACACACACCTGAATCTTTGTGACAGAACTGTTAACATGATTGAACTAGCATTTTACTTTCTTTTTTCAAAGAGGTGGTTCGTCCATATAGTAGACTATCTCACCTGAATATTGATTTTCCATGTTGATTGTGTGCTACATGCCTGCTTGGGGTGTGGTTGCTGTCCTTGCTAGTGCAGATGGGCAACTTTTATGACAAGCCAGCCGTTTCTGGGCAGAGAAGGGATTTGTCGTTACTTGGGATGCATTTTATATTGGAAAGTTAGGAATGAAACTTGGAAGGGTGGAGTGACCATTTCTGCTTAAAAACATATGAAGTGCATTGCTGGTTCAGATCAAAGATCCCTCTAGTCCAGCACCCTGAGATACCTCTGTGACTCCCACAATTGGCACAAATTGAAATCAATTGTGATTGCTGTATTCTTTCTATTTTTCCCCCCTTAGTGGCATTCCTTTTCAACTGGATTGGATTCTTTCTCTCTTTCTGCCTGACTACCTCAGCAGCAGGAAGATATGGGGCTATTTCTGGATTTGGTCTGTCTCTCATTAAGTGGATCTTGATTGTCAGGGTAAGTTGAGGAGTGGAAAAAGAAGGCTGCATCAATAGGTGGGGGCTCTGTGTATGATAGACATTGCAACAAATAATTCCCCAGTGGGTCCTCCCTTTGTGAAAGTCCTAAAGACAAAACATGTACAAAGCATATGAATATGTCTTTATTACATGAAGAAAATGCATCTTCATTGAGTTACTAACCCTGTGCAAGCATTCTGAAATTCTGAACACCATGATCTTTGCAACCACCAAACATGATTTTTGAAATTGAAATTATGCAGATTTGCACAGTGTGCTTGTTTCAGCTAATTTGCATAGCTTCAGATTACCAAAAGACAGCTCCATTGAAGAGTAATTGAAAAAAAAAGATATCTAAATACTTCGCTGTGTAATTATGTGAGGTGAATGTTGTCCCGAAGCGCATGGATACTAAAATCACTCGTGTTTGGTGTAATGTATTCCCACAAATAGTGGGAACAGATTGGTTAGATAGGTTGATGTAGAGGAGCAAACAAATGCTGTGATGTAAACTTTCCATTTTTGATGAATGTAAAACTGTAAGGAGAGACTAGATGCCCTTCGGAGTACTGGCTACGGTATGCCAAAATGACCTGCCCATTTTATTGATTAGATTTTATTCAAAACTGCAATAAAAGTTACTGGCACGGTTTGAGAACCAGTTAAAAATGTGTGTGTGTGTGTGTGTGTGTGTGTAGGTTTCTTGAATCACAGCATGGCTTAATAAAGCCAGACTTGCCTGTTGTTGGATAGATAAAACTACATGTGTATAACATAGCTGTTTGATAAGTAGTGCTTATTTAGAATTTCAATGGCCTTGTACCTTTTAATTTCTGAAGTGGAGATAGAAGAGAAAATGCCTATGCAGAAGCAATGATTTGAGTGGCTGAAAGGATTTACTGTCTGCAAAGCTTATATTCCCCGTTGGAAGTTATTGGTGTTGCAGTGAAGTCACCCAACACATTCTGTATGCAGTTCATGGACTGGTTTGTGTCAGGGTGGCGATAGTTGGAGGATGTGCAAGAAAAAAATGTGATTGAATTGATTTTAGATTTTAGAAGCCAGAGAACTCATGTTTGGTCCTTAATTGTACAGTCTTTTGTATTTCAGTAGTTGCATTTTGCACATGCAGGAGCTTTCTGTTTTTGGCCATTAAGCACAGTATTGTGGATTCTTGATTTACAGCTGCTCTTATGGATCTCAGGCAAAGAAGCTCTTTTACATCACCTGCCACCTTAGAATTCCTCATCCAGAACAGGTTCTGAGATTAGCTTTACTACTGGCCAAAAGGACTCTGTCTTGTCTGGATTAAGTCTGACCTTGTTAGCATACATCCCAGACCACTGCAACAAGAAGTGCTTGTGTGTATCTGGAGAGTTACCTCTTCACATAGAGATTTTTCGGATCATGTCCTGTCGCCATGCAGTATTAATTTTTGCAGAGATTTAGGAACTTAACCCCGAGTTACTGGTGGAGTGTGTGTACAATTTTACAAAATTTATAGACTGCTTAATTATTATACTAAACAGTTTACAGAAGAAATGTGTGCGATAGCAGTAATTTATCCAGCAATAACTGCTGCTAGTAACAAAATGCCAGTGCAAAAATCCTGCAGCTACAAACTGATTGACCTTATTCTCCCCCCGCTTTTTTTTTTAGTTCTCCACCTATTTCCCTGGTTACTTTGATGGTCAGTACTGGTTGTGGTGGGTGTTCCTTGTGTTAGGTAAGTGTTAAACGTTCATTTCAGTTTTTACTTTAGGAATCGTGCATGAACCTGTTCAGATCTAGTTGTTATTCCTTTCTTGTAATAATGATTGTAGTGTATTTTTAATGTTGATTTCAGAAAGGGGCTTTTCTGCCAGTCTTTTAGATTAGTTCCTATGCTGGCCACTTGAGAGAACTTTGGCAGATTTTTGAGATGTTCCTTTCAAGGAATCCTGCCATCTAGTGGACATTTCATTCTTTGCAATAAGAAACCCACAACCTTGTTTGACTGTGGAAAATGACAGGTACAGTGCTGTATCTGTCTCTCCTCACCCCTGAGGGATAATAGCAACCCTGGGAGTCGTGCTGATAGGGGGGGATACTGTAGTTCTCAGATCCTGATTGCAAGCTTCCCATAGGCATCTGGGCACTATGAGGACAGATGGGCCTTTCGTTTGATCCAGCAGGGCTTTTCTAAAGTTCTTAAAACAACACAGGAGAAAAGAATTAAATACCCTCTGGGATCAAATTGGCATCCACACCTGACTTTTTGAAATAAAGAAGAAAAAAAGTGGGGAATTTGTTCCACAGGTCTTTTGGGTCACAGTTTAGCCCTCATTGACTTGGAAAAAACATTAGTGATGTTAACTATTTAGGAAGAGAGTCTTTTTCAAAGCGGAGTAAATCTGTCAGTGGTGGGTCAGATCCTCTCGGGAAGCTGGGAGGATGTATTTATAACAGGCTTAGAAAAATGAACACCACAGATTTAGAAACAAGTTCATGATGATAGCTGTGTGGTTAAATAATAGTGTGAAGAAAACCATAAAAGGCAAGAAAGCTTCCCTTAAAAAGAAGAAGTCTTGCCAAAATGAGAACAAAAATTATTCCTAATTCCAGCAAATAAATGTGTCAAGCAAGAAAAGGGGGAAAATGAGGAGAAAGTTGGTAAAGGCATGAAAACAAATATTTCTTCAACTACATCAGGAACAAGGAACTAGCCAGGGAAGCAATAGGAACTTTGGACAACAGAGTTGTGAAAGGAAAATTAAAGGGGGACGCAGAGATGCTCCCATGGGTACAAACATGAGCCTCAGGTTCACTTCCCCTTCCCCACTATGCATGAAGTGGTGAGATTTAAAACTTCCTTTTCTGATTTGTAAGAAACTGTTGTTTGTCACTGCATTAAAACCTGGGTTGTTTGTGACTCATTAACAAAGCATGGTTTGAACAAACCACCCTTTGCCAGGTTTGGAGGCACTTTCTTCTAAACAGGGCATGGAAACTTTCAGTATATTCTCTCACTCAAAACAGTGTGTGGAGCATGCAAGGTTCATAACCATAAGCCATAGTAGGTCCAGATAGTGTGAACCCAAGAACTTTTGCTCAAAATTGAAACTGCTGAATTTTCAATGACAGTATACCACGTCATTAAACTCAGCCTCCTGATGAGAGGAATGAAAGGTACATTAGCCAAAGATGTACAAATGTGCTTCTGATCATGGCCACCTGATCCTTATCAGAGGATTGGAAGGTAACCAATATGATATCCCCTTCCTCAAAAAAAAGAAGGGACTGAGAGGGAAGGGGAACTGAAGAAATAACAGACCCTGTCATGCTAACCTTTTTTCTAAAGTTGGTTAAAAGTCATTTTGAAGCTGGAATTATTAAGCAAATAAAAGAACAAGTTTTTCAGTCAGCATGGCTTCTATAAAGGGAAGTCCAGTTTAGCAACTTTTTCAATTCTTTGAGAGTATCAACAAACATATAAGTGGTTCAGAAGATATATGGTTGGACATCCGAAAACATTTTGAGAAAGTCCTTCACTGCAGGTTCCTGGGTAAGTGTAGCAGTGATTGGATAAGAGAATGGGTAATCCTGTGGATCAATAACTGGTTAAACGAGAGGGAACCAATTGTAGGAATGAACCTTGCCTTTCAGAAGAATGGAAGATGTGTATGTGAAATATAACTCTGTTATTTTTTGTTAGGGTTTCTCCTGTTCCTCAGAGGATTTATCAATTATGCAAAGGTTCGGAAGATGCCAGATACATTTTCCACTCTTCCCAGGACTAGAGTTCTCTTTATTTACTAAAGGTAATTCTCTGGGGAATCTACTTTAATTCTTTGTGTTTCTTTGCTTGATTTAAAAAGCAGGACATCCCACACCCTATTTAACGTCTTCAGTGCTGTTCACCAAATAAGAGTGGCTGATTTATTTTATTTGTAGAGCACCATTTGCTGTTATCATCCTAGACACATTTTGAAGTCCCGTTGATTTCAGTCACTTCCTCCAACTTCTAATGTGCACTAATTGGTAAATTGGTATTAAATTATACCAATTTAATACCAGTTATACCAATTTAATATTAAATTATACTAAATTATACCAATTTGAAAGGACACATATGATAACATTGCTTTCATTTCCTTTTTCCTGGAATCTGGGTAGTGTCTTACAGGAAACCCTTGAGTTTATTTATTTTATTACATTTATATATCACCTTTTCTTCCAAGTTGCTCAAGTTGCTTTACATGGTTCTCCTCCCCATTTCAACCACACAACAAACCTGTGAGGTATGTTAGGCTGAGAGATATGAACTGGCCCAAGGTCTCCCAGTGGGCATCATGGGTGAGTGGGGATTCGAGCCCTGGTCTCCCAGATCAAGAATTGCTAGAGCGGTAGCCTTTTTAGAGTCTAGGATCTTAAATGGTGGAGCAAAACCCAAGGAAGGCATGGGATACAGTGGATTCTAGTCCATGAAAGCTTATGCCACAATAGATTCCAGATTATTTGTATTCACTATGAATCATCACTGTACTTTGGATTGTCCACCATTTGGTAGCCAAGCCCAAAACCAAAAGTCTCATATGGATGCATTTTGGCTTGCCTGCTGCTGAAAGTGGCCATGAGGTGATTGATAATATCATCATTTATCAGTTTTCGACCCGTAAGTAGTAGCAGTTGCCAGGACATTGTCCTATTTGCCTCTGCGTAGTTCTTTCCTTATTTCAGATATTGTGATATATCACAATGTTTAACTGGTGATATATCGCGATATTGAAAACCAGTTATTGCCCTGCCCTAGACACCACAAAATTTGACATGGGAATCTCTGTATGCACCTGCCAAGCAGATGTTGAGTGCTGGGTTAGAAGGGCCTAGAAGCTGAGAAAAGAGTACTGTACTTAGTTCAAAATATTTGAAAGACATGCCCTTGCCATTCCATAGAAACTGTTACCCCAGAGAAACCTGGAGATATTCTGTCCAGGACAGTAGTGGAAAAATGAAAGTTTCAACTGGATGTTATTAAGCATGCATCCTATAAAACGGAACCTTAGTTTTCCCTTTCCACTTTTCTTTTTAGCTGGCCAGCAACCGCACAAGCTGTAAAAGGTTTGCCTTTCCTTCCAGTAGTTAATGAGATACATGGCTAGACCACACACAGAAAGAAGATTTCTTTAGCAGTGGTGGGACACTTTAAAAAAACCAAACCCAACCACCATCATGACATGGGCCATGTAAGAAACGCAGTTGGCACCCACCACATTAGAACATTTGAGCTGGAAAAAGCTATTTAAAAAAAGAGAAATACTCTGTGGTTAGGGTTTCTTTACTTCCTTAGTAAGGTTTGTGGTGTCCTCTGTAGTCCTTTTGGATCTGAAATTCACACTGAATTCCAAACTTCCCTGCTCCTATGTTTTTTTCCCTCAGTTCCAATGTTAGAAACACCATTAACTAGTAGGCCACTCTTGTTCTTTTGCTCTTGCTGGAACCATTAAATACAATTTTTATCCGAATGTAGCTTTTTCAAGCTACTTTTTTTTGGGGGGGGAGAGGGGGAATCATTATCTTCTTAGCCTAACCTACCTCACGGGGCTGTTGTAAGTACAGAATAAAATTGGGAGAGCCATGTACAGATCTTTGAGCTCCTTCAAGGAAAGGGGGAATAGAAAGGTAATAAGAAATAATACGTTGAAGCTGCTTGGTTCTTTATAACAAATTTCACAGGACTAGAAAGATGACTGATTATTTGAAGTGTAGTATAATCCTGTGCACGTTTACCCTGAAGTAAGCCTGACTCAGTTCCATGGAGTTTACTTGAAAGTAATCTTAAGTAGAATGGGAGGCTTGACCTTGTGCTCACGTGGGAGGCCATTGGCTGGTGCATATGTAACCATAGTTAAGGGCTTAGGAGCCAGCCACAGGATTGCATGCTTCCTATGTCTAGTCTGTCCTTGTTCATACACAAAATCACCCAGCCTCTCTTAATTCTTGCTTAACAGCACAAAGCAGTGTATTCTAATAACTCCTCCCCCCATATACCCCTCCCCACCTTTTTCCCTGACAGGGACTCAAGGTGGCTTACAGATAAAAAGAAAACTAAAAACATAGAAATAATAATAATTTAAAAACAATTAAACATTGATAGAATTAAAACTCTCTCTTTCATTCTCTTTCTATACACACACACACACACACACACACACATATAAAATCTTATTAAAACCATACAAATAATTATAATAAAACAGCACTGTACCAGCCCTCTCATTAGGAGCAGTCCGTTCCCAAAAGCCTGTTGGCAAAAGCCAATTTCCTTATTTTTTTGTTTCATATCCATAAGATCAGCAGGGCTTTCAGATCCCTGTCTATCGGAAATAAATGTACTGCTACTGTAATTTGTGAACAAAACACCAGATCAGCACTTGTCCTTGTTTTTACCATTTACACTCTTGGAGGTGGTTCTTCTTCTTCTTCTTCTTCTTCTTCTTCTTCTTCTTCTTCTTCTTCTTCTTCTTCTATCTTCTATCTTCTTAAATTCCCTGAGAACTTTAAAAGGCCTGTGGCCCTGATGACAAGAAAATGTTGTTTCTTGTAATAGTTGGTTACTCTGCCCACATCCTCCTACAGCCTAAGCAAGAACACTGCTAAGAGGTGTGCTTAGCATTAATTTGTATAAAAGTTAACCAGCCTAGCGCAGGAGGGGGAACAGTGAGCAGCCACGTATGAACAACAGTGCCGCCCTGTGCCTGTGAATGGTTCCTTTTGGAGCTACTTAAACTGGATGGTAAAATCCAGCATATCGTTACCAATCTTAATCTTTTGAAAAGATATAAAAATTGCTTGATAATGAAAATTTACTGATTCTCTCCCCCCCCCCCCATTATGCTAGGGATACCATATGTCTGGGAAAAACCTCTTTTTTGGGGGGGGGCAACATGCCCATCCGAGTGGACTTTTACATTTCAAAGGAAATCTTGGGGGGGTTGTTTGGACTCGTAGTTGGAGGGCAGCTTGGGCTGCTCTGCAGGCCGCGGCTGCTGCCAGCCCAAGCCGGGGAAAGAGGCATGTGGGCACAGTGACCACGCCCACCTTCACCCACCAACTTCTTTCCCCAGCTCGGACTGGCAGCAGCTTGGCCTGTCCTCTTTTTTGCTCTTCAGCCCTAATTATGTAGCTCTTAGAGACACAAACTCTGACACACACACACACACACACACACACACACACACGGGTGTATGCTTTTGATGTGGTCCAGTTTCTGGGTGATTCTGCTAGTTTAAAGTATTTTAATTCTAAACTTAAACTCATGTAATCAAGAAGATTTCTCTCCCCCCCTCCATCCCCGGTTAGGTTTTTTTTTGTGCGGGTGGGAGGAATAGGGTTGGAATTTATTGTACCTCTGTTCCTGTGCCATACCAGAAATAAAGTTTGACCGTGTACATTTTGTTCATCAGTCACAGAGGCACAGGAATGAGGTCAGAATTAAATGTAACAGGCAAGGTGGGAACTAGAAACAAAGGATTCAAAAACTAGTGAACAGTTGTGCATTTGCGTATGAAAAACGTATTCTAAGATTGTAAACATCCTTCTCTTAGCTAAAATAGTAACTGTGCTTTTGCTTTTTTCAGACTGATGTTTTCTGGCAACATTTTCCTGCATTGATGAGTTCTCCCTTAAGTGGACACCTGCAGGAAATAAATCAAGACTCTCAACACAGAAGGAAAAAAAATAATCACCCGCTTTAAAATGAATGAAGTACTGTTGGAAAAAAGAAGCATTTCTTTCTATTTGTTTCTAGATGTAAAATTTTAATAGTTTAATGCAGAACTCCTGTAATCATTGAATCATTAGTGGCTAATGTTTGAAACGGCTCTTGCAATCAAGTCTGTGATGTTACTAATAATGCCTTATATAGTATTTGTAGTTCTTTAAATAGCATGAGCTATTGCCCTGCAGCCAGAAGGGGTCAGTCTTGCTTTTTGTTCTCCTTAAAATTGAACTTTGAATATGTTTTCTTAGTGTAAGATAAGTAATAATGCTGGCCATTGTGAAGGGGTGTTCTTGGAACTTTAGAAATTTGTTTTGACTGTATTTCTGCACATAGTATGTATCTGTTGTTAAAATAAAATGAAAACAACCTGGAAATAAAATCTACATGTACCATGTGGATGTTTTTAAGGCATAGTAGTGAAAGAGCATTAAGAAGCTGGTACAAGTATTAACTCTTGGTAGTATGTATTCAGTATTTCTTACTGTTGTACTGCACACTTTTTGGGTAGGAACTCTCATAGTATATGTTGGTGGTATCAAATTCAAAGAATTTGATAATGTGGTGTATAAAATGCGAAAGCACCTAAAATAATTTGATAATGCAGTGCATAAAATCAGAAAGCACATCGCCATTTTTGTTGACTTTAGAACTTGAAATGGTTCCTAACATAGCTGTACTTCTTGCTTTTCTAATTTCTGGTGCATTCAAATATAGATTAATGTGCACTTGTGTGATTTCTGCAAAGCAGTAATTCAGAGTTTTATTATGTTAAAACTGTAAATATAGCAGAATGTTAATAAATGTCACTTATATTACTAGGGCTTTCTTTTTGCTGTACATCAGTGTTTACATGGGTGCCTATTTTTTTTCTTCAGTGTAAATTCCCCATAAATTCATGGCAACTGAGTTACATAGACATGATGGTAGCAGCCAAATAATAACTATTTTGCTATGATTTTCTTACTAAGTGGGGCATTCCACTCTACTGTCTTTGAAGTCACTCCATTCTTTTTTGTGTTTCATTGCCCTAAACACTTTGACTTCCTTTGTGGATCCCTCTATTTGGGAACATTGGGCCTTTCTAGGGAAAAGTTGCCAAAGAAGACACAAACTTTTCCTGACTAACCCCAGGCAAGTTTGTGTGTGTGTGTTGCTGAATCAAATCTGGAGCAAAATCAGGTGCCAGCTCTTAATATTACAATATTGGTGAATGCATAGAGTTTATTTTCCATAAACCTGTTGCTTCCATTGCCATTAATTCGGAAACTTGAAAGCATGTTGGTAGTTTTCTCAGTCCTCAAAATGTCAGTCCTTATGTAGCCAAAATGGCACCATCCAACCAGGGTGGGGGTATAAAATATGAGCATCTGGAATTATGAACAGGAGCATTCCACACTGCAACTTTTTGTTCAGGTCCCCCTTGTTTCAATCTTACTTCCACAGTTCAGCACAAGAGTGCTGTTATGTAGCCAAAACTGCACCACCCACACACAAGAGGAGCATTTCAACAGGATTATGGGACACCCACTGTGCTTCTTTTTTCCCCCCTTCCTTTTTTACATATAAATGCTTGTGAACACTACGATTTAGAAGCTTTTTTTCCATTTTGTTCTAAGGCATATCAGTCTATGATATGGCAATGTCACCTAAACTCTGCCTCCGTATCTGCTGACATGGAAAATCTGTTCTCCCTATTGACCTGTGACAAAGTGTTAAACTTGCAGCACAGTGGCAGATTGTACATTCTGGATGATGCAATATGTACAGGAGACTTGGTGATGAAAGTTTTATAACTGGGGAGGCATAGCTTCATGGCTCACTCAATATTGTTATCTCTCGTTCTGCAGTGCTCTAAACCTTTTGCTTACTATTGGAACAATGAGTTTCAGCCTTTCAAGGGATTTTAAAAAATAATTTTAATGCATTGGCTCATAGTGGCCTATTTAGATCAGGATTATTTCCTTCCCACCAAAACACCATTTAAATATTCTGACCCTTGTAAGAACTTCAAATTTATTATATTTATTTATTTTTAATTAAAAAACATTGATCCTCTGCAGTGTATAACTTCCAGCATTCTTAATTGTAAAATGATCCTGAGTATTCACTGTTGTCACCTTCAATAGATATTCATTGTTTTTGCTAAAGAGGTGTCACATTCCCTCTTCCTCTGGTCATTTCCTAAGAGGTTTAAGGAAGCATACTTGGTAATGGGTAATTTGACTGTCCTGGCAGGGCACTTGGTGAACACAAATCCTTTCATTTGCAAAGAGAAGCCAATCATTTACAACTTCAGCTTTGAAAAAAACGTGCATGCATTTCAAATTTTAAAAATAAACCCTACAGTGGTGCCACTAAGTGCCCTGACAATTTAGGTACACCTTACTGCAACTGAGCTGTTGTGCAGTTTGTATCAGTGAAACTTACTCATCCTCACTTGGCTCCAGGGAAGCAGACTAATTTTAAATGTAGTCACTACCTCAAGGAGAACTGCCTCTCACATTTATTTGGTGCGTGGCAGTTTTCACCTTAGTAAAATAAAGGACCCCTGACAGTTAAGTTCAGTTGCGAACGACTCGGGACCCGACGTTTGTCCACAGACAGTTTTCTGGGTCATGTGGCCAGCATGACTAAGTCGCTTCTAGCGAACCAGAGCAGCACATGGAAACGTCGTTTACCTTCCCGCTGGAGCGGTACCTATTTATTTACTTGCACCGGCATGCTTTCGAACTGCTAGGTTGGCAGGAGTTGGGACTGAACAACGGGAGCTCACCCCATTGCGGGGATTTGAACCGCCAACCTTTCGATTGGCAAGCCCTAGGCTCAGTGGTTTAGACCACAGCGCCACCTGTGTTCCATAGTTTTCACCTTAGATTAGCCCTATCCCACGACTGCCTAATCCCACTCAATGAGTACGAGGCACCAGAGCCCATATCTGAGAATTGCCTGGTTGTGCTACTTTCATGGTGACCAGCTCAAAGTTACATGTTACAATCCTATCCAGAGACAAACCTGCCATGCAATTACATGATTAACTATATTTTAATAGAAAGTGCCCTTGTTTTTATTGTGCTTGTTGTGTGGATGAAGAGAGAGACACTGCTGACTTGGCAAATCTGTTCTCTGTATAGTCACTCTATTAGCAGTCAGACTGCCCGGATATTAAAAACATTTTGAGGTGGAGTGTGCTGGGTTCACAGGGTGCGCTTTATGAATAACACTTATTGCTCCTCTTACAACAACACAGAGCATATTAAGGAACGAGGAAATGTCATTAAGTTCATCCTGAGTGATCTTTAGTGAAATGCATTTTTAAATGCTGCCATTCTTTGGTCCAGAAACAAACACAGCAACATAATTCAGCTTTTGCTCCATAAAAGTTTGCAAAATGGGGTGATACCCAAATATCTCAATTGACATCCTTAAAAATATGCATTATTTCTTGTAGGAGAGGGAAGCAGCAGTGACCTTACTATGGGTCTGCCACAGATCTCCAAGCCAGGTAGAAGACTTGGAAAATGCCTTCCTAGAGCAGATTACTAAACAATAAAAAAGAAAGGATATAGTCATGCAGTAACTGGCAGTATCTAAGTTTGCTGGTTTTAGATAGTAGGGTTGATGCTGAATGAGTCTCAGAGGCTTCCATTCATATAGGCCAGAAGAGGTAAACCCTTGGCCTTCCAGGTGTTTCTTCCATTAGTCCCAGTAAACATGGTCAATGGCCCGGAATGATGGGAGTTGGAGTTGAGCAATGGCTGGAGGGCCAAATATTCCCCATGCCTTAGCAAAGTGTTTCATAAACAGGCTTGGCTATTTCAAAACATTGCCCTTATGGAGAGACAATGGCTTGTATCATCCTGCTGTGGGGTTAACAGAGTTCCAATTATTCACAATTCCAAGGAAGCAGGGAGCTTATAATGCAATCCTATATAATGCAATCAGAACTGAGTTCAACATGTGGCAGGTATGTAGCCTTAGTTACATTTGCTCCTGTGGGCGAGCAGCCAGATGCTGTGGTTGGCCAATTCATGAATAGTCATAGAACCACAGAACTGTAGAGTTTCAAGGGATCCAAAGGGTCATCTAGTTCAACCCCTTGCAATGGAGGAATCACAGCTAAAGAATCCCTGACAGATGGCCACCCAACCTCTTTAAAAAATCCAAGGAGGGAGTGTCCACAACCTCCCAGGGTAGCCCATTCCACTGTTAAACAGCTCTTACCATCAGAAAGTTCTCCCTAATGTTTAGTCAGAATCTCCTTTCTTGTACTTGCGGGTTTGAGTCCTACCTTCTGGGGCAGCAGAAAACAAGCATACTCCATCTTCCATGTGACAGCTCTTCTTAAATTGTGGTGCCCAGAACTGGACACAGTATTCCAAGTGGGGGTCTGACCAAAGCAGAACAGAGTGGTACTATGACTTCCCTTCATCTGAACACTAATATTTTTAGGGACAGAGGGAAAAATTAGTTTGGTTTGCATTTTAATGTGAGCCTGCTTAATATGCATTTCCTGAACCAGCGTATACTATGTGACATGCACATGAAAAGGTTTTTCATGCTAACTTTTTTAAAAAGCCAACCCAACAACAGCTGCAAACTAGTGTGGGAATGTGGGGAGCTGAACTCAAGATTGGAAAAATGAGAAAATAAACACAAATTGACAGATTTAGTCCATCCCTACCTGCTTTTTGCCAGAAGCTGCTTAGTCATGCTGGCCACATGACCCGGGAGCTGTCTGCAGACAAAGGCCGGCTCCCTCGGCCTATAGAGCGAGATGAGCGTGCAACCTCAGAGTTGTCCGCGACTGGACGTAACGGTCAGGGGTACCTTTACCTGCCTTTAACAGGTGACTAGAATAAATCTAGCATCTGGGAGAACTGATTTTCTGCTGGTTTTCTGGCAATGAAAAGCAACTGCAACTCTTTGGGCTTTTGGAGAATACATGCCTCTCCTTCAGACTCCAGGTGTTTACCTCAACGAACACTGGCATGGAGTCTGCTTGGCTGTGCCAAATGAAAAGAAGCGCCAAGTCTTAACAACATGAAGAACACAAAAGTGCATGCTGTCATAATAACCTATGTGCCGCTCAGGCAATATTGACAGCAGAAACGGGGCAGAGGGAATAGCCATGGATGCAGAGCAGACAAAGGAACGTTTTGTGTGTTACTCTGAAAGTGTTCAAATAGACCTGCCGGAAGCACCAGGAACAGAGTATCAGCACCTTATCTCCCACTGTGTTTATTTGCACCTAGCAATCAGCCACATGTTTACCTTGCCTTGATGGTGCAAAGTTTAGAATTTCATTTGGGTCACGGTGGGGCAACTTGGCTTGTCCTCTAGGACTTCCACGTGAGGCGGGGTAGGTTGGGGGGAGGGAGGGAAGGATGTTTTTGTGTAACTGGAGAGGCGTGGCTGTCTCATGAACTTTTTGTTTACCATTTCCCTGGATCTGCTTGGCTTGAATGGTTTATGTAGGAAAGTGCAGAAAGACACTACGATTGACAGTGCTATGCATGGCACCTAGAACAAAATGCAAGCTACCTGCATTTGCTGGGCAAGGCCTGCTGTGCTTCTTTGCCATGTTGGCACCAGAACATAAGAAGGGCCCTTCTGGATCAGGCCAAAGGCCCTTCTAATTCAGTATCCTGTTCTCATAGTGGCCAACCAGACAGTGGTGTAGTGTGGTGGTGGTGGGAGGCACAGCGGTGGTCGCGCCAGGTGCAAAATTGTTAGGGGCACAAAATTTTGACACCCGGTGCTGCATTATATAGCTGCATGTATTCATCACTGGGCTCTGTTGAAAATGGCTTCTCCATGCGAACCAGGAAGTGACCT